TATTAAATTTTGATCATAATCCGAAGTAAAATACCAGTTTACGTATTGAAACTGTGTAAAAATAATACTACAAGAAATAAGAAAGACACTGGTATCACATACTATCATTAAGTATCATACAATTTCGAAATTTCAACATAAAATAACACGAGCCATAAATAAGTCACAAAATATCAATGACGCTATTCAGTGTTGCCGCGAATGCAAAAATAAAGTTCCCCGTGACTGAGATTTTTATATGTGAATTTATTGTTACTATATTTTATACTATAATATATTAAACTTATTATAATATAACCTAATTCTATATTATTTAATGTTTATTTCTGTAGTATTGCTCAAATTACATAATTGCCATTTATTAGGGTTCCGTACCCAATGAGTATCAACGGGACCCAAGTCTCCACTATCGTTCCGTCTGTCTGTCAGTAGGCTGTCTTATGAACCGTAATATGTAGAATTTTCACAGAATGTGTATTTATATTGCTGCTATAACAAAATAAAATAAAAAAGAAAACAAGTAAAATATTAAAGGACCCAAAAAAATCACGTTTCTTGTATGAAGACCATACAAGAAACGTGATTTTTTCTGTATTGATATGTGTTTTGTTTACAGACTAAAGCGAAACCTGGATTAACACGCAATAAAATGATGCTGTGTGTATGTTGGTATTGAAAATTTATCATGAGCTTTTACCGCCGGATAAAACCATCGAATCGAATCTCTACTACAAATAAATAATAAGACAAGCAAGAAATAGAAAAAAAAACGGCTGCCATTGATAATCAGAAAAGGAGTGGTCTTTCATCATGATAACGCCAGATCACAAGATTAGTTATCTGTTTGAGACTTTCAATACACACTAACATTCCTAAAAATCCAGTATTTGCTTGAGTACTTAAAACTGGTTTATAAGTTTTAGTCATTATTTTCTTTTGTTGCTTGTGTTCTTTAAAAGAAAGCTTTCTGGAGGTTTTAATATTTAAGTTTATAATTTTTTTCCATTATAAATGGGATGACTAAATCCTTCAAATCTCTGGTATTGAATATATCAAATAAAACTACTGGTCGCATTTTTTTAATCAAAATCCCAAGATTTCTACAGCAACGTTTATTTTTTATTATGTCACTACCTACAAGATGGTAACAAATTGTCGAACAGAATGGACCCATATATATTATAATTAAATGTAATAAAACTTGTAAAACAAAAACGTCTTGAATTTGTATATAAATATACGAAGAAACTTTTTCCCCAGTCTTATATACCTACTAATTAAAGATGTAAAACAAAATAGTACTTAATAAATTAGGGAATGATTCTGCCCGTCAACATGAATATTTTATATTATGAGATCATCTTCGAAATTTTCAATTTATACGTGATAGACCCATACTGCAGCTATATTACTCGTATAGTTGTAGCACGAATGGGTCAGCTCGACCGGGGACGGACCACGCTCTCACAGAATACCAGTGTAAAATAGGAACTTAACACTGCTGTGCTTCCTATGGTGAGTGTAGAGAACCAGAGACCCTTTTTACTGGAAACGAGGCATTTCGTCTTAGTCCTCAGGGGTTGCAACGTATCTGCATTTTGATTCTTAACCGAGGATAGATGTATATGTCTATGGGCCACAGCAACCACTTACCATCAGGTGGACTGAGTGCTCGTTTGTCACCCTGATCGTATAAAAAATATCTCAAAGTCAGTTATTCCATACAAAATTTCGTACAAACTTGCTCAAAATATCTTCCATATAGACCTGATTTTTCTTGCGATTGGGAAGATAGATCTATAGTAAAAGTTATTCATATTGACGCGTAGAATAGAAAGACCTATTTTGATTACACCATATATATAACTATTTTTTTAAATAATTTGTGAATATTAGTTAAACATGTAAATAAAAAAATAAAAACGGAAAAAAGGTCTTATCATTTATATGTCATTTATTCAGAAGAAAACCCTATACATAATATACACAAATATATTGATACATTCGTATAAACTATTCATTTTTTAGTATTTCTGGAATACATTCATAACTATGAACTTAACTACTACGCCATAGCATAAAATAAATTTTCCCGTTAATCGGGTAATAGTTAAGCTGCTAGCATATACAATTTTTCACGCACACTAGCATCATGCAAATTGTCTTATACACACTACAATATTAAGATGCCGCACTCACGGAGCTGTTACTTGCAGGGAGCGCGGTGTCTAGTCAGAGCGCGCGATGACTTATCATTAATCTATGTTTATATGTAATTTAAAAAAAAATTATGAAGTATTTTATAAAGTCGATTAAAATAGTATGCTCATGCTGATGCTAAGTAAACTTATAATAATTAATGATTCAATTCTTACACAATGGGATCGGATTGACAGATTTGTGTAAATGTTTGAAATTTTTTGTCTAGAATCTGAGACGTAATAATTAGCATAAATATATAGTGTATAGATTGGTGATGAAGTGATTATGGTGAGACCAAAATACACCAGTCTTCGTGTAATGTACATGTATGGTAGACAAATAGTGCTGCACCGTGCATTGCCTACTTCAACTTCAATTATCGATACCGATTGCAGTATATTTGTGTCTTCTGATTTGACACAAATGATGTAAGTGAATATTTTTGCTTGACTACGACGAATCCAAACGGATGATTACGATTTTCGAAGGCTTTGTATGTATGTATGTATGTATGTATGTACATATTTTCCTCAGATCTTCTATACTACTCATTGTATTTTGACAAATTAGATATCTTTAGAAGCATTGTGGCATTTCGCGGAATTTAGGCTGCATGAAGTCACATAAAAGTAACACGGTGGCTTATTGCGGAAATATAAGTAGGTACTCCCAAAAATGAAATATATACATCTATTCAAATATCGTAGCTGGTTATCCAATAAAAGGAATGTTGTAATAATGTCATATTATTATTTTATTATTTTAATATTATAATAATATAATTAGGAATGTTCTCGACATTTCGAAAATACGTACTATAAAAAAGTTAGCAATATTATTAGTTAATTTTTTTTTTATAAAACCAACGAACTTATAGTCCACCTGGTCGGCGAATTGGGATGGAATGCGGTCTTTCTTTGCATCCTACCCATGGGGGTGGGTTTGCTTCTCGCCGGATGATCCCAGCGCTGTTGCTGACTCTGTCACTGATGTGGTGCTACAGGGAATGGAACTATTTATTCCATCATCTGTGGTACCCATCGGAGGCAGATCTCAGCCTTGGTTTGGTCGCTCCTATAAGACTGCATTACGCAGTAAGCAGGATTTATCAAGCCTGATGTAAACGCCAGCACACTTAAAAAGAAGTATAACTTTGCCTCCAGGTCCTTCAAAAGAGTTAGCACATAGGCAGAATTGGCGAGAAACTAGTACGCCTTCCTTCGGGAACCCGTGCATTCTGGTCTCTCGCCAAGGCTCTACAAAGGAATTTCTGTAAGCCATCACTACCATATCAGCACAGGGAGGACGACTCACTGGCCCAAGCCGCAAAAGACAAAGCCGACCTTTTAGGCTCCCTTTTTGAGTCCAACTCGACTCTTGATGACGGGGGGAAAACACCGCCGACCATCCCGCGGTGTGAGTGCTACGGATGTGCGTTTCTCACAGCGCTCGGTTCGCAAAGCACTCCTTTCCCTGGACATCCAGATGTCGAGTGGGCCTGACGGAATCCCCCCAATTGTGCTGAGGACGTGTGCTCCGGAGTTGGCACGGGTCCTTACGCGTCTTTTCCGGTACTCCTACTCCCTAGGCGTAGTGGTGACGGTTAGTGACTACTGCAGCCCATAGACATTGCATCTAACTTCAAAGAAGGCTACGTCGTTGTCACCTCTAAAAACTGATACGAAATGCCGCTCAGCCTTTATTTATACCAGTACTAAGAGGTACGTACTGTACGTAAGAGGGTGATACCTACCCAGACAAACATTCAGGTAGAAATGGGGTCCTAACACTTAGTTCGCTAACAAATTTATAAACTTTTGTTTTACGAATAAAAAGAACGAACAAACGAACGAAAAGAAACGAAAGTACAAACGAAGGTTGTTTGATTTACATTTTCCTTTAAAGAGGAATTATTCATTGTATAAATGTTGTGAAGTCTCCTTAAAGAAATTTACAATTTATTTACAATTTTTTTTTCAGTTTTATTCTGGAATTAAAATTAAATTTCGATAGGTAATTTTATTTATAAGTTTTTATGGTTGAATTTGTTGTGGTTTCCCCTCAGTGCATCTCTATGAGAAAACATTTTTCTGGACTACTACTTGCTGCATATAATCTAACATTTTTTTTTTTTTGGGAACCCACTCTCTATTTATTATTTTCAACCATTTCAAAGCAATTAGATATCTAAATATTTCAATCGTACCTACGGGTTAAATGTATAATAAAGAGGGATTTCTTTCTGAGATGAGTTATATTTAGCCTCCGCGCACCTTGTAATAATTAAATACGTCTATCACTTAGTTTCACTTAAAAACCTAAGATTTTGCAAATACAAGCGGGATTTGTTTTGTTCACGAATTATGCTAGGCCGATAGAGGCCGATGGCATGTACCAGAATGGTTTTGCCTATCTTACTCGCTCTAACATACGCGTACACTATCCACTTTGTCATTCATTTATACTAAATATATCGTAATTAGATAAGTTGAGCATAAGAAGATACCCCGAATTCAAACCTACATACTATTTTACACCTGTATTATAAGAAAATAATATTACCAACGCCAAACAAATTATTTTTTGCTATTAACCAAACTCAACTCTCTTTTTCAAACTCAATAAATTCTAATGAATAATAAATAATATCCAATGAATGATATATTTTTAACATATTATTATTAACTCGTTTTACTGATAAAAATAAAAAATCGAATTCATTTTTTAATAACTATTGGTGTTATTCGCAGATCAGAGTGCACGCGCAGTGTGGCACAATGGTTGCGTGATCGGTCATCATGCGCCTCTTCCGCGGGCCGAAGCGCAGGGAAGTGACCGGGCCGCAGGCCACTGCGACGCCGTCTCCGCGCCGAGACGCCACCGTCGAGCCGCAAGACCCACGCGACTACACGCTTGTCACCGCACTCCCAGCCATGGTTATGGAGGACGATGTCAAAGAAATGAAGAAAGGTACAACATAATATGACGCTTCCTAGCATTAAAATTATATTATTATTTCGTTTCCATAGTGTAAATAATCCACACTTGTGATTTATCTGTTTTTGTGATCACAAAAAAGATAATAATTTTCGTGTTGATATATTTTTGCAAATCAGTATCCGATAAATAAAAAAATAAAGTTTGTTTGATCGCATAAAGCGCTGCCATACCGTTAATCAAATTGCGGTAAAACTTTCAACTTATTGCTTGCAGTTGCGCAAAGGTTATAAGCATAGTACAATTAACTTACATTAGGTAGCGTACAACCCGGGTTCGATCCCCGCCGACACCAATGAAATTGTTAATTGCAATTTTAAGTGCTGATTTACCACGTGTTCGGCGGTAAAGGAAAACATCGTGAGGAAACCTGCATGTCTGAGAAAAAAGAAAAAAAATTCGAAGACATATGAAGTTCGCCAACACGCATTGGGGCAGCGCGGCGGACATTTCCTTGCCCTAAAACCGTCTCAGAAATGAGGGGAGGCCTGTGCCCAGCAGTGGGACTTATATAGGCTGTAACTTTAAGGTGGCGCGCGTAGTGTACCAAGAAAATTCGTAAACTATAATATATAATTTCAACTTATATTGTTTAATTAAGAATGACAATGAATGTATTGTCATTCTTAATTAAACAATATAACTATTACAAATTTTCACAATTTATACTTCTGCGGCAGTAACACGCCGAGTACTAGCTAGTTTATTATAATAAAACTATTCCCGTTTTGTTTATTTTTAGTGTTCTCAACATGGGGTCGCCGAATGGGGAAAAAACTAGACATGTTGAAAAAGTCCGATATAAAAGAAGCACCCAAAGGAACACTTTCTCCCGAAAGCGTCAACGATGAATCTTCGTCTAGCATATCAGGCCAGTACAAGAAAAAACAAACTTGGAAAATGGGGCGCAGTAGCTCCGACTCTACCACTCTACAAAAAGATAACGACACAGATTCTATTCGCAGCGGTTCAAGAGATCGATCTCCGAGCCCTTTTAAATCATTTTTTTACAGAATGGGTTCAACAGGAATGTTAAATACATCAAAATCGCATTCTCTTAACTCACAGAAAGTATCAGAGAACTATTCAAGCCAACCAAACACTCCTTCGCTCTACCGTAGTTGTTCTACGTCACATTTATCTACCTATGTCAAAGCAGATGATCCATCCGAGGGAATAGATCTACAAAACAGCGGCAACGCGAGCAATAAGCAGTCCCCTACAAAACAAAATCATAATAACTTAATACCTGAAGAAAATTTAGTGACATCTTCAACAAAAGCCGTTAGTTGTGACAATATTCCTAAATTGGAAAGTCAACCAAATAGTGGTTTGTGTAAGAAACCTAATTTTCCATATGCTTTTTTGCGGTCAAAATTATCAGTTTTACCCGAAGAAAATAGTATGGTGCACAGACCCACCGTTTGTTTAAGGCAAAGTTTCTCAGAGAGAATAGATAGAAAATCGCCCAAGTTTCGACGAGAAAGATTATATTTACCTCAATCCCGTTCAGAAGACCGATATCAGAGTAGTGATAACATATCCGTCCACGATGATAATAATTTATTCAACACTAATTTGAGGAGTAATTACGATTTTGCAAGAAGCTCTATGAGGAGTGTTAACGACATAGATGGTAATGTGTATTCATATCGAAGGAACGATGATGTTCCTCGTAGGTCATCTATGATTTCGCAAAGACCACCCCTAGACTATGACCCAATGCTTGTTCCAAGAAACAGAAACAGCTTACCGGTCTACGACTATAGTGGAGCACTTGGATCTTCACAAGACCTTAAAACGGATCTTGCTTCTTCTAATCAAAGCATACACCAAGAGGTTCTTCAAGCACACCGTTTAAGTAATTACGTAAGTTCAAACGAGTCAGGATACGACAGCGATAGTCGGCCAACAGATGAACACAGCAATCATTCCCCGCCAGTATATTCATATAACTTATCTAGTGGATCAGCGAGAGCTGATACAAATATCGGTAGTAGTGACGGATATTCTGGGACTTTTTCAAGACAATTAAGTTTTAATCAGAAAATAAACGTAAGCAGAGTTCAACTTCCTGCAAGAAGAAGTTCTACGCCATGCGCTTTATTTCCGCTAGATAAAGATGTTTCCCACGAATATGAAAACAAAAGTTCTGAAAATAAACTATATATTAACAAATCTGCAAATCAACAAATGCCACTAGACTACAACGACGCTAAGCCGCCACCCTTACCAAAGAAGTCAATAAATAAGAAACCACCATACATTTACAAAACCATAACTTTAGATGAACGTGTGCAAACTAGAAAGGTCAAACTTTTACATACACAAATAATGCCGATACAGCACTTGTCTACACCAAATTTAAATGAAAATAATTTAACGGCAGAAACACAAACACAACACCAAATTCCTGGAAGAGATATTTTAGGTAGAGGACCTTGTACCAAAAGATTTCGAAAAATTAGATTACTTAAATCTCGTCTAGACGAAAGTCTTGGTGTTTACCTGGCACAACACAGATTTGATTTCGATAACACTGGATCTAATTACGAAATTCGTTATATCGTAGTAAAACTGGATTTTGATGGAATTGCACACCGAGATGGAAGACTTCGAATAGGAGATGAAATTGTAAATGTTAATGGGAGGGTTTTAAGAGGCTTATCATCCTTGAAAGATGTTCAACACATCGTTAATTCGTGTTCTATTGAAGCAAATATGGAAGAAAAAACCCTGTTTCAACGGTATCAAGTTGATCTTGTCATGGCCCACGATGAAATAACTCCTATTAGTTTAAGCAGAATAATAAGTAGTCAACACTGTGAACAAGCCTCCACCCCTAATATTTCAAATATAACTCCTGACCTTATATCACAAACTGTTCACAAACCTTCACTATCTAATCAAATTACAATCGAAACTCACTTTCCTGCTGAAGGACAATATAACATACATACCTCAAATGATACGAATTTACATAATAACCAATTTGACATTAATCAGAAATGTGAAGTTGGAATTCAAGTTAACCACGGTCATGTTCTATCAAATCAAAAAAGTGATGATGAAAAACTTTTAGAGAGACATTACATACAGCCCGGTTCATTACAAAATATTACTAACATTGAGATTTCAATGAGATCTTCGCCAACACTACGAAATAAAAGCACAAATAGTTACAGACCAATATCTCTTCATAATTCAAGACCGCAATCAGTAAAAGGGAATTATTCAGCGAGCAATGATGATACATCTAACGAAATAAAAGAAAACTCATCACATTACATCAAAAATGTTCCAAGATTATATCAAAATAGATCATTTGAGAGTATACCAGAGCAATTACGCAGTAGTAGTCGAAGTAGGTTTTTCAATAGAGTTGGATCACAACGATGTTCACAAAATACAAGTGTACACGCTTCACGTCACCAAGAATATAACGCTGCTATCAATCATGAACAACAACAGTTTTCTCATAGCTCGCTACACAAAGCTGAATTTTGGAAAGGACCGGGCCAAAAAAGTTTAGGTTTTAGTATTGTTGGCGGCACTGATTCTCCAAAAGGACAAATGGGAATATTCGTTAAGACGGTGTTTCCGAATGGACAAGCTGCTGATAAGGGAACTATCTTCGAAGGTAATAATTTCCTTTATGATCGAATAAATCACGATGCCACATTTATTTAATTACCATGGTGAAAAAAATATTATGTTTGACTTTCAGGTGATGAGATCCTATCTGTCAATAATGTGCCGACACGTGGGTTGAGCCATGCGGGAGCTATATCGCTTTTCAAACAAGTTAAAGAAGGAAAAATAGAATTGACGCTTTCAAGACGAAGGTGAGCCTTGCTATTTTATCTGGTGTCTTAATAATCTATTTTTATTATTTTTTGATTATTTAACAACAATTGTTTTTTCTTTTGTCAGAGCACCAAGGTCAAGATCTGTGGAACCCCTGGGTAATTTTCGTTGTGACAGTAAATGAAACTAAACTAAATGGATCCAGTACCCCAAAGAATTCAAGATATATGTATATAATAATAGAGTGCAATAATTTTTACTTCATCACTTAGCCAAAGGCAAAATTCATTTACCTATTATGAAATCACAATTTTCAACTAATTTTAATAAAATAATTTGATATTAGTACGTGGTACAGTTTTTAAGTATTTACTTATAAGTACATCGTTGCTACAACGAACATTTTAAAGTTATGTGCTATCGTAAGATAAATATTATATAAAATTTGTGACTAAAAGCTATATTATGTATTTAACGCGAATAATCTGTATATCGTATATATCTATTAGATATAAAACAATTAGCTTTATATAACGTGAATACAATAAGACTGTATGTATAATATATTAATTGTTGTAGATTGGAATAATAAGTATTACAGTAATTTGTTAGAAATGCTAGATCTCGTTTTAGCTGTACGTTACGTGTACATAATCGAGTAAGTCATGCATTAATACATTTCCATCGTTAATTTATCTTTTGTAACGGAACAGACAACTTCATTGCGTTCATTTATAAATAGACTGATGTTTTAGTTTCTTGTATGTATGTACCTTTACTGCCAAAGTTTTAGACTTAATATGTTTCTCTCAAGATAATATAAATGAAATGACACTGTTTAGACTACTTCACGTATTATAGGTTACGGATAACATATTATAAATCGGTTGACGCTTTCAAGCATGTGATGATAATTATACAAAGTTACAGTCCAAATATCAAACGAATCAGCGAATTTGCTCCGTCCAGTTATGGTTAATGTTTGTAAAAACGTTATAGAATTTAACTTCCCTCTACCCTTACTACCATAGTGAAATCGACCCACACTAATGGAACAGTCAATTATAAACATTTTTCAAAAAACGTATTTCACTCGACCGATATACGTCCTTAATTCTATTTAAAATACACGAAAATTTGTAAATAAATTGCGATACTTCCTTGCTTCGACTATTTAAAATAAAAAAGGTTCAATTAACTCTATCTTTTATTTCGTATTCCATAAAATAATAACAAAAACAACATAAAAATTAAAATTACATAAGACTAAAAATGTTCCTATAAACAGTTACCGTGGCAGATGTGCCACCTACACGATCGATTATACCCGTATTGTATTTCCTTAACCGGGCAACAACTGTCGCTTTACTTAATATCGCACAATATGGCAACTCCTCTTAGGATCCAGTGATCAGGGTGTTTTATTGTAGGCAGCCAAAGAGGCGTAATAAAAGTTAAGTCCGTCCGACGTGGTTTCTTGTATACGGGGCACTGAAATTTAATAACAAAAAAATTATTAGAATATTATTTTACAGGAATTAACTTTAAATCAAAATACGAAGACGGCCTTCTACGGCGACGACTGAAGATAACATCATTGTTGTGCGGCGTATGATAGAGACTGACAAAAGGGTGTCTTAACAGCAGATTCGGACAGGCATAGGTATGAGTCAAATGCTTGGAAGCTTTGTGCCTGGTGGATACCTCATAATTTGACAGAGGCCCAAAAACTCCGTCGTGTTGATTGGTGTCGTAAAAAGGTTCAAAGATTTAACGGAGTTAACTCAAATGCTATGTTCGACATACTTACGGGTGACGAAAGCTGGATTTATTGTTATGATCCTGAAACTAAGAGACAGTTTGCTGTCTGTTTCCTTCCAAGGAGTTGCAGCTAAAGTGAAGAGAGGTCGAAGTGTAGGAAAAAAGATGGTGGCCTCGTTCTTCGGAAGGACAGGTCATTACGCAACAATTGTTTAAGAGGATCGAAAAACAGTTACTGCAGAGTGGTACACTAACAATTGCTTGCCACTTGTCTTGGAAAAAGTTCGGGAGTAACGATCACACCGGTGTATATAATATCCACAGTAGTTAAAATGGGAGATTGACTTAGACTTAGATAGATTCTTTGTATGAATATAAACTTTAACCCACGTTAAATGAACTAGGAGAGAATTGTCCCTTTCAAATGTCAAAAAAGCATAATTTTTCATCTTTCATTTATGTCAAACGGATATATACTTCTCCCCGTTGCCGTGCTTTGGCATAGGGATAGGATAATTTTATCGCTTGTCAGTGTACGTATATATAATCGGGGGATAAAATTTTTGTTCGTAGCCCATGCTAGCCGTACTGACGTGGAATTACTGGGTCACCCGCCCTATAGCACCGACCTCGCAATTTTTTTATATTTCCGAAAATAAAAGAAAATCTTCGAGGAAAACGTTTTATGGACGTCAAGGAAGCAGTGGCTGCGTTTCAAAATGCCGTCGAAGAGACCGCTAAGGACGAGTGGGCAAAGTGCTTTTCTCAGTGATTCCAACGGATGCGGCAATGTATTGATGTAAATGGACACTTTTTTCTTCCTAGTAACGACTAAGAATAAAAAACTACGGTGGCCAACCGTATAGCCAAGCGTGGCAACTATGGTAAACATACAGGGCGGCCTACCTTCAGCAGTGAACTTTAATAGGATGTAACGGTAAATACAAAAGGTGGCTGCATATCGACTGATTCAAAGCAAAGAAAGCAAAGTATTTATGGATTTTAAAGCAATTTGCAATTCCAAATTAAGGAATCAATAAATTCCTGCTCACCTGATAAAGTTTGGGATCTTTAGGCGCCGTAGAGTTGATCGCATAAACATGCACGACAGGCAGCGGAGCGTATAAAATTTTGAGAGTGGATTCGCACAAACGCATGTTACGTCGATCCCAGCCCGCACCGTCAAGGAACAAGCCATGAACATAAACACCTTCCTACGGATAGAATGAGTATGTATGTTAATTATTTTTGGGTGATAATTGTTTAATGTATAATTATAAATAAATAAGACATCATTATCACCATCACCATCATCACCATTGCAGACCTTGAAGGGTCCACTTTTGAGCATTGGCGTCTCACAAGGAATGACACAAATACGTTACTGGCCCCGTACAAACTCCTAACTGCATCTAGTGCAGAACCCTACAATTCGCTTACCAGCCAGCTATATGGTCGTCACATTACCACTTTAGCTTGCTGAACCGTTGGGCTGCATTAGTTGCCCTGGTTCTACTACCGATATCTTCATTACGGATCCTATCACATAGAGGAACACCCGGCATATCCCTCTCTATAGTTCGCTGAGCAACCTTGAGCTTCCTCATACGAAGGGTACTGACAAATAAGACATAATTGAAAATAAGTCTCTTTCTTTCTTTCAATAATAACGTAAACGTATAAATAACACATAAGAAAAATCCGTTTAGCTAAAGTGAAAACGAGCTGTAATTCGAGAAAATAACATGAATACATTTATATGCTTCAGTAACCAGCAAAGGTTAGATAGAGAAGGAAAACATATACATTACAAGTCTAAGCCTGGTCGATACGATAATGGATGCTCGGTGATCTTTTATGTTTTAGAGTCACGCTGCAGCTGTGCCATATTACAGTTGTAGCACGAATGGGTCGGCTCGACACCGAAACAACACGACGAAACCACGCTTTGACTAAATACCAGCGTAAAATAGCAGTTTACTGTTGCTGTGTTTCATTTGGTGAGTGTAGAGAATCGGACACCCTTTTCACTGAAAACAAGGCATTCCATTGTAGTCCTCAGGGGTGAAAACGCAACTGCATTTTGATTCTCAATCGAAGACAAATGTAGATTTATATGGACTACAGCATTCACTTACCATCAGGTCGTTTGTGTGCTCGTTTGTCACACTTAATCTATAAAATTAAAAAAAAAACTAAAAAAAAACGGCAAGTCCTTTATTTTGATTTGCCCTCGTCACGCTACTCAGAAGTGGAAATAAAGTTTGCTAAAATTAGCAATGGCCTATTTGGTGAATATTTTTAATATCAAATGGTATTAAAATATTATATTTTTTTAAACTAAACTAAACTATACTTTTATTCAGTTGTCGTGATTGTGTTGTGATTTTACTTATGTATTATTATTATTTATATATTTAATAACATAAAAATCAATTGATGTCCGCGGTTAGTTTCGCTAAAACTCAAAAATGGCTCGATTAATTTTAATTAAATTTTTTGAGTCTTTGAGTGGGTCCCCCGTTGGTTTAAATTCACAATTGATTCCGGTTAGATGGCGCTGTTGCCGAGGTCGCTAGTATTTAATATAGTGCTTATAAATTTGTCAAATGTTATTATATAATTTTTCAGTTCAAATATTTCTTTTCATTAATATCTACTTGCCTTACTAATAAACATTGGTTATCGCTTATCATTAGCTTTTTCTATAGTAATTTAGTGATAAGAGAAAACTTTAAGCAATTCTTAAATTGACGTCGATTTTTTGTAATACTAAATAAGATTTCAAATTAAATGCAATTATAGCTTACTGGCGGAGGCGCTTTGATTTCTTCATAGCTAAACTTAGTGACATCATTGTGTAAAGCCACCATATCAAGGGCCCATCCCTTATGTGCACGAGTCACTTCTTGTCTCATGGCCGTTAAAAAACCTACAACACCAATTTTTACAAAATAAGTTTTAGTAATAGTTAGATCAATACTGATACAAAAAGTAACAGCGAAATCTAGAAACATCTTAACTTCATTCAGATAATAAGCGTAATAATCTTCTTTCTTCTTTAAGATAACGTAACTCTTGCTCTAGAATTTTCTTCTACATCGTAGAGGTTATTTAGACACTACACCTTAGCCTATCTTGATCTTGAGTTATAGGCGTTACAACGAAAACGGGTATATCAGATCAAAATAGCGCTTTTGTGTTTTTCCGCTTATTGCGTTAATATGTATAATGCTAAAATAATAATAAATAAGCCCTGCAGACCGAGTTTCGATGACGGCGGCCATTCTTAACGGAGACTAGCCATTAGTGCATGAGTGTGTTCACAAGCTCAAGGTGCACCTCTCTATTCCCTCGCTCTCATAGTCCGATGGAACGACGTTCCGATACAACTGAGGAGAGATCAGGGGCAACACCAACGACTTTACGTACTTACCGAGGCATGGGGGTAACACCGCCAACTTCTTGACTCTAGGGTACTAGTGAGAATTTCAAGAGAGAAAAATGTAAAAAGTTATTTTGGCCCCACCCAGGATTCGAACCCGAGACTTCCGGATCAGAAGTCGCGTTTACGACCATTGAACTAACGAGGCAGTCAAATGACAGCTTCGATGCTAAAATATGCTTTGCCCAGTTGATAGATTCCCACAATGTTAGGTGGTGTTGCCGAAAATGAATCGGTTTGAAAGGTTAAGAACTAGATAATTAAAAACAAAAACGACAATCTGAAGTCTTAAGAAATGTGAATTGCGAGTTGACTGACTACAGGTGTCCGTAGGCGATAGTGACCATTTACATCAGGACCTGCAAATTCGCTTATCTGAGTGATAATCGAGCTTGCATTGTGTTAAAGAAAGTATATACGTTACGGGTAATGCATGGAAGAAATAGTTAGCTCACGTTTACTTAAAATCACCCAAGCTTTTTGGGTAAAGTTTGAATGATAATTAAAGCAAATGTGACTTCAATTATTTTTCAAAAATCCGAAAGCACATATCAATTAACATCAGCGACAGTAACAGAAACGGAAACAGAAACTTTTTTATTCAATATAGATTATAATTATTAATTAATTTAATTAATTGTTTCTTGACATGATTGTAAAATTTTGACGTTCATATGTGCTCTTTATGTGCCTAAACTGAATAAACGAAATTGATTGATTGATTGATATAAATAATATTTATTGAAAGTCACTCTTTTGTTTAATTACCACTGGTTCGAAAAACAAAAATCTCTATCCTGGGAAGAACCAGCAAGAAACCCAGCGGGACTTTTTTTTTTAAATAACAGCTTACAATCATGTATGTTACACAAATTAACAACACAACAAATTAAAAATAGCTTGGTAGCGATCACCTCATTTCCAGGGGTTATTATCATCCATAAATTCCTTAATATAATAATAACCCTTTTTATACAAACTTAGTTTAATAAAGTTTTTGTACTTTGAGCAGGCCAAATTTTGTATATTTCTGGAATTTTGTCGTAAAAGTTGGGAAAGATGCGGCTAACAAAGCCGCGAATATTTAAATTATATAGGTACCTATGAATTATTCGGACTTTATCCAAAAACTATGGAAAACCACCAGCTCTTCTGGCATTATTCGTAACAAATACATTAATAATGTAAGGTTTATTACAAATGTATGAAAAAATGCATATAAACTATTTATTATATTAACTTGTTATGTAATTAATAAGGTAATTTACCTTGAGGATTAAAAAAGCCTGTCATCCAAAATGAATTTGGTCTCGCCGTGAAACACCAGCTGTTGAACTGCGAGTTTCTCTCCAGAAACTCAGTAAACCAAAAACCTAATGTGGATGACGACCACGAGCTCCTCAGCCATAATTTTGGTACTTTAGCATCGTATATATTGTCTAAAGAATCTCGTAGTGCCTACAAAAATTATGCGCCAAATAAAAAAAATATGTAACAAGTAAGCCATTAAACCTCTTGTGAAATTCATCATCATCATCATCATTACAGCCTTTAAGTGCACTGCTGAGCATAGGCCTCCCCCAAGGAATGCCACAAAGCACGGTCCTGAGCCACCTGCATCCATCGACTTCTTGCATGTCTTAGCAGGTCGTCCCTCCATCTAGTGGGGGTCGCCCTACACTTCGCCTACCGGTACGAGGCTGCCACTCGAGAACCTTTCTTCCCCATAGGTTGTCAGTTCTTCGAGCTATATTGCCGGCCCACTGCCACTTCAGCTTACTAATCCGTTGGGCTATGTCGGTTACTCTGGTTCTACTGCGGATATCCTCATTTCTAAGTTTATCACGCAGAGAAACCCCGAGCATAGCCCTCCCGAAAGCTCGCTGAGCGACCTTGAGCTTCCTCATACGGCCAGCAGTGAAGGACCACTTCTCAGATCCGTACGTCATCACTGGCAACACGCACTGGTTGTACAATTTCGTTTTCAGGTTTTGAGGTATGTTTAACGAGAAGATGGGTGTGAAATTACCTCTATTTAAATACATCATGTGGATTTTTAACTTGACTTATCGCATAAGCCTGAAGCTGAAACAATCTTGTTCGGACCGATTTATATATTAACAAAATGATAAATTATAAAGTTGATATATATTTACAGGCTGTAATGCATTCCATCTTAGTCTTTAGAGGTGACAACGCTTCTGTAGCTGGCTTTGCTTGAAGTTGGCTGCAGATGTCCATGGACTGTTGTAGCTACTTACAATGGTGAACTGTCAAGTTCGTTTGTCACTTCAGTTATTTAAAAAAGATATTAAAAAGTACCAAAGACATGAAAATGGCATCTTTAAAAAATACTAATAAAATTCAAAGTATCCTATTGTAAGTCAATATTGTAAGAGTAAGTCTGCTGTAACTCTAGTCTCGTGGTTGTCGCAATAGGCAATAGTACGACAAGTAACCAGAAAGGTCTCCTGCTCCTGAATTTCGATAGATTTTTTTTATAGGATAGGGTGTCAAACGATCACACATTCCACCTGATGGTAAGTGATTGCTGTGGCCCATAGACATCTACATCTATCCTCGTTTTCGAATCAAAACGCAGATTCCTTGTCACCCGTGAGGACTAAGATGGGATGCCTCTTTTCCAGTAAAAAGGGTCTCCGGTTCTCTACACTCACCATACGAAACACAGCGGTGTTAATCTGCTATTTTACGCTGGTATTCTGTGAGAGCGTGGTCCTTCCCCGGTCGAGCCGACCCATTCGTGCTAAAACTATACTACTAATATAGCTGCAGCATGGCTCTACCAGTTATAAATGTATAACTGATTTATGCCAGGTACGTTAAATCCAGAACCAATAACGGGTAGTAGTGTCAAAGGTGCAAGACGTCTATTATTACAACCGCACATTCGTTTGTCAATCTTGGCGGTTAAAATAAATTCTTCCTGCATAAAAAGGGCCACCAGTAGTTGCAACGAAGAAGACGAGTTTCTGAAAAATGATGGACTCGGAGAACTGGCTTTATTTATAAAGTAATGGCATGTCACAGAATTGCGTTCTATAAATTTAAAATATCTACAAAGATAAGTTACCTCATTCATTATAATGGTACCATCTATTGCCAGTAACAAATCCTTCAAAGTGTTTCTAACCAACGTTATAACTTTTTGCATTCGATCAATCTCTTGCCGTAAGAAAATCACCATCGAATTAAGTATGCCGTAAAATCGTAATCTGAGAAAAAATACAATTAATTAAAAGCAACCTTCATCCTAGTAAAACGATACACCTTTAATTGAAAATAATTTTGTGACGAGTCAAGTTCAATTATTGTACAATAATGAAACGTCTAATTATGATTGCAGAAATAAAATCACAAACACGTAGGCAGCTACTAAAGATTGCCACTAATGATGGTTCGAGTCACCTGCATTCATCGACTTCCAAAATATCTCATAGCGTTATCACATTTTAAGAAGGGCCCTTCAAACCTATAATAGATTGCGAGTATAGAACCTTTTTTATCCATCGACCATCGAGTTTATGAGCAACTAACTGGCTGGGCGCTTTATCTTCTTTACGATGTCCATCCATCACACAGAAATTGTCCGAGCATTGCCAAGAGAAAAATAGTATTTTTAAATTGGACTATGCGAAATTATTGGCTATGCTTTTTATTGATATCATAATAAAATAATATAATAAACAGTAATGTAAGCGTTTACTCTTGTGATATTTAATATATAATACTACTAGAATAGGTAACAAAGGTACACAATCTACCAGTTTGTATACGTTTGCCACCACTGTGAACTCAGATGGAATGTCACGTTACTAGTAAAAAAATTACGACCATACGAAACACAGCGGATTTACGCTGCTATTTTACGTTGGTATTCTGTGAAATTTTGGTACTTTTCCTGTCAAGCCGAACCATTCATACCGCAACTATAATACAAGTACAGCTTAACTCTACCATGAATAGTGTATTAATGCAAACTCTTTCATTTTTACCTTTCTTTCACTTCATGTGGATCGAAATTAGGTGGAACTTTTTCGAGCATCTCTTTAGCTTGTCTGTATACAGATGCTTCGCGCGTCTCGCCGCCGCCTGAACTAGACTCTTTCGGTTGGATAGACAATATTGTATCCAATAGCTCCTGAGTCACACTTCGCTGATATCTATAATAATAAATAACAAATATATATTTATAAAAACCAAAATTACGTTGTTTACGACGGTGACCGCAAGGACACCATTCAGTAGGCCGCACGATTTTTTTTTTGATTAAATTGTCACACCATACCCATAGTAGACATTTGTCACGCGTCGCCTCCACGATACACACATTTACACATAAATAAACATCCAGAGCCTGTGTAATTATTTGTAGGCCGTACAAATGCTTATTCTGTACGCGATTCAAATCGGCAACCAGCGCCGCAATGCCACTGCGCTACCTAGCCGTCATTTTGTACCGTCACATTATTTCATTGTGTGTTATTTTATTCAAACACGAGCACAGCCGCAGGTAAATAGAAATATATTTTTAACACTTTCTCATAAATTTCGGCTTATATGTTAGGAAAAATACCTTAATTTTTTTTATCTATTTCGGTCAAAAACTCTATATAAAGTAATATAAATTATAAAGTTTCCAAATATGACAACGAAAAACTAAAAAATTATTTCAGACTTACGTTATATCCGCATTTGTATGCAAGCCATAAACTTGGGGTGGGTCAACTGTTTTCATCTTCTCTATTTCCTCAATATATTCAGGGATGTTTTTGAAAGACATGATGCCGTAACTCTTATAGAACTGGAAGCCTTCCGAAAATAGTTGGTCGGTAAACCACACTCTACAAAATGTGGCCAGCAGGCGGTTATCATAATCGTCGGTCACCCGCCCACCATATTGTACAGCAGATATCATGTAGCTGTACAAAATACAAAAACGTTTTATAAAATTATTGACACATTTATTGTTACTCTTAAGGAATGAAGACTAGTAATGGAACTTAAAAACACTTTAAAGCTCATACATACATTTAGATGCATTTTTACAATGTTAAGCCGAACGTCCATCGCAAACTAAACTAACTTAGTTTATCCTTAGCTCGCATAGCTGAGCCAGTTTTTCATATATATGCGTCCACCGCAAGCTATTCCAGCTCAGCTATGTATGTACGAAAAACTGGATCAGCTATGTGGCGAGCTAAGATAAAGTAAGTTAGTTTAGTTTGCGGTGGACGTTCGGCTTTAGACTTATACGAGTTACGCAATATCAGTTTCAACTGAAGCCCCTCATCCTATAATGATGAGCGGCGTCAGCTCATTCAGTTCTATTCATTCTATTCACACTGCTTCAGTAGAACACTATAACATCTATTGATCTATTCATTAAATAGCAAAAGACGTGAGAATGAGAAACTGTAGTAAGAAGTGGTTTTTACTTAGATAAAAAATATTCCTATACTATATAGTTGAAATGACAATCACACTGAAAAAACTAAAACCATTATTTTACAGTATCTTCAGATTTTTCATTACAAAAAAAAAACAAAATTCACCAACGTTGGTAAATTGTGTTATCTGTGCTCTGAATAGCGCGTTTTATGTTTTGTTTTATCTAAATTTTTTCAGTTAGTTGTCCGTTTTACAGTTAATATACCTTTAGATTTTTTGGAACGGTTAACTCTCATAGTTAAAACTGGTGGTAATTTAGCCAACATCAGTAAGAAAATTAACCATCTTGTTTTTCTCACTTGCTTGCTTCAAAAATGAATTGATATATAATAAAATCTCACCGTACTGTCGTCCAACTAATCGGCTGTCCAACCTCTAATTCATCAAGATGATTTTGTACAAACATACAAGAAGCTAGCCAATCCGCAGAATTGAATTCATAAGGAATATTCCAACCTAAAGGACCGAACTTGCGTCTTTCTTGCACCACAGTATGTAGAAACGATATCGTGTAAATTAAAGGCAAGTAAAATGGACTATCGCTATAGTCTAAAAAGTCTTGGCTCATGGAATCGTAAGTTCTCATAAGGCCAGCCTTGACTCCTATAAAAAGTAATACATAAATTTTAAAAACAGATTACAAATTTCATAAATAAAAAATTAAAAAATATTAAACATCACCTGATGGGGGTTCACAAGTGTACTTAATGGACATTTGTAACAGCGTAATTGGAAACTTCGGATGGACTTCTGTAGTTATCCACAGCCTACAATAAACATTGTATACACGATACATTAATTTCGTGTACTCGTACTATTTATAAAACAGAAACTAAAATTACAACAAATTAAATTTATTTACCTGAATGTTTCGTGCACTTTCTCAGGTTCCTTTTCAAGTTCAGCGAATTGTTCCATAACTTCGACCATGTATTCTAAACCTAAATGACAGTTTTGAAGCAATACCCATATACCCTAAAGACATAACAATAAGTATATAATAAAAATTCGTAACTTGTTTATTTTATGATTCATAACAGTTTAAAAGAGTAAACTTCATACCTCTTTTAGACCACGATCAATAAGTTTTCTGGCATGAATTTCCTGTCCCTGTCCCATTGAGACAGACGAACAAATGCATTCCAGTCGCTTTGCCGTTATTTCGATTGAAGGCGTCGGATCCGATCCCATCGCCAAGAAACCAATAAGAGGCACTAATGGACGAGACTCGATAACCATTTGCTAATAAACAAACAATAGAATTTCAAGAAATATTACGATACTAATGAAATATAATAAACAAAATAATAATACAGCTATATATATATACGTCGCACTGTTGGGCACAGGGCTCCTCATTTCTGAGAGGGTTTTAGAGCAAGGGAATGTCCGCCGCGCTGCCTCAATGCGTGTTGGCGAACTTCACATGTCTTCGAAATATTTTTTTCTTATTTCTCAGACATGCAAGTTTCCTCACGATGTTTTCCTTCACCGCCGAGCACGTGGTAAATCAGCACTTAAAATTGCAATTAACAATTTCATTGGTGCCGGCGGGTATCTAACCCGGGTTGCTCGCGTACTGTGAAATTTACAGCGAGCGTTAACTATCTGAGCTACCACATCTTAACATATTAATACTTATTAATATTAATTATTAATATTAATATTTACAATATAATAATTTTAAATTAATACGTACTTCATAATTTACAATTACGGCTTCAGAATACTTAGCACCCATTGAGCTTATAACATATTTTCTGGAAAAAAAAGACGAACAATTCTTACACAACAAATTTCACTACAGGTAATCTTTACTTAACAGATAAATCTTTATAACAAAGTAAATAATAGGAATAACAAAAGAAACAAAATAATATAGAACGCACAAACTCTGTGCCAATGTTCTGTCTGGACACCAAGCTCGAACCATTAGCAATTTTCTGAAAACATCTAGTGTATGATAACCATCTGGAAGAGGTTCATCTTCTGGTGCTTCTTTGTCAAACCTACAAGTAAAAAAGTATTGTAGCAATAATGATTTCTTATATTTACGCGAAGAGTACACATTTAAAGAAAACTAATTTTTAATCTGGAGGTAGTCGTGGTTAACTATGACATTGGGACGTCATACACCTCAGTCCCCCCCCCCCCCCCGTGACCATGGGTGCTGTAGTGCTCGAAACTTCGGGAATATAAAATAAGTTAATATATGCGATAAAATCCGTAAAATTATTTTTATTTAAATATTGTAGCAATAATTAACCAATAGTAAAATGGTTCTGGTCGTGTGGCGGCGGCGTACTATGTAAGAGAATTCATCACACCCAATTCTAGATAACTGTGGAAAGTGCCAAAAAGTTCGCATGGTAATCGGTAGATGGCGTTATAACCATCTAGGTTACGTCAGATGTTAAATACCCAGACGGGTGACGGGAGGCAGCGATGAAGGTGTGAGACGTCTTGTACTGAGATTGCCAATCCGTCTGCCAAGATTAGCGATGAAAGCAAAACGTGGAAAAAAATGTAAAGGGTAAACTGAAGAAGTCATACTGTGGATTTGGATAGGCTATTGGTGATAACGACAATGATGCTGATGATAGTTTTATTTACAAAATAATCAATATCTTAACCTTGAACCTAAGTACGTACACCTTGCCGTATCTTTAAAAATAATAAATAGACCAACAAGCGGCGTGAAAATCTATAATCCATCCATACCAATGTAGAAAAATAAGTTTAAGCTTTTTAGATAATCAGAATAGAATAGAGCATTTTTATCCAACATTGATAAGATGTAATTCTTATTTTTTACTTTTACCCGAAAAAAATCTCTGTCATGGGAAGAACCAGCAAGAAACCCAGCGCGAATTTTTTTTAAGTAAATTAGGTACCTATACAAAATCAAAGGTCGTACAAACTATTTACAAAATTTATTTTAGAAATAGCTTGGAAGCGACTACCTCATTACCAGGGGTTGATATAAATGAATACGTGGTTGATATATTATGAACCATTATTCATTTATATTATAATAACGCTTTTTATACACTTTTTGTTTAATCAAATATTTAAACTTGGTAATAGAGAGACCTTGTACATTATCTAGGACTTGTAAATCAATCACTGACTGTAGAGTCAAGAAATTGTATCACAAATTATGAATGTTGAAATGTTTCGATTTAAAAAAAATACAAAATGTAGTATAGAATTAGATCGACTACATACTCGTACATCTACTGTACAGCAAGATTAATAACTCTTTCTAGACCATGTGTTTATACAATTTATATATAGATATATAAATAAAAACGTACCAATTTTTCCAACCCTTTTCATTGCTAGTCACCTGGTTTAGAATGTTAGTGAACTGTCGCAAACTTGACAACTGTACTAAATTTAACCACGACATATCGGTAATCCATTTAAATGGTTTTGGCGGACATGCATTCAGATCCAAAGCGGCACCACCTTAAAAATTAAAAATAACGGTTTACTTAATATTTTTAATTATAATGAATGTGAGGCCACAAGTTTAATTCATAATAATAAAGAAAGCATCAATTTATTCAACAAAGTTTACCTTTTATAAATGTTTGGAACTCTTCGTATGTAATATATTCCCTTTGTAAATCGATTTTAAGCGTTAACAAAACAGTAAATAAATATTTGTGTTTCTCATAAAAACCACGGCTGATATATTTAAAGACATCAAAAGTCTGGAATAATAACACAATAAAGAGGTAAATTATTATTCAAAAACAAAAAACCAAACTGTAGTTATCTTCTATACATATAATAAAACTGTAAATAGCAGATGTCTGTACATTTTATATTTTTGTAATAAAAGTGATTAAGGGGTACTAAAAATAAGTAATTAAATACATTTCTACCATTTTTAGAATTTTCTGTCTGTCTGTCTGTCTGTCTGTTTGTTTGTTAACGTATCACGTATAAAGTACTAATTTATATCATAAGAATTGTTAAGGAAATTATAAAGTGTATCTTCGGGTTACATTTAGTCTTTATTTCATTAAAATCAGTTCATTCTATCAAAAGTTATGATAAATATTCTGAAGTGGGTAGGGAAGTATAGGTACGAATTTGCTCAACGGTGGCTTTGTTCGAGTCATCAAGTGCATTTTAAACTAATATCATATCATAAATCATAGTTAAATTATGTAAAATAATGATATAATTATGTATATCTAAAACGCAGTAAACAAAAGTAATAAAGAACGTATTAAATAAATTATACAAAAATATATTAACCTTATTAACTAAATCTGAAGCACAATAGTTAACCCATTTCTTCGATAGATGGTGGTGTTGTGAAAATGTAATGCAATTGCAAATGTGGTTTTTTCGTGTATATGAGTTTTCATATTTACTGCTAATCTTTATTATATTACTCGCTGCCCTACTGTGTGTTGACAAACTCAATTTATTCTTTACCGCCGAGTACTCTATGTGGTAAATCAAATTTTAAAAGAGCTATTAACAATTGCATTGGTTTTGGCGAGAGTCAAACTATATTTTGTGCTTACTGTGCAGGCATTGATTTATAAGTTCTCTTACGTTTTATATAATGTATCAATCGCGTCAATTAATCTCTTTTATTTTTAGAATTGATGATGTTAGCAGCGCCATCTCTCTTTAAATATAAACATATAATAAAAATGATGATAACATGTTGTGTCTCTTTCTGTACATTGTATATATATTTTGGTGGCTAAAATCATTATGGGGAACTGAAGATAATTAAATAAGAACATTTTATAATTTTTAGAATTGTCTGTCTGTCTATTTGTCGCATGAACGCATCACGTCTAAAGTAAACATCTTTTATTTTCAAAGAAATCGTTAAGAATATCATAAAGCGTATCTTCGAGTTACATTTAATCTTTGTTTTATTAAAATTGGTTAATTCTATCGAAAGTAATTTTTGAAAACATTAATTTTGAAATGTAGGTTCGAATTTGTTCAATGGCGCCATAAAATCTCAGAAATAGTAATAAAAAGATTTCTGTGTAAAAAAAACGTTCCATAATAATTAATATATTTATACTTAAAACACAAAAAGAGATAGGATGTTTTCTCACACAAAGGACGTAATAGATGGAGTTGTACAAATTACAAACTTTTCTGAATTTCGGTGTTGAGATTTTTCCGATAAATCGTATTGAGACTTACTGAAGAAATTTGTATCTTTCGAAGCCATACAACGGAACCCGACCAAAAATAAAAATTTTGCAACGAAATGTCGTGATATTGTATTTAAAATATACGCAAAATCAGAACTTCCATGTTAGCGCTTTGGGAACTAGATTTAGCACTTTTTTGGAATGTATAGCGCGCATTTCGAAATTTTAGCACCTAGCGCTTAATCCAGCGCTTTTTGGTGTATTTAGCACACATTTCAATATTTTAGCGACTAGCGGGTTATTAACTCTTTTATAGCAGCACTGTTAGTCCACATTACCGATAATAATAATAATGACCTTTATTATTTTTTCCCACAAATAGTACATTGCAGTTTATCTTTTTCAAACATATTTTTTCCAAAAAACAAAGAGCATGGGAGACGAGTCCAAACTAGGATACCCTGTGCTATGGATCTCCTGGCTTCCCCTTTAGGATGATCAACTTGATTTTTTTACCGACGACTATAAGCGGGGAAATCCCCTTTATTAAAGTTTTCGTTCATGGTTTTGGCAACGCATTTATTTTGCTTTATTCAGTTTCAGTCAGTTGTTTAGAGCACAGCTAAGTTAAAAGTTACTTAGAAGTTATAACACAAAGAAACTGTGTAGCAACCGCAATCAGATGCTGACATCTGAAACTAAGTTGCGAAATACATTGCACTTTAAAACAATTAATGACATTTTTATTGTTCGTACAATACTAACTACTGTTGACAGCAATTGCTATAATTATAAGTCGATGTCCTGCGAAGTATTGATACATCAAAAAAATATTGCCAGAAAAAAAACTTAATGTTGTTTTCTTTATTATGATTATATAAAAAAACACAAACTTTGTTTGTAGTTAATTTAGCGCGAAAACTAGGGCTTTTTTAAAGCGCTGTTTTCATGAAATCTAGCGCTTTTTGTGTTGTCCTAGAGCTGAATGAGTTTTTTTTTATCTGGCAGCACTGTCCAAAAACCCTCTATTAAGAAGTAACTTCTTTCAGTTTTAAGCGCGTTCAGTTCCCAGTTACAGTGAGTGTGTGTTATGCGATGACCGTAAATAAAGCGCAAGGTCAAACTTTACGCGTTGTAGGAGTGTACCTTAGTACCACAGAACACCTAATATCTATATTAAGTGTTCTGTGCTCAGTACTGACTGTTTTGCACATGGCCAACTCTATGTTGGTTTTTCCCGCGTTAGTAGCCCCCGTAACCTTTTTGTGTATACCCCGGCTAAGCCTACTTCTAACGTCGTTTACACAGAAGCTCTATCATAAACGACTTAGAACTTTGATGATAATGATTTATTTTGTTACCACTTATTGATACAGTAATGAAATAAATCGTTTAATATTCTCTTACCTAAACGACAAATTCTTTATGTAAAACCTGTATACGCGAGCTACGCCGCGGGCACAGCTAGTCTACAATATTATTAATCTATTATATAAAAATTAATTTTTGTGTGTTCGTATTTTATACGCTTCCATACCGTATTTTATACATCAAGTTGCGCTGAAACTTTGTCAACTTATTGCTTACACCTCCGCGGTTATAGGTATAGTACAATTAACTTAAAGTTGATGACGTCCGTATCGTACCAATAAATTTATTTGAAAGTCATATATCATTCCTAATTAAACAATCTCTTCCAATTTTAAAAAGATATCTTCATTTCTTCTGCGGCAGCAAATACTAACCAGTAATATAATAATAAGAATACACGTTCATTTGTCGCGTTTTAAGCAAACGAAATGTTTGTACGAACATTGGAGTATTAGGTATTATAGGTAGTAGACATTTAGTTTGGAGATGAAGATGGATCTAACGACACATGGCATAGCAGTGTACGATACAGAAGAGTTCATGAAGGATTACTCAAACAATTTACATGCAATACATTCGTAGGTAAAGTTGGTATATATATATATGTATATATATATATATATATATATATATATATATATATATATATATATATATTATTTACTTTAAAACATGTTCTATACATACATATTCATGAAAAACATAAAACTACCTCTTCTGTTGAAAAAAATATTGATTTAAAACTATTAATAAATTATAGCAATGACAGTATAAAATATATAAGCAAATTATTATATGTAGAAACCTCAATACATACCAAATAATCAATAATGAACATGATCCTCTTCGTTGTAATGGGGCTCTGTGGCGATCTTTCCATAGAAATGTCGAAACGTTCCAAGAACTGGGCGAGCGAAGTCTGATACATGTTGCAAACGAGCGACATATTGCAGATCAGGAAGTACAGCACCGAGCCGCGAGTTGCCACAGGTCGAAATTCTTCCCTAGCCGCATTGATCTTTACTTCGGTCTCTTTGGCTACGTCCAATTTTTCTCTTACCTAGTAAAATATGATGACTTAGTATTTAAAAAAATGGACTTGAATTAAGTATAATGAAGTTTCAATGTTAAATTTTAATCTATGTGAATTTTATATCAATAAATTAGTAAACCTTTAAGCAATATGAGTTTTATATATCTCTACCAGTTAACTCATGGAGTGGTAAGAGTTTGGCGTAGGTGTAGCGATATAAAATAAAAAATAAAATACAAATTATAATTAAGTAATTATTTATTCTATGGTAATCTATACATTTTAATAATAAATAAACTATACATACATATATAGAAATATATACATACATACACATAAACACATATATACATATATAATTATTACACACAAATAACTATGAATATACGTCTGTTTATACAAATATGACACTAGCTGACCCGGCAGACGTTATTCTGCCCTTTCTGATTGGTGCCGCGAAGAGTTTATTTCACACACACACGCTTTTCTATAGATTTATTATACGTAATAGCTAAATCCTCTTAAGGACTAATAGAACCGTTAGCAGCCATAATGATAAAAAACTTAAAAAAAAGGGAAACATAACCCTTTTTTACTCTTCCCTAAGCGGATAAAAAGTTTCCTATATGTTATACACGAACATTTACTATCTATGTACAAAATTTCATGGAAATCTGTCCAGTAGTTTTTGCGTGAATCGTGAACACACATTTTTTTTCTACAGATTTATTATATGTATAGATGGATGATTCATGTAAGAAGCGAAATTATACCCATTACATGAAGAAAAAAATTCTCACCCCACATTAGGTTGCAAACATAAACATAAAAAATTGTCAAAAATACAAATCCCAACCTAGATGTCAATTTTATTAATTACCAATATAGTACGTGAGGGTAATATGGTCATGCGGTTAATATGGTCACTTTCTTATAACTCGAAAACTACAGCCTTGTTTGCATATATGCAATTCGGCTCTGTGATACGATAGCTCTTCATCAGTCTATCAAATAATAATGGGTCAATAAGGCGCTGTTTTATCGAATTTTATCAGTTGATATTAGGGATGTTACGGTTCCGATGTAAGGAACCGAATTCGGAAGCGGAGTTTCATTTCATTTTGTTTGTCGGAACCGGAACAGAAATGGGAACCGGAATCGGAGGTGGAGGCAGAAGAGATGTGTTAAGGGGAAGTCTATTGCACTGTATTTTTTTTTTCAGTTTCAAATTTTTTGAATTCTTCGAATTCAGTGGTATGCACAGACTTTAAATGACTTTTTAACGAAGTAGTCGTACATCCCTTTCGTGAATATAATATCTTCTCACATAGTTTATTTACACTTTACCGCATTCTCAGAAACTTCATTGAAATAATTCCAAATGGCACTTGATTTTGGCTTCATTGTCCCATTTAAATAAATTTGTTATACGTTAAATAAAACAACACTAAAACTAATCAAAAATTGGGATAAATATAAATGAAGCGCGAACGCACAACATGCCAATTGCCAAATACGAAACAAAACATCAAGTTAAAGAGTAATCGACACAAGGCACGTGGAGAGGGAGGTTCCCGAAGCGACAATTATAAAATTGTTTGTACACGCTGATCGTAGCCGCCGCCGCCACTGTGCATCGACCTCCGATATATAACTTCCGATTAAAATTTAACGGAACCAAAACCGAAGGTGCAAAATCAATCGGAAGTTCCGAACTTTCGGAATCGGAATCGAATCTCCGTAACATCTCTAGTTGATATTACGATTATTGTAAATATTTTAATCGATTTTTGTATTGTGTAGTGTAGTTAGTTTTTTTTAAGTTGATTTTTCAAAGTTTTCCTAATTATTACAAAAGTTTGTTTGCAATTTTTTCTTAATATATTAGTTATAAGTACACGACTTTATGTTTATGTCTCCGTCCTCCTAATTTTAGTTTCATAGAGCGATAAAGCTTAAGGTGACCATATTACCCTCACGTACCTTAGTAGTAGACTACCCGCCTCCCCCCAAACTAAATGTCAAAAGGGGGCCAGATTAATAGGGTGGTAAAATGTATTGAACATGAATTAAACCGTTTTAGCCAACTTCGAAAAAAGGAGGAGGCTCAAAATAAGACGGTATGTTCTTTTACGGGTGTATGTTACGCGGATTTTCTTCAGTTGTGTACAGACTTTTAGGCTTCTTTTTTATAAAACAAGTAAGGTCAGGTGTAAGAAAAATTCTAAAAATTCTAAAAAATATAAATTGTAAGAAAAAATCTACCTATTATGTTAGACAACTATTTTCCAGATTTTATACAATTATTTTAAGTTAACTTCATATAACAATTTAGACAACATTTGAACTTGAGATAAGTCCATTTAAAAGGGTCAAAATTAGTCAAGATATAGTGTATCAAAGAATTAACGCCCTGACTTCAGAAGCTTTTATGTGAAAATTATTTTAGTCTTTTTATTTCTTTCAAGTTGGCTTTTACTTTTTATCAAAAGTCTAATTTTATCGGTTATATTTTTGTTGGGATATCAGTAACTTAAAAAGTAGCCTAGGTTTTTGACGATTGTAAAATTTTATTTACTATTCTAAGCCAGCACTTAACTACAATCCCACCTGGTGGTAAGTGGTGATGTAACTAAAATGATGAAGCGCACTAACTTAACAAAGCCTATTCAGTCTTGCCTTGAAGGCACCCACATTGTAATCGGATGGAAAGACAGATGCTGGCAACTTATTCTACTCCTTTGCTATACGCATGAGAACGATGTAGCAAACCATTTGGTTAGAATCCGTGGTAAGTCAACAACGAAGATTCAGATAGATAGAAAAAATGGCAGTTTTAAATCTTTATAACTCAAGTTAGTAAAATAATTGATTTATACATGAAATTTGGGATTCAAGATATTCAAGGCATGTAAAATGACAAGTGTTTAGTTTCTCTAGGTTTAATAGTAATGGTTTTTAATGGGGGAGGAATCAAAAGTAGCTTGAAGTGATTTAAAAAAAAACTTTACCTCCACACTAGGATTTTCCCTTGTATCGTAAACTTAATTTTTTTATATTGCTTACTTCTGTGGCCGTTGCCTTTGTGACATTTAGCACTTGAATCAAAGTAACATCTTCGACGAGAGACCCTTGTATTGTAGTCAACTTGTGCAGCAAATTTGCTTCCAATTCTTGCATCTTTCTTCTGTTTGAGGTCACATCTACTATTAGTTGCGTGCGTTCTGATTCCAACTCTGCTTTTTCTGTTAGTATCACCCGACCTAGCAATTGATCTTCCAATCCTAGTAATAAATAAAATTTAATTAAAAATTATTATGTAGATGAACATAAATATGTGATTTTCTAAAGATTCATTAAGTGATAGAATTAGGCGTTACTTTGCGGAAACCCATTATATTAAAGACGTTAAAATTAATAAGCTCAGTTCCGCGTATAAAATAGAAATGACGTCTCTTACCTAGTTCGAAGAGCAACACCCACCCTCTCAATTCGGTATGTAAACTTTTTTTTAAGATGCCGTTTTTATGTTTTAGCTTCATACATTCTTCAGCAGTAGTTAAATTTTAATGGCTTTTAAAATTTTACTAATGATGACGACACAGAGGTAATAAATAACAAACTGTAATATTTGACATTTTATATAAATGCCATGTTGTAGTTTGCATTCACCAAATACAAACATTGTTTGATGATGAATTCGATCAAATAGTCTATTAGTAATTGTTTACACTACGTTAAACTAGTTTCATTAAAGAGAAAAACACTTTATTTATAAAATTTGTAAGAAAAAAAAACATTTGTGCCATATCGTAAATAACTTTGACGTAGTAACCTCGCGCAAACTGTTTAATAATTGAAATAAATTATCGAGGATGACAGTTTTACAGTCCCTCGTAGCATGGTAATGGTCACCGTATAGGTTATTGTGAATAAATCAAATTATAAATCAAGCAAAATAAGAAATAAAAAAATTTAAACGTATTACAAACAAAACCATGAAATTGACTTTTGAAATCTTTACATTTTTAAATCACTAGTTACCGGCCTCACGTCATTCAATCTAATTTGTGACGTCGTTTGACGCTGAAACGAAAGGCAATTAAATTCATGCATTTTTGATAAAATAAATGCCATCTCTTTCACCATTTTTAATACCTCTAAATAGCAAAAATACGGCTTGCAAATTAACAATCTTGAAACGGTTTCAAAATCAGCGTGGCATATATTTATTTTCAAATACCAAATTGCGTGCACTATCCCCGTCACCACTACCTTAGCGGTTATAACTTACCAGTCAGCTATCTCCGAGTCTATTTGTCCTAATGATGCCTCGTTTAGTGTCTTATTATCGACGGTGGTTTTTCTTTCCTAGTGTAGTGGTGTTGGAATATTTTTTTATTTTTTACGCTGATCTTCTCCACATAGTATAAAACCAAGTCACTTCCCGCCGTCTGTACGCTTAAATCTTTTAAACTATGCAACGGATTTTGATATGGTTTTCATCAATAGACGGAATGATTCAAGAGGTTTATATAAATAATACATGCATATTATATATTAAATAATTCTTCTGTCCGTGTGTATGTGAATGAAATCCTCCTAAACGGCTGGACCGATATTGATAAAATTTTGTTTGTGTGTGATTAAGGTGAAAGCTCCAGGGTGGCCCGCAAAATTCAAATTTTCTTGCGTTTTTTGGAATTTGCAGGTCAAGGTCAGGTGGTATGTTTAATAAAATATGATTCGCGACCGTAACGAGTATGTGTTTATAGAATTATTATCATTAAAATCAATAATACAACCCTCTAAGTTCATATAATCCCTTTGAATGAGTTTTTCTGGAAATAGCCATACAATGGGATTATACGAACATTTGTTGTATAAGTTGTATTGATGATTATAATGATTATAATTCTGTAAATACATACTCGTTACGGTCGCGAATCATATTTTGTTAAACATACAACCTGACACTGACCTACAAAATGCAAAAATCTTTAAATTTCGCGGGTGACCCTGGCGCTTTCACCTTAAGTTGATTAGAGAATGATTTAGATTCATAATTGGACCAGGACCCGATAGGTGACGTTGTTGTCATGCGAAGCCGTGGTGGATCGCTGGTAGCTATTATTTTTAATATCTTTATGAGATCATTTTTAAAACAGATTACATATAATTAAATATATATTACATTTTTACTCTGCTTATATATTATAACAATTTTAAAAAAAAATTATTTTAGGAACAATATAGGGGGAATATTTCAACTTTTTCACCCTCAATTGTTGAATGACAGACGAGTACAACTTTTGCAAACTGGCGTTATAAGTGCAAGGAATATCAGGTCGACGCTAGGCTGTAGTCGAGTAAATAATAAATTTTATATTTATATTACATTAAAAAGTCCAGAGTGAATCCAAAGCGTAACTCAAGGGGCAGAACAATATCTGCGGAACTATTCGTTATAATTTGTTTTTTATTTATTAATAAAAAAAAATTCATAGCATCTTTTTTGAACATTTAGAACCTATACATACCTTGCATAGTGACAGTAAAGTCAATTATAGAAGTACGTGCAGATATTTCTGGGGTGTAAGCAGGGTTAGGTAATTTAGTAGTAATATAGATTTTATGACTGGGCATTACGTCGATTTCTTTGTCTCCCAATTTGACCTGGAAAAGAATTTTATATAGCGAACACGATTTTATTCAACATTTTTGTACATTTTTAAACATAGTTTGTAAATACTTTGAATGTTGATCCAATTTTAATATAATTTTTCTCCAAAATATTATCCAAAGCTGGATCTAACTCTTCTGCTACATCTTCAATCAAAAGAGGTCTACCGAGAGAAACGCAGTCTTCAATATGATTCCTGTAATAAATAAAATAGAACGATAATTGAACTAAACTAAAAAAAAAAACATAATAAATGTTATTTTAGAAATGTTTGACTAATAATAAGAAATGTTCAATATTTTCTACAAAATACAATAAATATATTACAACGGCGTTTGAATGCTAAACGAAATTTAAAAAAAAATCAAACCGAAAGTATTTGTGATTTAGTGTAGTAACAATCAGGTCATTATATCTTTCCATGTTCTTGATCCAAATTTTCCCTTGCGTTTGTGGATCTATCAGCAGTGGAAAGCGAGCAGCTTTTGTTACGATTATACCATTTTGTATTGATAGCTCATCCGTTGGTAATCCATATAAATTCCACTCTCCAATCTGTTCAAAGGAATATTAGTTCGTTTTACCGGAAAGGAAAAAAACACAAATAATATTCTAATAGGTACCAAAGTGTTACATCAACCAATTAGTTTGGTAGATTTTTTTCCAATCTTTTATAAAAATATTTACAGTATAAACTTACAGGGTTATTTTGCAATAACCGACCAAATTTTCAGAGCAGGTTCAGAATAAGTAATATAGGAAATGGTGAAGAAAAATTTATTAAAATATCTCAAACATTGTCTTTTTTATCTTTTAAATTCAAAATGCGTGATAATGCATTATTTTAACTGATTTTACTGCGCACGCACACATACGTAAGAGTCGATCGGTAGGCAAAAACGTTGTTGACCATAAACCGCACTCAATTTGGGGTAATTTCAAATAAAATTAGAAGCTTTATTTAATCATATTTTCAAAAACTGCCATAACAGTATATCTTTATTTATATAAAAATTTCGGTTAAAATTTGGCTATTCTTTGAAAAATAATCCTGTATATGTAATTTTAATACGTATAATTGTTATTTTACTAGTTTTAGATGATGATAGATTCGATTAGAATGAATTAAAAATTCTTTACAAAAAATAAATTGTTTCAGACGTACACAAGTTTGAAAGATAGAGTATAGTCAAAAGCTCCACAAATTAATTATAAACATAAAGCAAATTAATCATTAGTCTTTTATTTTCATCAACGCCCAACAAATAAAAATATTGATGATATCAAGAAATACGAGTTTCATACAAAGTAGGAAGGTTCTTGAAATTAGTAAAATAGAAAATTATTTTATCCAAAAAAAAAAAACTACACTTAAATGTATTACTGGATATGTATCTAATAAGTACCGTGGCAGTGTCGGTGAGTTCCTCTGTTATACTTAAGCTCATTGATACTGGTACTTTACGTTTTATCAACTCACTGAGCCAATTGCTAACTAATAAGTTACGAAATTCTTGATTAAAAGGTCCTGAATATGACAAAAATCTGTAAATAAAGTACAAAATACATGTTTCATTGTTATTGATCTTCAATTATATTTCAATTATAAATTTATCATCATCAATTCAATACAATCAATCATCAATTGAATTATCTTGTAGCTTTCAATACTTATTAATCATATCCAACAAAGACTTTCACTTTCCTACGATGCTTACAATGTATTATTTTAACATAATAGTTTGAGAATCGAACTAACAAGCAAGTTGTTAATCCGGCTTACAGCTTATGTACATCTGTAACTCTTCTGTTATATCATCACTTACCCATTAGGTGGGATAATAATCAAGTACTGGTTTATAACAGTTAGAAAAACAACCTTCAAACAAAAGTGACATATACCACTACATAATATGTTTCCACACCTATGCATTAAGATAAAATATTTCACCTCTTCAATTCGGAACCGGTGCTCAACTACGGACAGCTCAGGACAAATAAGCAAGAGGATGGTACCAATAACAATCGTTCATAAAATTTGTATGCAATTTAATATGTTTCCACCTAGCACCTGTCACAATTTCTTTATTATAGAACTAATTATAGACTGGTAGTTTAGCGTGTCCACAGTATAGATTACGTAATACATAAATTGCGTGAAATAAACTTTATTTTGAGGTGGCACCTTTACCGATAATGTATATAACGATAATACCTATATAACCGATAATGTGACCGATAATAAAGTAACCATTTCGACAATCATATAAATTTTAAAATACAAAGATGGACGACGCTATACTATACCAGAGGTCTATTAGGAACTACAAACAAACCACAAAACAAACCTATCTTGGGAGAGGTCTTAAACTGAAAATGATGATGATTTTTGTCCATACCATACCATTAGAATGTATTTGTAGTAATGTAGAAAACGCAATATTTGAATACAGTCGATACAATAGGCTCACCCAATTAATAACAAAATGTCCCCCACTAGCCGCTCTATCTGTGACTTGAATAATGTTGACTGTTCTGTCCATCGCACACGTTCTCCACTAAGGCCGTTAATAAGCGCTGTTGCAGCATCCATTTTCTGCTGACATTTGGCGGCATCGTCCAACACGGCTTGTTTCAACGACATTGCCTCGTCAAATTGTTTCTGAACTTCTGCTAATTCACGCTAAAAAGAAATTAGGTTTTGTAGCTTTGCAGTTGTTTTAAAATTTGATCATTTCATTCTATGAACCCGTAAATTTAATTAATTATCTAGTAATACTGTAATGTCTTTCAAGAGAATTTACGAATACTGCGGTCAGTCTCAACAGAGACTAGCCAACTGCGCACAACAGAATTATAGTACACGAGTTTCTGCGTAAACGCAGCATATGTTCTCTCTATTCCTTTACTCATAGTCCAATAGAACAGCAATCCTTCACGGCCGGAGAAAGATCAAGCGCAGGAACGACTTTACGTGCTTTTCGAGGTTACACTTCCTGACCTCGGCACACTGGCTAACTTCTTAACAGGAAAAAACCAACAACTGATTTTGACCCGACCAAAGATTCGAATCAGGGACCACATGATCAGTGGTCAATTTTCAAACCACTAGACCAGAGACAGTTAACGTTATACTAATGGTATATTCAAATAGTATTAGTATTACTTTGACTGATAGTCTGGCACTGCGAATGCCAAGCGTGGCAAATCCTCCATACCAAAAATATATTTTTTTATAGGATATGGGTGACAAATGAGCATACAGTCCACCTGATGGTAAGTGGTTGCTGTAGCCCTCGATTACAAATCAAAATGCAGATGCGTCGTCACCCGTGAGGACTAAGATGGAATGCCTCGTTTCCAGTAAAAAGGGTCTCCGGTTCTCTGCACTCACCATACGAATCACAGTAACGTTAAGCTGCTATTTTACGCTGGTATTCTGTGAGAGCGAGGTCCTTCCCCGGTCGAGCCGACCCATTCGTGCTACAACCATACCACTAATATAGCTGCAGCATGGCTCTACCACGTCCAAAAATACAATAATATTTAGATACCACTTTGTAACAATATATTTTTCTTTAGTAGACTCACAAATATACATTGTTCCTTAGTACTTATTAGGAATTAGAAATCACAGACCGATTTCAATACATCTTTGTCTTTTAATTATCTAAATATATATCTTTGGTTAAATTTAAACATTCGCATTAAATCATTAAAATAATTTAATTGTTGTTAGCTAATAAAATATCTACTAATATTATTTCTACGAATTAAATAAGTTCGTGGAAGATTACCTCTTTTGCTTCTAGCTGTGCTTCGGCGGCTTCTAGTTCTTTCTTAGCGGCTTGATACTTGCCTTGCATGACAGCCAGATTAGCCTTAAGCGGCAACACGTCTTTGTTCACCGCATAAAACTGTGCCATCGCGATGGTCCATGATATTAACCCCGCTACATTACCGCATGCTATTTTAGCGGCCTCAAAAGTATACTGACTGCAATGTTGTATCAAGAATTAAAAATTAAAAATTTTGTACCACCGGTTTCAATATAAATTATTAAGAATAATTCAAAAACTATTTTTCAGACCTTGATCACATGAAAAACACCAGCTTTTAAATAAAAAAAAAAAGAATCATCGAAATCGGTCCACCCAGAAAAAAGTTATATAACTTTTTCCCCGACCTATTATATGGTAAATATTTTAAAATGAAATTTTCATATTATAAAACCTGCAAAATATTAAGACAATCATCATCATCATTCTCATTACAGCCCTTCACAAGTCCACTGCTGAACGTAAGCCTCCCAAGGAATGCCACAAAGCACGGTCCTGAGCCACCTGCATACATCGACTTTCCTGCATGTCTTACCAGGTCGTCACTCCACCTAGTGGGGGACGGCCTACACTTTGCCTACCGGTACGACGCTGCCACTCGAAAACCTTTTTTCCGCATTGGTTGTCGGTTCTTCGAGCTTTATGGCCGGCCCATTGCCACTTCAGCTTACTAATCCGTTGGGCTATGTCCGTCACTTTGGTTCTACTGCGGATATTCTCATTCCTAAGTTTATCACGCAGAGAAACCCCGAGCATAGCCCTCTCTGTGGCTCGCTGAGCGACTATTTATATTTAGTTAAATTAAGAAAATAAACGCCATCAATACAAAAAACAAATGGAACAGTAGTTTCACCTATAGTTGAAGTACGGCTGTAATAAGTCAACCATTTCTGCGTTAATTTCATCCTTTGGATAATTTTTAAGATTATTCAAGAATCTTACGTCAGCCATAACCTGTTTGGAAAAAATAAATAAATTGGTTTTTAATTTTTATCAAAAAGCGTTAATAAACAAGAAAAAAGTAAAATGTTACCTTCAACGACTCGGCCCAAGACGGAATTAAGAACTGTTTGTCGGGATCAGGCTTAATAGGATCAATACGTTTTCTGAAGAGAATAATTACAGCGTCCATAATAAGAGTAATCAGGAATGGCGGTTTGCCTAATTTCCGTACCGTCGCAATATCAGCAGCATTTATAGTCTGTTAAAACAAAATCATAATTATTAATTGTATTGTAAGATTTTAGCAAGGAATAATGTAAAATCATAATTATTAATTGTATTGTAAGATTTTAGCAAGGAATTATGTAAATAGTATATTTATTTATTTATCATTATCTTCGCTAGCAATAGATCTGTAAGTCCATGTATGGTATGTGCAATGTTACCATCCTATCTACTTGTTTAATTTGGCATACATGTGGTTTCTTGTAGATAAAGTATCGTATAGCTCTTATCTCGCTATGCGTCTATAGACTTCTTGAACAATCGGAAGTCTAGCACTTCCGAGTCGATAGTACAAATGCACGTGCCTTAAGGTACAATTCTCGGCCCGTCTCTGTTTCTTGTATATATCAATGACTTACCTTACATAGTAGGGGATAACTATGATATAGTATTATTTGCTAATGACACTTCATTAATTTTCAAATTAAAACGACAATTTCTAAAATATGACGAAGTAAATAATGTTATATATAAATTAATAAATTGGTTCAGTGTTAATAATTTGAATTTAAATACCACTAAAACGAAATGTATAAAATGCATGACCCCAAATGTCAAACATTTACATACTAATGTAATTTTAAATGGGGTCTTATCGATACCACCATTTTTCTTGGAATCACACTAGACGCAAAGCTTCAATGGGCCCATTGAAGCTTCTTTTTGCTTTCTACATATCAAAATTAGCAAGCAGACTTAGTTCTGCAACATATGCTGTAAAAAGATTAGAAATCATAACAGTGTTGAAGCAGTTAGACTCGTTTACTTTAGCTATGTCCATAGCATAATCTCGTATGGTATTTTGCTATGGGGACACGCGACTAACACTGATATTATATTTGTTTTACAGAACGATCGATCGATTGGTGTGGTAACACCCTTACTGAGTCAAAGCCTCAGAGCCATGTACACAGGTTTTAATAGTCCTTACTAAGTTATATTTATGTTCCATGGTAGGTTTTATTGTTTTGTATATTTGTAATGTAATTGTTGAAATAAGTAAAAAATATATCTCCTCAAATCATAAAAATGCTATAAAATAAACTACATTACCAATAATGCAGCTTCAGCTGCATCAAGAGCGGGCTTTGCAGCTGCTAATTTGTCTTCAGCAACTGCCGTTTCTGCAGCGATCACGTTGACCAGTTTGACAGCACGTTCCTTTACAGCCAATACTTCTCCTTTCACTACTTCAGCAGCTGCTGCTGATTCCGCCACGGCTGCCAAAACCTTTGAAAATGTGTTTTATTAAACTTTACTGCAAACAAAGACTAAAGATTATTATTGTATCCAGTATATATCCGATAAGTAAAGTAGCACAGTAATTCAGGGTTCAACAACTGTGCTGTTTGTCACAAGTTCGATTCTAACACGAAACAAGTATTTGTATGGTCTACTCTTTATATTACCAGTTTACAAACAGTTACCAATGTTTTAAAACCAAAGCTAAAATAGCACCTACCTAAGCATAATAGGAATTACATTGACGTTATTTTCATTGCTTCAAATGTATTTGAATTAATACAACCTTTTACACAAAAATGATAGTGTCAAAATAATAGGAGGATGGTATTTATTTCGTTCAAAATAAACATGTATCTACCTCTTCTGCTTTATCAGTAGCTTCTTTTATTTCAAGTTCTTTTAGTTCTAGTTCTTTTTTCAAAATATCCACACTTGCTGCAGCTTCAACCAACTTGTCCAGACCAGTAGTCATTCTGTAATTATTATATAAATTTTCCCACAACATTCACTAAGCGTTAGTATGTAAGTAAGGAATCACCTAATTATTATTATTTTTCGTAAAATTTGAAATAACTACCAAGATATCTGACAGCCGATAAATATCTATTAAAATCGTAAGTCCGTCCAGATCTGGAGATGATATATATTTCTAATTTGGAAGAAGCGTAAAACTAAGAACGGAGAGTTATAAGCTGGAGATGATAGAAAGGTTTTAAGTAATAGAAACAAGCTGCAACTATTTTGTTGTGACCGCAGCAAGAATAGGTTTCCTGGAACGGAGGAAGTATCACACTTTTACATAACATCACGTGAAACAGCTGCTACGTGCTATGGATTGGTGTTGGTGGTGTTTCGTTTGGTGAGTGTAGAGAACTGAAGACCCTATTTACTTGTAAAGAGACATTCCACTTTCATCTTCAGGAGCGATAACGCATCTTCATTTAGACTCTTAGACGAGTACAGATATAGGTGATGATTGCGTTCCACAGGGGACACATTCACTTACCATTTTTTGAACTATGTGCTTAGTGTGTACTCGTTTATTCCTTTCAATCCCATAAAAAGATAATAATGATATTGGCGACGTAAGCTAACATGATGCATATTTTAAACGTGAAAGGATTTTCATACATAGAGTGCCTCATAGATTGATATTTACCATTCCTATTATAGTTCCATTCCGTGTCGCCTGTTACGATACCCACGGGACAATATGGGGGGTGCGTAAATATCATCAGCTCTGGACTACAAATATTATATTTAAAAATATAGTGCATCAAAAAATGTATAACCTTTTTGCCATTTCCGCAATATTAGTATGTTTTTCCTTGTACAAAACCTTGTAGCCTTCCAAGAAAGACAAATAAGACTTCGGAGTGACATGGGTTTGCCTCCGAAACCTTTCATAGTACGTTGTACATGCCTCAGCAACATTGTCTTGAACCATGCCCATTACTTCGATCAATTGATTTTTAGTTTCCGCTGAGCAGACAATCTATTAAATTAAAGAAAAAGGTTTGATATCCTCAAGGTGTTTGTCTCTGCGTGACCCACGGTCATGGAGCGACTGATGATGATCCAAAGCACTCGAAAAAATAAGACGAATGAAACGCGATAAATTCCATAAAACTTGTTTTATTCAATTAAAATTATTTTGTTTTCCACTATTACGGCCCCTTTCTACTTTCTATCTGATGTGTAGTCAACATCAGAGTTTAATCCTATTTTGGATACCCTGATTATCCAATAGAAGCAAAAGCCAATTTCACTTACTTTTCATGTAGTGGCTAATAAGTACGCAACAAACATAGCAATGATTATATTAAAATTAAGTGATATAATTAAATAGCGCGTGCGAGAAAAAAATCGACACGATATTTGGTTAAGTACCTTGCTGCCAACAATTATATATGTCCTCAAACAGCTCTATAGGTACTAAATATTTTGCTTCTAGATCTCTTAAACTTTTGCATGGACCCAACCCTCGACAAATGGAACGGGCCTTTATGCTAGATGAAAGTTTGCAATCCGAAAAACAATTGTATAAAGATATTCAAATTAACACTGACTTTGGTTCGTATTCAAAACAGAACAGTGCCCAATGAAAAAATTAATCAACTCAATTCATCAAAGTAATCAAACATACCTTGAAGTCAGCTAGAAAATGTTGAGCAACTTCTATCAGTGCCTCCCTTGGCCACTTTTGGAACCAATCCATTGTAGATCCGGAAATAAGTCCAGGGAACTTCAAGGCTCTACTACGGAATTTTTCACCTACCTATAAGTAAATTTAAAATGAAAGAACAAATCACAACTATTACCAACAGCAATATATGTATATTCATTACCGGGGAAAAGCATAAAACGACATGCAAATTAGCTCTGGATCGCATTATAAAGTATTCATATAACACATCTGGTATGGGAATCCTTCTTGGTGCAAACTTTTTCATTATAGGTGTCAGTTCGTTGAGAATTTCATCTGAAACAAATTTTTATCTTATTTTGGAAATTGGAGAGTAATACATATAGATTGTGTTGTGATTTCTAGCTTAGTAATAAGCACAGGCTTCTTAATACCGTCAAAATCTATCAACTGCTTCTATATCCTGTATTACTGAATTTTAAATTACATAGAAAACACAAACTATTAAATTAAGGCCTAAAATAAAAATGTAATAATAATCTCTAAGCTGAGGAGACTCTAAAGGTCGAGGGTAATGAATGGAAAACAGCGGACGATGCAAGCACTATGTAGAAGCATCACTGCGTAAAACGGTCCCATGACATATTACCCCGCATACCGACACCATATTTTTTTCAGGTTTTCTGTGTCAGCTTTCACCTAAAAAAAATAGTAACTTAATGTGAAAACTTCCTCCACTATTCACAATAATAATGTAATCATCCAAGATGAAGAAGAACTGTTTCACAAGATGAAGAATCCTGGCTACTAAGTTGTGTCTATTTGCGCAGACAAAACCTAGTACGAGTAGCTCGGGCGACAAACAATCGGTGATTTGCCTCAGTAATGCATCGAAATTATCTTCGTTGCTGTCCATTGAGATATCTTCTCATATTTCTTTATTAGCTTCATTGCAGGACATATGCAAAGTTTCATTATATTCAACATATTCAAAGTTTGTCAATAAACAAGTTTAAAAGTTTTATTAAAGAAAAACTGTACAAAAAGGGTTATTATAATATCAAGGAATACATGAATGAAAATAACCCCTGGGAATAGGGTGATCGCCACCATGCTGGTTCTATGAAAAATCATTTAAAAATTGTATAAAAAAAATTATTTTTAAGTGAAATTAATTTAAAAAAAAGTCCCGCTGGGTTTCTTGCTGGTTCTTCCCAGGACTGAGGTATTTTCCGAACCAGTGGTAAATAATAAATGACTTTCAATAAGTATTATGTAATAATCAATATTAAATAAAAAATTATTCTATTCTATTCTATTCTATGCATAAATGTACAATAGGAATATCTCCTATCGTTGGAAGGATCGGCTTTAATCACGAGACTAGGTGGGAAATGCTGTTTCTCATCGCCATAGACTTGTTTTCATAGAACATGGTGACACAAGCACACAGTCTACCTGATGGTAAGTGGATGCTGTGACCCATAGATTCGTGCGTTGTCACACCTTAGGACTAAGATGGAATGTGTTTCCAGTATAAAGGGTCTCCGGTTTTCTACACTCACTAAGCTGCTATTCTACGCTGGTATTATGTGAAAGTTTGGTCCTACCACGGTATAAGATGACCCATTCGTGCTACAACCATAATATACCTGCGGCGTGGCTCTACCATGTAGACGTAGTCACACTGCCACGCCCAAAGGACGAAATTGGGTGACTGATGCGCCGACGGCTCCTCAATATTGTAATCCTAGGATTTATCCCGAATAATTATTGGTCTAAATAAACTGTTCTACATTTTACGTTAAATAACATTTGATCTCGTCCGCAAGTAATTACAGAGGCTGCAAACCTCGCTATAGCAGAGGGCGTTTAATAATCACATCCACCATGCTTCTGCATCATGTACCGCCTCATCACAGGCAATCTTTGATAATGCGTCCTGTGAAACGTTATGATAGTGCGACCTTTTCTGTTTATGGTGTCTACATTAATTTAATTCTACCAGATTAAGCTAAAGGTAATAAAGAAAGGCAAAGTACTCGTAATCGTTGTACAGGGTTTTTTCATAAAAAGCACTCGAACTTTGCAATAAAATAAAACGTAACTGACGTTTAAGTGATGTGTCCAAAATTTTTATTTTATTCTAAATGGCATTCGTTGACATGTATGGAATATAATTTCAGCCAAATAAAAATAGTCGCCGCGACTTCACTGTAGGTGGTGTGGTGTACCTTGGTGGACCAATTTCGGACGATAAATTCGCATAGATTGGTTTCAATTTCATGAAGAACGTGAGTTATGTTAGCCTTCAGGGCGGCAATTGTCTGAGGTTTGTCTATATAGACCAGAGATTTCACGTTACTCCACGATAAGTAATCGAGCAATGTTGCAGAAAGACCCAACGCTTGCACACGACGCGGAATGGTCTGTCCGAGATTTTTTCGCACAGTGTTCGTAGTACCGAATGTTACGCAGATTTGATGCTGAACAAGTGACGTAACGATCGAATAGTAGCGGGGTAAGAATAACATACACTACCCCACATCGTCCCGTGGGTGTTGTAAGCGGTGACAAAGGGGAACAAACCTGAGATGGGCAGCAGCGTCTTCCTAATAACAACTAAAAAAGAAATAAAAAATTGCGGTTGCCAACCCGCACGCTAGGCGTGGCAACTGTAGCAAATGGGAATATTTGGCTATGAGGCAATGTATGGGGGAAGGCCTATGTGCAGCATTTGATAGCCTGTAATGGTAAGTTTTATGCTGTTTATTCTATCGGAAGCAAATAAATATTTTGGACAGCTTTCGCTTTGTGAAGTTTGAATAGACTATAAATATATAACTTGACAAAATTGAGCAGTGTCTTACCCATTTCTTCTTTAGGAAAGAGATTAGCGATTTCGCCGGAACTGAGAATATTATTAAGAAACTCCAAGAACTGCTCGTCTTTAATATCATTGTCGGTAAATATAAACGTAATGCCTAGCCCTTGTAATCCCGCTACACGGTACAAAACTTTTATGTCCTCCATAAAATTGTTGACATTATACGCCCTGAAAATTTAAACAATAATTTGATCTATTAAAGTCTTATTATGATCCAATATATCTTTATATTTATTTATTATTTATTGTATTTTTTAGGATAAGGGTGACAAACGAGCACACAATCCACCTGTAGGTAAGTGGTTGTTGTGGCCCATAGACATCTACATCAATCCTCGATTACGAATCAAAATGCAGACGCGTTGTAACCGGTGAGGACTAAGATGGAATGCCTCGTTTCCAGTGGAAAGGGTCTCCGGTTCTCTTCACTCACCATACGAAACACAGCAGCGTTAAGCTGCTATTTTACGCTGGTATACTGTGAGAGCGTGGTCTTTCCCCGGTCGAGCCGACCCATTCGTGCTACAACTATACCAGTAATATAGCTGCAGCATGGCTCGACCACGTAAAGCACACTACCTACACGTATTGTACATGAAATAAAGAAAAACAGGAGTATAATTGAAAGTTTATTATGTACAACAGGTGATTTAATCACTCTGAAAGTAATATCTTCCAGGCAACTTTTACGTTCAGGACTGATGCAAACAATAATTAAAGTAGAGGAAGGTGTACGAAAAAACAATATGTAAATATAATGTAAAAAATATAAATTATAACATATAAATATTGACATGTACAAATGATAACAATTAAAGTATGGAAATGAAAATAATACGAAAAGTTAAAGTAATTTACATAAAAGTGTTCTAAATAAGTAGTAAAAAGTTAAAATTTACCTCGTTAGCGTGATCTGATAAAATCTAAAATTTGCTATAAATGAAGCTAATTTAGTCAAACTCTGTTTACCGGAACCACCGACACCAACAAGTAACGCATTTCCTCTGTAATAATCGAAAGAAATTAGTAAACATTTCTGATACGCTATAAAGACGGACAAAAGCTTTTTCTTATTTATGTCTTAGTCATCATTACGGCCTTTCACAAATCAACTGCTGAACACAGGCCTCCCCCAAGGAATACGAGGATAAAAACGAGGATATCCGCAGCAGAACCAGGGTGACTGACATAGCCCAACGGATTAGTAAGCTGAAGTGACAATGGGCCAGCCATACAGCTTGAAGAACCGACAACCGATGGGGAAGAAAGGTTCTCAAGTGGCAACCTCGTACCGGCAGGCGAAGCTTAGAGCGTCACCCGACTAGTTGGTGTGACCACCTGGTAAGACATACAGGAAGTTATTGTAGGCAGGTGGCTCGGGACCGTGCTTTGTGGCATTCCTGAAGGGAGGGCTATTGCGTTAGTAAACTGGCACAATTGTCAAATTTCAATTCAGTATTAATATCGTAATATCAAACAATACCTCCTCTTATATTTTTTTTTATAGGATAGGGTGACAAACGAGCACACAGTCCACCTGATGGTAAGTGGTTACTGTGACCCATAGACATCTACATCTAACCTCAATAAAGACTCAAGATGCAGATGCGTTGTCACCCGTGAGGACTAAGATAGAATGCCTCTTTGCCAGTAAAAAGGGTCTCCGGTTTTCTACACTCACCATACGAAACACAGCAGCGTGAAGCTGCTATTTTACGCTGGTTTTCTGTGGAAGCGTGGTCCTTCCCCGGTCGAGCCGACCCATTCGTGCTACAACTATAGCTGTTATATTACTAATATAGCTGCAGCATGGCTCTACCACGTACAAATAAAATTCAATATCATTATAAAGATAGACATAGAAATGGAAACAAAACACTTACCTAGGAGTATTTATGATTCGCGATATAATAAACAAATGTACCATACAGTCGTGGAAAAATACTAAATCTAAATGCGCTCCTCTAATTTGTTCATTAAATTGATCTTGGAACTGTCCTAGTTTTGTCAATACAAAGTCCCACCTGAAAAAAAAAACACATTTTTACCAAAATCGTTATGTGAACACTTGCAATACCTAATTTTAAAGACTATATTCAAACCAATAGAACAGTATATATAGCATAATATAACGACAAAATGAATGATATGAATGAAAACTGTTTATTTTTCGACGTAAAAAATTAAAACTTCATTTCAAATCGAGGGTCTTTTATCCGGAGAAGAAACGGCGAATGATTTCCCCGGTTTCCCCTTTTTGAAACATTGTTTTAAAGTTCAATATTACAATATTCTTTATTAAAAATAATAAAGAATACTCGTAATCAAAGCATATTCCATAATCAAAATTACACAAAAAAACATTCAATATTAAAGCTAATAATTATGTTGTAACCCCAGTTCCCGAAAGCTGCACCTGTTCACGAGTATACCGCATGTGGGAGCCGTAAAAAATAATTTAATAAAACTAAAGGTTTAGTTCTCACGATGGTATCTCTTCATATATTTTAGGAGCTTCGGTACTGAAATCCTCGTCCTCATCGCCTGTGGGATCAATGGGCTCTCTAAGGAAGTTGACGAAAAATGTTTCTTCAGTTGGAAATTCGTTAACAACATCGGGTAATTCTCGAGCTGCCGTCTTCCAAAAGTTGGCCACAAACCAATCCTTATCATCAAATGTGGTAAATCTGTACAACAGACGTAATCATTTTATAGAAGGTATTTTCGTTTTTCGAATAATAAAACTTACACAAGATACGAAATAAGAAAGGAATACTTCCACATTACACACTTTTAATGACCGTACATTTAATTTACATGTTACCAATATTTTTTGTAGTGAAAGTATAATCTAATAAATAAAAATTAATTTTTGTTTGGTCGTATGTTATGTGCAGGCATACCTTTCATCAGATTACTGTAAAATTTTGTCAACTTATTGCTTGCACTTGCGCGAATGTTATGGTATATGTATAGTGCAATTAACTTACGGCAGGTGGCGCGCATAACGTACCGATTTTATTTGAAAGCTGAAATATATCATTAAGTTTTAAGGAATATATTATCATTCCCCATTAAACAATATAACTTTTCCAAAACTGATATTTCCACAATTATTTCTTCTGAGACAGCAACGCGCCGAGTACCAGCTAGTTACAATATAAAATAGTAGTAGTTTTTTTTTTGCATATTATATATCTCAATTTATTACCTATCTGAAATAACCCTCACACATTCATGGAACCACAATTTCAGCGCAGTTACTATACTTTGCAGTTCTTCTTTCTTGATATAGAGTATGCCCTCCCAAATTCTGGATAAATCACGCAAATTAAACACGTAGTGGAATTTTGCTGGAGTCGGCAACATCTTAACCTTTAAACATTGAAGGCATTATTTATTGCTACTCCAACTTTATTCCGTAGATATTTACAAGTGTAAAATCAAATTTATACCTTTGTTTGTTGCCAAATCATACGAGTCACGGGTACCAGCCTTGGCATAAACTCTACAATCTTTTTATCAAATCGGGTCTTACAGAAATAACCCGCACTTATAGTTTCTGTATTAAAGAAACAACAACATTGAAGATTTAATTAATTATAAATCTATTAATGTATAAATAAAATCTTAATAATGCTCAAAAATTACTTGCCGAAAATTTTATCCATAGAAATATTGCTAGGAAGAGTACAGTTAAAAATATTGAACTGTCTCTTCAAGCGAGGTGGAATATCATTGCGACCACCACCTACAAATTTAAAAAGCATTTTTAGATTATTTCTTACTGAAAAAGCGGCATTTAAATAATTTATATAATTTTGTTACCAGGATGTATCATGGCACCAAACATTTGAATGTCCGCAATTATAATGAAGTCTCCAGGTTTATCTAAAGAATAAAATCCACCGCACTCCATCATTTGCCGTACTATTTCGTTAGTTACCTGTTTAAATACAATTGTATTTTAATATGGCAATTATATTATACGTATTATATTAAGAAGTCATCGTTAAGGTTAAAACTACTCGTAGTATGGTAATTGATATAAATATAACTTCGTGTTAATAAAATTGTATAATCAATGATTGTCTTTTATTGACATTTTTTCGGATTAAGTATAATATTTATGATAGGCCCAAGCAACTTTGATTATAAAAATTAATAGATTTCTATTTAGGTATACTTGGGAACTTGAGAATGAAAGGAAGAGAATGGCACCAACCCAAATGAACGGCAGAAAAGTAAATCAACAGGATAATACTAACTAAGTTTTAAGCCTTCTTTTCTGTCTATAATACTACTTGTGTTAAACCGAATTAACACCTTTTGATACGTTATAATTTGTTTTTTTTTGTTTCCTAATTTCCAACTTACCTGATCACCCCACTCGTTTACTACTGGCATATTGATGTCGTCCACGAACACTGTCATACTTCGGCCCCCAGGAGGGCCATACGTCATACCCACGCGTTTCTCTACGTATGATTCGATTATTCTCTAAAATTAATAAGTGAATTAATAAATTATCGATTTTAATTCATCATCATCGTTAATAAACACCGTACGTAATAATCCAAGCTTATATAACAAACATAGAAAGTCGCCGCGTCCGTCACTTCACAATGATGAGTTTGAAAAGAGCTCAAATTTTAAAAGTAAAGTTACACAGGCTATGTAGATGCCATTGCTGGGTGCAGTCCTCCTCTTACTTCTAAGAGGATCATGTGGCAATTAGTCCGCCGCGCTCATGCCGCGCTACTCCAATGGGTGTACGCAGATGTTATATACGTCCTCAAAATACTTACATTATGTTTCAGACTTGCAGGTTTCTCATCATATTTCCCTTCACCGCAAAACACGTAGTGAATCAGCACTTTATATTGCAGTTGATTTGTACAAGACTCAAAGTCGCTTATATTTACATATACAGGGTTATTTTACTGCGCACGCACACATTCGTAAGGGTCGATCGGTAGGCAAAATCATTGTTACCCATATATAGCATTCAATTTGGAATAATTTCAAGTAAAAGGAGAAGCTTTATTTACTTTAATTATCAAAAACTATTACATTTTTTAAAATTTGGATAACTTTGAAAAATAACTCCTAAACGGCTAGACCGATTTTGATGAAATTTTCTGAGTGTGATTAAGTTGATTCTAGAATGGTTTAGATTCACTCTTGAACCTGGTCGGTGGCGGTGTTGTCGAGATACAGAATCACCCGTGCGAAGCCGGGGCGGAACGCTTTTTTTAATATAATAATGGTGACAAAACAGCACACACTCCACCAGATGATACGTAGATGCCGTGGCCTATAGTCTCCTATATCAATCCTTCAATAAGGATCAAAATGTGACTAAGATGGAATGCCTCGTTACCAGTAAAAGAGATTTTATTTTATTTATTTTACCAGTCTTTTTATTTGAACAATATTATCTATCTACTCTTGGTGTAAGACACGACATGGAAAATGCCATAAACATAAATATCTAATGACTTGTGATAGACCACAGTTAAACCATTTAGCTACGTCAGACGTGAAATGCCCAACGGTAACGGCAGCCGTGTCAAATGTGCGAGGACGTCTGGCGCTGCGATCATCAATAATGTCTACATCAGGAGAGGCCTAATTTTCATTAAACTATTAGGGACGATAAAAAAAAGAAAAATGCAAATATTGATGTGAAACTGCCACAATAAGTATACAACTACTGTGATTATAATGTAGGTCTTTTAAAATAAATCGATTTTATGATTTTATTTAATTGTGATATAATGAAAATATGAATACATATTTTCAATGCAATCAGAAAACTTTTTAATAACTCATCACTTAAGACGCATATATCATACATTTATATATTATAATATGTAGAACGTAGTATAGATTCAACCAACCTGAAACATGTTTGGAGTGGTAGCAGACGAAAAATTTATCATTTTAAATAATTTTACTTCATTGTCATATTTCTGCATGTAACTCTTTAGCATCACAGTTTTGGCCGTACCTTGTTCTCCAATGAGTAACACAGCTTTATTCTGCTTAGCTATAGTATCAATCAAGAACGAGATACACACGTTATCTATATTTGGTACAAGAATTGATGCATATTCTGGTACGCTATCTGATGGATAAATGTAATCTTCTACACTTTCAGACCTGTTAAAAATTAAGAGATCAATTTAATATACATATATTTTTAAATTTGAAAATGTTATTTTATCATTATTTTTATAATGTAACTAACGAATTGCCCCGACTTCGCAGGGGATAGTTCCAAGTAATACTACATGTATTTTACAGATTTCTTTCTTGTTTATTTGGGTTAGTCTTAATAACAAGACATATACTTACGGCTTAAACTAGTCTATATTAATAAAGAAGTCCACATACGCAGTTCACATACACATTTTTTAATATATAAATGATCTATATAACATACCAATGTTGCCAAACGCCAGATTCATTAACCATATAGTCGAAGGGCATGACCCACTCCTTGGACTTGGCACCGGGCCAATCCATTTTAACAGGCAGTTTTGTCATAAATTCGGCCATTCGTGCGCGCTCGTCTAGTTCCAATACAGCTCCTAGTGACCACATCATCGCGAAAATGAAGAGCCGCTCTAAGTGGCGATCCGTATGTGTTTCTGGAAGAATTTAACAGGAAACGAGTAAATAATAGCAGCCGACATACGCCATACTAATGTCTACTAGACATACATAGGTAATTCGTAAACGAGCAAAAGAAATGGACTACTTCATTTCATAAAATAAACTTATTATTCATTTACTACTCATTTAAATGTGTCTCTACTTTATAAAAATCAGTTCTAAACCTGTACTAATAATATAGGCAAAATTGCTCAATCAGCTGACCTTTCAGAGATGTCTGTACCTAACACTTCTATAAATAAGACAAGGAAAATGTTTTAATTTAAATAGTTATTTTTTAAGGGTTGACGGTTCTAAGCTTGAAAAGTGTAAAGGAAATTCGAGACACAAAAATCTATTAAGTTAGGACAGCAAATTAAAATGTTTTTAATATAATTAATAGAATCAGGCGTTACTTTGCGGAAATCCATTATATAAAAGCGTTATAACGCGGATATTTGTGAAGAAATTTTTTCTAAAAGCTTTTATAAAATGGTTTTAGTATTTTTTTTATTTATCTGTTAACTGAAAACGCGTCTTACTACTAAACACAAATGTCATCGTTACTCATTCCTCACACTTATTGTCTCGTTCTGACTTTGGACTTAGAATTGCTGAACTAAATAAACAAATTCATTCAACGAAAAAATATACTTTTTAATTTCTTTTCAATAACACGTCTTCTACATGTCTATTAAGAAAGTACGCATTAACATACACGATCCGAAAGATTTGTCCGTAATAAGTATGAACTGGGCAGACTGACACAGAACCGATGGTTTTGCACTAGTAATAATGCTACTTACATTACCCCGCTATTTTTCAGTCACCAGTCTCGTTTGTTAGTGAGCGGTGTGTATACAACGCGTGCAAGTAAGGTTGGTACTTGAAGAAGTAGTGGTTACATCCATCCATTTTTGACCAATAAAATTCAAGGGCGAGGGATTTCCATACTAAGAAAATTTTGCTTATCACGTGGATTAAGTTATGCAACTTCCCTCGCATAGAAAGTATATACTATAGGTACTAGTTTATAGGATTTGGAAGATTTTGTCTTAAATTTTTACAACAATTACTCCGACAAGTACGTAACATACCAGTAACAGATTGCTCATGATAGACATAATAAATAGATAAAATATCATAAAACTTACTGCCACCAGGAACTTCAATTTCTAATAAGCCGACTAAAACATCTATGCACTGTCTATAAAAGAACAAATATTTTATTTTATAATAAAATTTAATAGACATAGTTAAATAAATTTAAAAGCCAAAAAAAACATATACCGAATGTAAATAGCTTCTAGAAGCATCATTTTAGCTGGTAACTTTTGTTGTACAAAAGAATGTACATCATCATACACTTTGTTAAAAGCATTACGTAATGCATCAGCTTCTTTTTGCGTTCTCTTTTTTAACCAACCCTGTGCGAAAAGAAATAGATGTGTAGGAATACACACATGTACGTAATACACAAAATGTATTTATATGTAAAGCCTTATTATACTCTGTTTAATGATAATGTAATCTGTGTCGCCTCTATTTAAGTTAAAATCAGCCTTCTTAAAGAAAGGGCTATAACAACGGCTTGGTATTGCAGTGGCAAAGCGTTTGACTGCCGTGTTGAGGGGCTGTAGTCAAACGCTTTGCAAAAATGTTTGTATGGCTTAGAAATAATTACTACAAGCATGGAAGTTTATCCATGTGTAATTATTATATAGATAAAACGTCTCCACGATACAGGAGAAAATTGCAGTCAGGATCGATTGCAATTTACAGTTATTTAGTTCCGAAAATTAAAAAAAAAACGACAAAATTATTTCAATTTAATATTACAACAAAGAAGAAACTAAAAACGTCTTGCCTCTAAAATAGGTTGCCATTTCAAAACTGATGAGGATAGAAACACCATTCCCATTCGACTGACGGTGGCAGGTGAAGCGTTGTCAACGTTATCTGGCTCGAACACCAATTTGCTATTCTGAGCCATCGTTATTCGATCTCCATTTGCTAAAGTCAACGTTTTATTATCATCCAGCACAGAGTTGAGATTTTCAATCCACACTGCATCCACCGGACCATCTTAATATTAAAAAGGATTCTGGTTCAGAATTACGCTTGTAAACATATAATATACAATTAACCTATTTTCTTTTTCAAAACGAGCAAACGAGTATGTCGCTCACCTGATGGTTAGTGATTACCGCCTGTTACCGTGATAACTGCAACACCAGGGGAATTGCAGATGCGTTGCCGGCCTTTTAAAAAGGAGTAGGTCTTTTCTTGAAGGTCCCTAAGTCGTATCACTATTCAATATTTGATAATATTATAATCGTAATATATATCATGTCGTTAGGGTTTAACTCAAAGATCAGATTAAAATAATCTAAGTTAATAAAAATTCAAAAATATAATGCATTTTATTTTTTACTAGCTGTTCCCCACGACTTAGCTCGCGTGTTGGGTCTTTTTATGTTTTGCGAGGAACCCTTATTATTTTTCTAAAATAAAAGTAGCCCTAAGTTACTCCTTATGAAATCAGCTATCTGCCATTTGAAGTCCCGTCAAAATCGGTCCAGCCGTTTTGAGATTAGCCGAAACAAACAGACAGACAGACAAAAATTATAAAAATTGTATTTTAGTTATAAGTACTTTATTTACCTTCACATGCATCTAGTAAAAAACTGTAATTTTGACATTACAAACAGACAACGACAACGACCGAGCCCTTTCCGATCGGCTCGATTCATTGGCACTGCGAAGAGATGTTGCATCCCTTTGCATTTTCTTTCGCATCTACCATGGGGAGTGCTCTGAGGAATTGTTCGGATTAATCCCAGCCGCCAAATTTCACGAACGCACATCGCGGCAGAACTCCCGATACCATCCACACCATCTGGATGATTGGCGGTCCACCACTGTGCGATTTAGAAGATGTTTTCTTCCTCGCACGACCTCCTTGTGGAATCGATTACCATCAGCGATTTTTCCGGACCGATACGACTTAGGGACCTTCAAGAAAAGAGCGTACTCCTTTTTAAAAGGCCGGCAACGCATCTGCGATTCCCCTGGTGTTGCAGTTGTTCATGGGCGGCGGTAGTCACTTACCATCAGGTGAGCCGCATGCTCGTTTGCCCCCTCTCCTATAAAAAAAAAAGACACTTCAATTTTATTTATTTGTATAGATTGCATGCATTTTTTTAAATAAATAATAGTACCTACTACGTAATCATGCGTCAATAAATAACGACAGCTGACGTTATATTTGAGTACTGTATATAAAAATAAATTAAAAATAATGTATTTGTTTTGTTTGCCTCGTGTGCTTTTCTATACCATTAGTCCGACTACGGTGAAACTTTGGTGAGTTGTGCGCGTGTCCGTGAATGTTTTAGACAAAAAGGCATTGCAACGCATGCCGGGCACAACAAGTATTAAATATTATAAAAATCCAAATATTTTCATTATGCAAACTTGATACTTTTACTTGCTTTGGCCTAAAAACTAGAAGCTAGATATTACACAGGATATAGGCATAAAGCCACGCTACAGTTATTGGCTACAGCACAATTGGGTTGGCTAGACCACTCTCACACAAAACATGCAGCAATATTTTGCTGTGTGTCTAGTTTCAGTGATATTAATTTTGTTAGCATATGCGGCTTTTACAGCTTCACCGGATACAGAGCTCGCGGCCTCAAAGACCGCGAGCTTATAAAAAAGGGAGTGAGTGATTATTTATTTTGGTGCAACGCTGTATAAGCCACGTTGTCCCATAATTGAAAACCTAGGGGTGGGATAAATTGTGTTTAGTGATCACATTATCATTAAATCAACATCAACATCAAATACTCCTTGATGCCGCCGAAAAACACATCATGACATGAGTGAGTTGTTTATCCGCCGTCCGAACAGGGGCTGGCGGGCCCCGGCTCTGATGGCCAACCCGGTTCGATGTTCTGGGCGGTGAGAACCGCCCAGGGACGCGGGTGTATGGTGTGTACGCGGTGTGGAGGGATATGCTGCGCGCCCGTCTGCGGACTTGCTGCGTCTCATCCGTTGCTATCCTACCAGTGTTTGTGGCACTAGGTGAATGTGTAGTGTTTGGGTGTGACATGCCGGCGACCTTTTGGTCGTCAGCATCTAGCGGAACATGGGGTTCGATTAGGACGTTGCGTGGCCTCTGGAGGGTTAGCGTCACGTTCGGAGTCGGAGCATAGGTGGCTGCGTTTACTACTAGCGGGTTTGGGTGTCTCTCGGGCCTCTCGAAATAGCGCCGAGACATGTCCTTGAAGCATTCAGAGATCGTCGGAAGTTGTAATTTTGCTGTGTTTTGTTAGCATGTGACAAGAACTAAAGTCCATATAAATAAACATATCTATTGGGTCAGATTCATTGGACAGATTCCTCTTAACATTAAGCTCGTATAGATTATTTTTGCTTAAAAAGATATTATAGAAGACTAAATATACACTCAAACATGATTTTCTTCATATTTCCGTATACTATTTACTATTGAATTTAGCAATCAAAGTGTAAAACGTGTAGCTATAACCTTTAATAAATGATGGATTTAAATTGGACACAAAAAAATTACCCAATACAATCCAAGTGGTATCCGACTTCTTTACCTTCAATGCTCTTCGCCATAAAGTCGAAAATATACCATCTGTCCAATCGTTTGTAGCAACATCCAATCTTCCAAACATTTGTGGCGCCGTTATGGCTTTAGGGTTCATTCGCATTTCCTTATGCGGTTTGCCCAATTCTGTTAACGCTTCCATCAGCGTATGAATACATGTTGTCTTCCCAGAACCCGTCGGACCCATAGTCATCAAACCGTGCCGTACTAAAGACGTCTCATATAACTGAATAATTTTGAGATTCCATTCCGGATGGTTTACTAAACCAGAACGTTCCGTCACTATATTTATACCGCGTTGCATTTCCCTGAAAATATTTATGATAAGTTTTTTTTGGGTTGTATCCATCGATCACTAATAAAAAACTAGATACACAAATAGAACACAATCAGTGACAAAAAATTTCCATACCGAATGAGCGCCCACTCGAGCATTTGGATGCGCTTTTAATTTGTACGTAGCTTTGTGAATATTTTTTTATAGGACGGGGTGACAAACGAGCACACAGTCCACCTGATGGTAAGTGAGGAGTAAGGTTCTCTACACTCACCATACGAAACACAGCAGTGTTGAGCTGCTATTTTACGCTGGTATTCTGTGAGAGCGTGGTCCTTCCCCGGTGGAGCCGACCCATTCGTGCTACAACTATACTACTAATATAGCTAATATAGCTGCAGCATGGCTCTACCACGTATAAAGAATATAACTTTAGGCAAAGCATTTAAGGTTGAATTTACATTAATGTATATTCATTCCAACTAGAGTTACGTCAAAAAGTTGGTTACAGTTTTTAGAGAACTTTTGCATGGGATCGTGTATCTAGTTTTTTATTAGTGATGGATGGTTGTATCGAACAAAGCAAAAAGAGGTACTAGGTACGGCCACATACTCAATCTCCCTTTTACTATACTGGCTACTTTGCGTCTGTGTTCGAGGCTGGTAAGATTGGTTTTAACCAAATTCGGGTCACCAATAAGCCTCTTAGCACGCCTTTCCATTGAGTACAAAGCTGCTAGGTGGCATTTTGCAGCACCAGCCCTGTTACGGACGGCGAGGGGAACCGCCGCCCCGTCGCCCCTTCACACCCCGTTGCGCCCCGCGCACCCCGCACACCGGCAGCAGTTCACGCGATGTGGCCGACTAATCAGCGCACGGCATCGCCTCACGACGCTACTCACATACTGAGACGCTCTTTTGCGAGATATAAGAAGGGCGTTTTGGTCTGTGAGCCGTTCATTTCGGAAGCGGCACTATTTTTAAGCTCGTTGTGCCCTTAGATATTAGCAATTAGAGGTTTAGATAGAATATTTGCTTTTCTCCCAGCCTCTTCTATCAGATATATTTGAAACTGACCTAATTATTTTCGCTAAGATCATCACAACTATGCATGATCAATGCAGTTTTGGGTTTGCTTAGTTTTAATTTTTTGATCTTTACGCAAAATATCTATAACCATCTGATTCGGAAGGGGCAAAAAGATACCGCAACCACAACATTACCATAAAAAATATAACATTTTGTTAAATGAACTTTAAAATTCCAAAAATAAAAATGAAATGTTTTGTGTGTATTTAAATGGGTCCCTAGATGGTTTAGATTCACATTTAGATCCGGTAGATGGCGCTGTTATCAAGATCTAGAAATCACCTGTGCGAAGCCGGGGTAAATCGCTAATTTTAAATAAAAATACATGCTTTTTACAACAATTTGCTTAAAATTCACCAAATTTTTAAAATCTGGCAACACCGTCATCGGCAACGGTATCTGAATCGATCGCAATTATGCAGCGTTTGCATTATAATCATTGTACCTATCTAACGAATGAACCATAAACTGAAAAGTGAAGACATCAGTGGAAGCTATTGGGCCAACAGAGGTCAAAGTCGTAACCTCTAGATATTGTTGCCCGATGGCCGGTCCGCACCGCATGTTTTGCCAATTGCCATGTAAGTTTTCCCATTTAATTTAATATTAATTATTCTATTTTTAATGATAATGGGTAACGATTTTTTATGAATTCACTATAAAGGATTATAGAATCATATCACAATATCTAAACGCACCCACACGAATTAGACAGGGTTTTATTTTACATCTTGTATATTACTAAAAAAAAAACCTATACCTAACATTAAATTGTATAACATGAATACATAACTCCAATATCAAATGGGGATAGTTAATGAAAAACAAACAATGAAAATAGAACCTTTGAACAGTTTGCGTAAGCTTCATTCCAGGGAATAAATCTTCTATTAGTGAAATAAATAACGGTTCGTCCTCGTCCACTAACTTGGAGACATTCATTTCCCTTAAAATAAAAACACAATACACTTTAAATTAGCAGACAAAATGAAATAAACTAACCATAGATAAATAAGGTCCTAGTCCTTCAAGTAACTTAAAATAACTAATTGTACATAATAAAAAATAAAGTCATATAATTCTCATACTAACTTCAAAACCCTCATCATAATATTTTCCTCAGTGCTATCAGGATTTGACCTTTTTTGCGATCCCATTGTTCTCAAAACTGACAATATATTCCGAAGACCGAAATCGTAATGAACTTGCTTAGATAACTGTTCTTCGCATAGTTTGTATAATGTGAAGAACTTACGAGCTATAAAACAAATAATCAAATTATACATTTTGTATACGTGTATTGATTTTATAATAATGTCCAATAAATTAAACATTTATACTTGTATATACAAATAGCAACTGTACGTGCAGACAATCAGGTAGTTAAACATATTAGCAAAAATTAAGAGCAGTGGTGTAGCTATGTAACCAAGGGCCCCGGGGAAAAAATTACATTGGGGCCCTATTTAAGCTAAAGTAAATACTTTAAAGGTGCAAAACTACTTCATCATCAGCTCCTTGTCGCCCACTGTAGGGTATAATAAAGCAAAGGTACTTACTACTAAGTATTACGTTTAACGCATAGACAATGACGAAGTAGATTACAGTTAGGGATATAGGCAGACAACATAACAGTGGAAGAGCCACAAGGCAGCTTTTGCTGTCGCATGGGTGGACCAGACTACATGGAGTGACGTCCTGGTACGACTTGAAATGAAGAGCTGTACAAAATCTAAATTCCGCACAAGACTAATATACACTGCTCGTGGCAAGTAGAGATATAAGATAAATGTGACACCTGCCACGCTATCCGTGAATTTCTGCAACATCAGGGGATTTCATTCCAACGTTAACAAAGTCCACTAGGCACCATCTGAAGACGGCAAAGCCTACCTTGCTCTTTCTAACCGAAACGCAGGTGTCCTCTCCGGTCGATACTTCTCTCCTATCTAGGGTACAAATTAGAACACCTTTGTGCCTCGGGCTGGAGTTTGCGTATACGTCAGAGAGGATATCAGTTCTCGATGCCTCGGTCTTGAAGGTCAGCGACGACCATCCTCACGTCTACGAGTGCCTCTATAGGTAATGCCGATACAGGCCAACTCATCGACCACGTCCAAAAAGCTGCAGACTCCGTGCTACAACAGTTCCCATCTGCAGAGATCTTGATCCTTGGTGATTTTAACGACCACCATGCTAAATGGCTTGGTTCTTGTTTAACGGATCATGCGGAAAGATCTGTTTATGACTTTGCCTTGGCCCGACACAAATAGTTACTTTGCCTACGCGGATTCTAGATTTGGAGGATCTTGCACCTTCCCTGTTGGACCTTCTGCTGCCTTCTAATCCGGACGGATATCCTGACATCCGTCTCCTTCGACGCCACTCTTGGCTAATTGGACCATTGTGTGATCCGAACTATGGTGCCACTCACACTCCCATCGTGGTTGCGTTCTGCAGATCTCCGCCGTATTTGGCACTATAGTCGATTGGGACAGGATGCGATCTTTTTTTGCATCCTTCCCTTGAGAACAAAGGCGGGTATGCTTCTCGCCAGATTATCGCAACATGATTATGTTGCTAATGTGGTTCTTCAGGGAATGCAACTTTTTATTCTATCATCTGTGGTGTCTGGTTTGGTCGCACCTGTAAAATTGCATCGCGCTATAATAGGAGTGCTTCATCAGCCCTGAAAAGAAGTATAATTTCGCCTTCAAGTCGGTAAGATACGGTTTACACAGCGCTCGGTGTGCATAGCACTACTCTCCCCAGACGTTAAGTCGAGTGGGTCTGATGAAGTTCCTCCCATTGTGCTGAAGACGTGTACTCCCTAGTTAGCACCGGTCGTAACGTGTTTTTTCTAAAACTCTTTCTCCCTAGGTGTAGTCTTGAACTCAAAGAAAACAGCTTTAGTGCACCAGATCCCTAAAAAATAACCAAAAAGTCGACCGCTCAGACGTATCCAACTTGTTCTCCAAAATAATGAAAACCATTGTGAACTGCCAGTTCATGAGGTTAAGGATCACTAACTGAAAAGTGACCGCCAGTACGATTTCCTTTGGGGTTGCTCTGCTGGTGATTTTCTGGCTTACCTGACTCATAAATCAGCGGAGGCAGAGAGGAAGACCCTGGCCGTTAGTTTGGACATAGCGAAGGCCTTTGATCGGGTTTGGCAAAAAGCGCTTCTTTCGAAGTTCACTTCCTATGGGCTTCCAGAGAATTTGTACAATTGAATCAGCAGTTTTCTTGCAGATTGGAGCAATAAATTCGTAGTAGAAGGTGAATGCGACCCTACACTGTTTCTTCTGCTTATCAATAATATGTTGCAAACCAGTAACGTGCAATGATGATGCTCTATACACCGGCCGGGCCAATATTTCTCGGGAGAACGTCGCCGAGTACCGAGTGTCTGAAGACGAATGTTTGCCGGATAAGATCTCGAATTGGGGCGACTAAATAAGTTCAATGCCCAGAAGACACAAGTTTGCGCGTTTACCACTAAAAAGAACCCCTTTGTCGTAACTCCTCAATTTCAGGGCACTCCCCTTGTTACCTCAGCCAGTATCTGAATCTTCGGCGTTGACATATCGAATCGCTGAGTGGCTCGAATCGTCGACGACCGACATAGACGAAAGACGAGACGAAGAGATGTTGCATCCCTTTGCATTTTCTATCGCATTTACCACGGAGAGTGTTCAGAGGAATTTTTCGGATTAATTCCAGCCACAAAATTTCTTCAACGCATTGCACAATTCCACATCTTCGGGATGTTTGGCGGTCCGTTACTGTCAGACCGATACAACTTAGGGACCTTTAAGAAAAGAGCTTACCCCTTTTTAAAAAACTGGCAACGTCTCTTTAAAAAGGAGTAAGCTTAATAGGCTTTAAACACTTGCCATCAGGTGAGCCGTATGCGCCTTTGTCCCCCTCTTCTATATAAAAAAGACAATAAAACGAAGTATACAAATTATCTTTAACAATGTTATATTTAAGTTATGTAAGTGGAAGTAATTTTTGTAATTTCAGTTCGAGCCGTTCGCGGTCAGGGGCCAAAAAGTTAAAACTCGAAAATTCTTTATAGAACAAGGATAGTACATAATTTTTCGAACGTCGTTCTTGGAGGCCGAGGGGCCCTTTTAGCTTGGGGGCCCCGGGGCACTGGGCCGCCTAGACCCTGGGTAACTACGCCACTGAGTTAGAGAGGAAGAGAAATAATCTTTGTTACTTACTACATATGGATGTTATTGCAAAAACAAACTGAAACATGAATTTGCCTTTGTATAAAAGATAATAAGCAAAAGATGAATAGAAATACGCTGAATTATAATAGGTTAGATTTATTAAAACCAGTAAATGAAAAGTTTACACACCTAATAAAATGTTTTCCTTAAATCCGCAACTGGCCAATTTGACCCTAATAATAATCTGCCTGTCAGGCACCATCATAGCTACAGAACGGAACTGAATCTTCAAGTTTTCAGGCAGTTCCTGACGTCCAGCATAACCAGGGTTCATCGTAATCACAAATGCGAACTCTGGATTTAAGCTTACCACGTCACCATCGCTATAAAAGTGAAATATATAATTACGGAAAAGATATATCTTAATATTATACGAGACGAAAAAATATTATAACATAAATTTTTTAAATAAAATATGAGTAACTCTAATTAAATATATTATGACCAATTGTATAAAATTACATGAATGATCATTTTTGTTAACATAATGATTTCTTATATTTACGCGAAGACTACACATTAAATGAAACTAATTTTTACGGATTTTATCGCTTCTATATTTTTAATTCCCGATGTTTCGGGTGCTTTACAGCACCCATGGTCACGGACGGGACTGAGGTGTTTGAAACAGAAACAGAAACTTTTTTATTCAATATAGATTATAAATAATACTTATTGAAAATTACTCTTTTGTTTAATTACCACTGGTTCGAAAAAAAACCTCTGTCCTGGGAAGAACCAGCAAGAAATCCAGCGGGACTTTTTTTTAAATAACAGCTTACAATCATGTATGTTACACAAATTAACAACACAACAAATTAGAAATAGCTTGATAGCGATCACCTCATTTCCAGGGGTTATTATCATCCATAAATTCTTCTTCTACAGCATATGCTGCAGAACTAAGTCTGCTTGCTAGTTTTGATAAATGGGGGCTCCATTAAAGCTTCGCGTCTATTGTGATTCCAAGAAAAATGGTGGTATCTACAAGACTCAGTCATGAATTTTATACATTTCGTTTTAATGCCATTTAAATGCAAATTATTAATATTGAACCAATTTATTAATTTAGATATAGCATTATTTACTTCGTCATATTTTAGTAATTGTCGACTTATTATGAAAATTAAAGAAGTGTCATCTGCAAATAATACTATATCATGGTTATCCCCTACTATTTAAGGTAAGTCATTACATTATTTGACGTCCCAATGTCATAGTTAGCCCGGCTACCTTCAGTTTTTGGATATTAATTTTTGGTCCGACCTACGCAGAATGAGCTTACAGTATCTTGAAGTCTTGCAGTGGTATAATTGGTTTAGATTTAATTTTATTAATTATAGGATCCCAAGCAGATGGCAGCACCCGTCCGTCTTCACTATTGCAATTAGGATGTTTTTTTTTTTAATTTCAATAGCCTCGCGATTCATCCTTGGTAGAAATCGGTGTTCTTTTGCGAGGACACACAAACCACAAATCCTGGTAAAAAAAACTAAAGGTAGCCCGGTTAACTATGATATCAGGACGTCAAACACCTCAGTACCCCCCGTGACCACTTCTTGGAATCACAATAGACGCAAAGCTTCAATGGAGCCCCCATTTATCAAAACTAGCAAGCGGACGTAGTTCTGAAGCATATGCTGTAAAAAAGATTAGAAGTCTTACCAGTGTGGAAACAGCTAGACTAGTTTACTTTAGCTATTTCCATAGTATGTCGTATGGTATTTTGCTATGGGGACACGCAGCTGACACTGAAATTATATTTGTTTTACAGAAGAGGGCCATAAGAGCAATTTGTGATTTAAAGCCTAAGTCGCTGCGACAAAAAATTAAGAAAACTAATTTATTAACTTTGGCCTCTCAATACATTTATGAAAATGTAATGTACGTACACAAAAATAAAAGTCGTTTTACAAAAATAAGTGATATTCATTCCGTAAATACTAGGAACAGACACAAGCTAGTAGTAGGTACCAGTTACTCGACTCCATCGAGTCAGTAATTCATTCTTAGGGCGATGTATACGCTTTTACAACAAAATTCCAGAAAATATACAAAATTTGACCTGCTCAGAGTTTAAAACCTTTATTAAACTAAGTTTGTATAAAAAGGGTTATTATAATATTAAAGAATTTATGGATGATAATAACCCCTGGAAATAAGGTGATCGCTACCAAGCTATTTCTAATTTGTTGTGTTGTTAATTTGTGTAACATACATAATTGTAAGCTGTTATTTTTAAAAAAAAGTCCCGCTGGGTTTCTTGCCTGGTTCTTCCCAGGACTGAGGTTTTTTTTTTCGAACCAGTGGTAATTAAACAAAAGAGTAATTTTTAATAAGTATTATTTATAATCTATATTGAATAAAAAAGTTTCTGTTTCTGTTTCAAACACCTCAGTCCCGTCCGTGACCATGGGTGCTGTAAATCACCCGAAACGTCGGGAATTAAAAAGTTAAATTAAACGCGATAAAATCCGTAATAATTAGTTTCATTTAACATTTTTGTTAATTCCGTGTTTTAGTTAAGAATATTGTAACAAAAATTTCATAGCAGAAATTATATCTTATTTAAGTAATACGTGACATAGAACGTTACGTTAAACTTTTAAATTATATTCCTTTGCAATATCTATAACACATGGTAACTACAGTATTCGTTATCATAACAAAAAAACAGGCCAAGAGGGAGTCGGACTCGCGCATGGAGGGTTCCGTACCACCGTAAAACAAGATTCTAGTCGGGGAGCCCCCTTTAATATTTAATTTATTTTTATTATTTGTTGTTATAACGGCTACAGAAATACACATTCTATGAATATTTCAACTGTCTACCTATTACAGAGTTACATACTGCTGGCAGACAAACGGACGGACAGCGGAGACTTAGTAATAGGGTCCCGTTGATTACCCTTTGGGTACGGAACCCTTAAAAGGATGTTGCGATACGTAGAACATATTTTTTAAGGATTTCAAGACATACATAACACGTAAGATTATGTGCTGCACTATTTTTTTAATTACACTGGCTTATAATATTTAAGAGATCTATAATAGTGGTCCTTTGGGCAAATAATTCAATTATCGAAAAACCATCTTTAAGCAAAGTTTTTGTTATTAGCTGAAAAACTATTGCCGATATTTAAAAAAGTTTAAATTAAAAAGTTTATAAAAATTGAAGATCTATTAATTTACATAACTACACAAATAAAATTGAAATGTTCGATTGTAATATCGAAATAACTGCTTTATACTGAGCTGAGGCTTGAATTGGATTGGCAAAGTTAATAAATACCTATTACCATTACGAAAAGTTCTAGTTCTAGTTCCTGTGATGTTAATGCTGTTAGCCTATGCGGCTCTTACAGCTTCGTCGGACTCAGAGCTCGCGGCCTGTTAGGCCATAATTGTTTGTATAATCAATAAATATAAATAAATTGAAGTAATCTATCTGTAATATCAAACTAAGCTCAGGGGGTTATGTACATGCTATTAAAATATGAATAACAATTTTTTTTCTTTTTGTCTGTCCAGACTAATCTTCGGAATGTCTAAACTTATTGTAATGAAACATCACGGACAGATATGGAGCAATGTCATAAGTGATCTAAGCCAAATTTTATACAAAAAAATGTATTTAAAAAAACGAGAAATCCTATAAAATAAACGGTTTTTGGTTATCTTAGATCTAAATGTCCTAAACGAAGTCGGGGCCGATTGCTAGTAGTTTAGAAGATACATAAGAAAAAATGTACTTTATTAGTTTTTCTATATCACAAAATAAAATCCTACACGTGTCATCACAAATGGTTCATCATTCCGAAGATTAGCCCGGAAAGACACGTACGAGTATGTTGACTTTTGAATATTTAATAAGTAGTTTTTATTTTTTGTAGGTTTAATTAAATGTTTAGAGATAGATTTCTAATCAGTGGTGGTAGTTGTTCCAGCATTTCGTGGGAGAATCACGAAAGCTAGAATATTATAATACGTATATGATATTACTGATAATGTCTCAATGACTAGTAAACCTAGGTATACCTGGTGCACTTTTACTAAAGCCCGAATAATGATTGAAATATTTATGGCTTCTTTAAAGTTTGTCAAAATTAAGAAGAAATATAATATTATCATTTAAATAGTAATATAAGCGACAGTAGTATAATGTGGCTCTTGGACAACGCAATATCGCAAATATTCATATTATTTATAAATTAATCTGACATTCCAAAAAGCAACGATTAATCCCAGGTATGCACGTCCTTCAAAATAAGCGACCCGTAATTATAAATATACATTCAATATTTTCTTTAATTTGCAATACTTTTTATGTATAAAATGATTAAAATACCATACCTAAATACAAAGAACTCTTTCTTTTCCCTTCTTGCAGTGAGGCAAATGTATATTTGTTGAGCCGCAACAGAGAGAACGGGTAACTCGATACGGTTGAACTCGTCAAAACATCCCCAAGTGCCGGATTGCGCGAGGCCTTTATAAATACGTCCTAAGCCTGTAGACATGACAACACGTTTTAGTATACTTTCAAAGTACTTTATGAACTTTACTTAATGTATAAATTGTAGTGTGATTTTGTTATTTGAATGAATATAAACGTTTGGTGATGAATATATAAATGAGAATGGTAAAAACCTTCTCACAGTATATTTAGAAAGAAATCTTGTTACAAACACTTTCATTCTTCATAAGAAGATTGAAATTAAGTTATCTTTTAACTCTTATATTATTCAGCAGTAACTTAGTTGGTGGGATGTGATGATTTGTATAATACAAAGGCTATCGTTTAAATAAAACACATCTTGTGATATCACATGTAATGAATGGGTCGGCTCGAGCGGGAAAGGACCACGCTCTCACAGAATACCAGCGTAAAATAGCAGCTTAACGCTGCTGTGTTTCGTATGGTGAGTGTGGAGAACCAGAGACCTATTTTACTAGAAAAGAGGCATTCTTTCTTAGTCCTCACGGCTGACAACGCATCTGAATTTCAATTCGCAAACGAAGATAGATGTAGACATCTAAGGGCCAAAGCAACCACTTACCATCAGATGGGCTGTGTGCTAGTTTGTCATCCTTATTCTATAAAAAAAAAACCTGCAGAAGCGTCCAATGTACCAGATTTTATTCTATTTTTATAGCCTGTATAAGTCCATTTCTGGTTATGGGTACAATTACCAACCTTAATAGAAAGTATTTGCCACTTGGCAGACGAAGAAAGGGTTTGCGGTAAAAGAGACTAGCAGGTAAAATAGTCAGTAGGTCTGAGACAAGACCACGATAAAGAATATTATTTCAAAGTAAAACGTGATTTATCTTGCAAATTGTAAAATTAGTAACAATATCGAAATTGTCAATGATGTGTATATGAGTACGAATTAAAATACCTCTGAAATCCATCTGATCGGAACAGTTGAAAACAATGACCAGCTTGCCAAGAGCACGACCCATGTCCTTCGTAGTCTCAGTCTTGCCGGTGCCGGCCGGGCCTGCGGGCGCACCGCCCATGCTCATTCCAATCGCTTGCGCCAGCGTGATGTAGCAACGATCTGTCAGCGGTGTGATCACCAACCGTTCCGTTATGCCCAAATATTCATTCTAGGGCCAAACATGAAATTTTTGTGACTAAAATATCAAAAACACCGAAGCATTTTAATTACACTGAAACATCCAAGTGACTTTATTGCCGTATTATATACATACGGCCCTATAATATTTTCTGCCAATTGACAGATTCTGACGGTATTTTGAAATTGTCGCCGAAATTGATCGACCGGAAAAATGCTGGATTATGCTATTCTGCGCATGGATCTCGCTATTATACCTTTATTATCTTTCTTATACTAGATATCTCATGTTTAAATTTTAACGATACACTACTAGAAATACATAATAATGATTTTCTCTTAGTCTTCATTTCCACAAAGTTATCGTAAAATAGCTTAATTGGAAAATACTATCGTAAACTGAAAATAAGTCGATGCGTAGGTACCTTTTGCTTATCTAGTGGAAATTTATTTTTAATTACCTGATATAGAAAATCAACGTCAGTAATGGAAACAATACAATCGTCGTTTTCTTCAATGTAATAAAACCTTGCTTGCTTTTGCCATTCAAAGTCTCCTGGATTTTTGATCCTCATTTTTACAAGATCATCAAAAATATCCCTTTTCAAATAAGAATTTGCATTAATATATATAAGTAATATCGAAATTAAAAAAAATATTACATAGAATTAATATTTATCTAACCTTTGATGGACGTGAATCGTTATCATAGTTTCAACTCTAGTTCTATCCAACGGAACTAGTTCTTTAACCGTCTGGTCAATAAGTCCATTCAAAAGGTCAAGGAATTTCTGGTTTGTCAGTTTCATAATGTAACGATCAACTCTAGCCTTTTTGAGGGCATACTCTGCGTCACTAGTCCACAAAATTTGCATGCCTAAAAGACTTGCCTTAAAAATAAATTATTATATAGAACATAACAGCTTGAATAAATAAAAACAAAATTTCAACTTATTTATTTAAGACAACTAATTATATATTACTATTTACAATTATAATAATCAACAAACAAAAACCGAGAAATAAGAAGAGTAAAATTATTCAATAATTCTTCGTTGACGCGGCAAAGGGGTGAACCTCAACGAATTATCATCCACTGGTCATCAATTATCTCCGCTTTATAAACAAAACTCATTAAAAAGCACTATAACATAGCATAATTACAAGTAAGAGAAATAATAACACTCTATGGTGGAATAATGAGGTACGAAAGGAAGTTAAAACAAAGAAAAAAGCATGGCTATTACTAGTAATTGAAACTGGTAGTTCTGGCTGTATGAAAGGGGAAATGGATATTTAGATGAAAGTGGAAAGGGAAAACAGGAAAAAGGGAAATGACCCAAGCATGTTTTACATATTATTTAATTTATGTTGATAAATAAAGAGAGTACGGAGCAAAACTAAAATAGTTCACTGTATAAAAGAAATGGGTGACTATTAAAACTAAAGTAGAATCTGTCTGCTTCATCATCATCATCATTACAGCCCTTCACAAGTCCACTGTTAAACATAGACCTTCCTCAAGTAATGCTAAAAAGAATGGTCCCGAGCCACTTGTATCCATTAACTTCCTGCATGTCTTACGCTTGGCCTGCCGAGGCTGCCACTCGACAACCTTTGTTCCCCATCGGTTGTCGTTACTTCGAGCTATATGGCCGACCCATTGCCACTTAAGCTATGTCGGTTACTCTGGTTCTACTGCGGATATCCTCGTTTATAAATCTATCACGCAGAAAAACCCCGAGCATAGCCCTCTCCATAGCTCGCTGAGCGACCTTGAGTTTCCTCATACGGCCAGCAGAGAAGGACTACGTCTCAGATACATAGGTCATCACTAGCAATGGTTGTACAATCTTGTTTTGAGGTATGCCTGACGAGAAGATGTGCCGTGATCTCCCGAACGCCGCCCAGCCGAGTTGAATCTGTCAATTGACCTCTCGATCGAAGTTGGACTTACTTGGTCGGACTATTTGTCCCAGGTAAGCATACTCATCAACAACTTCGAGCTTAGTGCTCCCAACAACTACCGGCATAGATGTGACATGGACGTTGGACATCACTTTTGTTTTGTCCATTTATCTTAAGACCTATCCGTTGGGAGACACCATTGAGGTCATTGACCATAGTGCTTAGGTCATCCAGCGATTCTGCCATAAGGACTATATCGTCGGCAAATGGAAGGTGAGCGATGTACCCCGTATTGACGTCAATATCGTATCATTTGCCCTCCAGTAGCTTAAAAACGTCTTCCAATTCAGCATTGAAGAGTTTCGGTGATATTACGGCAGCCTGTCTTACACCTCTCTGCAGTTGGATAGAGTTCGTACTCTGTTTTTTTTATCTGTTTTGTATTTGTATCGAATGTCCATCGTAGCCCTGCTGTACAAACATTTCAGCATTTTGATATACCGACAGTCAACTTGGCACTGCTAAAGGGACTGCAGCACCGCCAAAATTTCGACGGAATAAAAAGCTTTCTGATAGTACACATACGCAAGACAAAGTGGCAGATTGCACTATTCGGTCTTCTGTACAATTTGCCGAAGGGTATGTATGTGGTCTATGGTACTAAAGCGTTTTCGGAAACCGACTTGTTCGGAGGCTGGAAGTCGTCGAGTCTACATGCGAGACGATTTATAAAGACTCTTGAAAACAGCACGTAGACACGGCTCAGAAGGGAAATCGGTCTGCAGTTCTTCAAGAGAGCGTTTCTTGAAGAACAAAACCACTGCACTTCTGCTCCACGCCTCTAGAGTAGTGCCACCATGATGGACGGAATTAAAGAGCTTCTGAAGGACATCAAGTACCGGTTTACCACCCGTTTTCAGAAGCTCCGATGTAATTCCATCCCCTCCCGGGGACTTGCCGTTTTTAAGGTGCTGGAAAGCCATTTCAATCTCTCTCAGACTGACGTCCAGGATATCATTGGAATAGTGTTGGATAAGACTTGCTCTTGGATAGTTACTCACACTTGCGTGTGGCTCTAACAGCAACGTGTACAGCTGCCCACAGAAGCTCTCAATCTCACTTAAAATCTCAGGTGTCCCGGAAAATATGCTGCCACATTCGGTATTTAGCTTCGACAGTCGGCTCTTTTTGATGATTCGACAGATCGCTGGAAAAGACTTTGAAGCCCTGCTTCCGCTTGATCCCATTAACATCGTATTGTGGGTTTTGGAGGAATGCATGGCTATGGAAGAGATATCCTCATAAATTTCCTCCACCTTCTCATTGTGCCGAGGTTGGTGTGTTAACCTGTATGACCTTCAGCGAATACCGTTTGGTGATTCTGAGTATAAGGTACGCAACTCTCGTGGACACACTCTCAATCTTTATAACGTTGTTAGCGAGATACTTGTGGACAATAAATCCGACACCTCCTTGGCACAGATGGTCGCCCTTCCAGTGATAGAACAAGTTGCCGGATTCAAGGATTACCGTGTCCTCCCCCTCTCTTCGGACCTCATATTATCCTATAATATCCCAACGCAACTTGTCTATCTATTCTTCCAGCTCCAGGATCTTCTCGTCAGTCCTCAGTTATATGTTGCTAGGTTGAGTCGTCTTAGGTGGCAACCGAACCTCCACCGGAGATTATTAGCACCCCCTGCCCCGCCGTTACCATGGTCGCCACCGTAGCCAGGAATAACGGAGCCGTCGGAAAATGGGGGCCGCCCTTTTTAACTCTCGTCATGGTGAGTATACATATATTCCCAGTGAAACCTGTCTTCTTAGCAGTATCGAAAAAGGTATGCTAAAAAAAATTAAGTTTTTGATTTTAAAGAGTCATGAAGGAAACTGACAGAAAATGTGGGATGTGCATGCTAGATTTAGGAACACGATAAAATGTACATTTAAAGAATGATCACAAAGACGTTTTCGGGCCTAAAACTTATTTATAAACTGATAAACTGAAACTTTTACTAAGCTTTAGGCCAAAAGCAGATAGTTTTCTATAAAATTTAAACTTGGAAAGGTCTATGAAGGAAAAGACAGGGTTGCTTAATAGCGAACTTTGGGCTCTTTTGTGTTGAGCTGAATAGCCATCAATATCTCTTTATAAGGGACTCTAGTGCTTGTGTCAGAATCAACGATTGAAGGATCGCGGACATGTATGACATCCATAAAGGTGTCAGAGAGGGTTCCGTTTATGTAGCTTCCCCGGGTCTGTTCAAACTGGTTATTCAAAATGGTTTGAAAAATTTGAAAGTCGAAGAATGTGGGTTAAGAACGGATGAGTTAGCCATCAAATGCATTTTATATGCCGATAATGAAGTCATAGGTGGGTAATCGAGTCGTCGGTGGGTAAGTTACAAATGTTGGCTACATTAAAAGACGAAAGTCACGGTTTTCGAAAATAAAGAAATTAAAACGATATGTGAAATAAGAACAGAAGGGGAGTTGGTTGAGCAATTGGATGAGTTATTTGTAATCAGAATTTGTGCTTAGTAGATAACAACAGCTACTACTAGGACACAGCAGCTACTAAGCACACAACAGCTACTAAGAGGATAGAGAATCTATCAAGATCCTCATTAACAAGAGTTAATGGGGCTCGTCACTCTATTGTGGTAAGTCAGAATGTGCCAAAACACACACGTTTCGTAATTCAGAATAATGGTCAAGTCCTTAGTGTTTGGTAGTTGATTTTTGAATTGAGTGTAGCAGAAGTAATATGACAGTCAAATTTATTCTGTCAAAATGCGATCAAGAAGTATATTCGGGGTGACTCAGAATGATAGGTTGAAAAATGATGTGATAAAACTGTGGATTACAGGATGTTGTAGCTAGGTTTAAGAAAGGAATGCTTCGGTATGTGTGACACGTATAGAAAAAAAAATGAGGAAAGAGTGATAAAGCAAATTTATGCTGCAAAAGTGAAGAAGAGTGACAGAGTCAGCAAGGGATGTCCTAAGCGATATATTGTAAAGGGCATGTATGCATTTATGTAGCATGTATGTGTAGATAAATGGATGAGAAAAAAAAGCGAGAGGTGTATGTCAGGATGTCAGAAAGTCAAATGAAAGTACGTAGCCTCTGCCTCTTTCTGGGTAACAAGTTTATATATGTTATGTATGTATTATGTATAACATAGCAGATATAAATATAAAGCTAAATAGAATAAAAACAACAAATTCTATTAATTGCTACACTTATAGATATAATGTAATATATTTCGTAGTGTAGCATACCATAAAATTATACATAAATAATTAAACACAGAAACAAGAAAATGTGACACTATTCAAAATTGTTATAAGTAATTTAGTAATATTTAGTATAGTAATTTATTTTAAGATATCTTCCAATTTAATTCACCTGTCCAGGGAAGTTCCAGAATCCAACTAAAAATTCAAACTCAGGATCACCTGATATTGTTTGACATATGTTTGCAATCATGTTTCTCACTGTATCTTTCATTGTATCTAGCAAAGTATTCAACCAATTCTGCAAATATAATTTACGTATTAACAGCATAATGTAACACTAGGACCGGAAGGGAATAGCAATATGCAGGCGTTCCCCTCTGTTAAAGTACATGCATATAATAAAACTAGTTGCAGCCACACTGTACCCTAGACTAAATCTAGTTGCGCGGCTGAATCGACATCCTACAAAAATGCCAAATTCTTCAGTTTTAGTGCTGCCATAAGAGATCTGTCACGGCAAATTTACAAAAACCTATTTTAACCTATTCACTTGTTTTTGAACTTAAGAATTACAATAATAAGAGTCGTGTTGTTTTGGATTTGTTTACAAACACAGGCTGCTCACACTCATACAATATGCAGTTCGGTCGAGCGACTGATCCGAGTCTGTATCCGAGTTGTGGCGGTCATTGAACGATACTGTTATAATGTATCTATAAGTGTGTGACATTGTTAGTTTATTGTTTTAATTGTTGTGTGAATTACGTAGTGACAAACGATTGTTTTTGCGTGCACAGATTTCCCCCGGCAAAAAATGACACACAGTTCTGTATCGGGAAAAAACGCTATATCTACTCTTCTCCGGTCTGCCGATGGATCTCTCTATAATTGACAGTTAAGTTATAGACAGTGATTAAATTAAAATTATATATAACTTCTATTGAATTTACAAAACCGATCAAAAATTTAATTACCTCAACGCCGCCCACACAAACCACTGGTCTTTCCAAGTTTATGGTTTCCCCGTTGTCAGAGTTCATTGTAACTATTCTATCCTTATCGTCAAAGTCCACGGTGAATATAGCGTCGAATATGCTTGGTAGATGTGGCTGAAATTCTCTTATTAATGAGATAGAAATAGGCAGACACACACACTCAAACACACACACACACACACACACACACACACACACACACATCTATAACACATACACAAAAAATCAAAACACAATATATTTTATTGATTATTTTTTGTGAAACAATAGTTTTAAAATAATTTTGTTAGCGAAACTTTTGTGATAAAGGACGAGGAGTAATTTAGCATGGAGCCCGTCCTTAAAAAAAATAATGTTGTAACATTGTGACCATGATGGTTGTTGTAGAGTTCATAGAGTGCATCTAAATACTTTTAGACGGCATGTTTAAATTTACTTGGAGAAAAAATGTATTGTCTTTAGTTGCTTGTAGATACGGCAAATTCTAAATAATTCGTGTGCACAAGCAATGCTGTACCTGTATCGGAATAGGAGATGCAACATCTAACTAAGATAACCAATCCTTAAACGTGAATATACAAATTCAAGTTAGAAAACGCACCTGAATTGAATGTGGGTCGGAAGCTTGACCAAGAATCTCCAACAGAACAGGGTCCGATACAAAGAAAAACCTTGGGAATATAAGCCGTTTGGTCTCCAAATATCCGGTGAGTGATTTCTGACAGGCCTCCAACTGATCATACAGATGTGGGAGCAGTTGTTTCAAACTATCGTCTGATGTACACGTCTCTACGCAGTTAACTATATCACGGGCGCGATACATTATTTTTACGTAAGATTTGTCAATCGTCTGTAAAAAAAATAGATGAAATATTCATCAAGATCATGGTAATCAATGTTATACTTAGTTTAGAAAGGAACTGAATGCTGTATTAGCACTAGATAGCGTGACAACCACATAAAATAAGCGGAAAGTCGTTATTTTTAAGTGACAATAATAGTTATAATAATAGGTATGAATGTGACGTCAACGGTGTTGCACTTGAAGTTATCATATATTTTATACTTACAGCAAATCTCTTCGCTTCAGCAGGCAACTGTTTTGCAATATCGCCTCCTACAAATACTGCTTCCAAATACATCCATAAATTTTGTACTTGTAACCACTTTTCTAAAATATCGGATGTACTTACTAACTTATTGATCCATAACATAATATCTTTTTTGAATGGAGGATTGTATCTAAAATAGGTGTAAGGTAAAATTGTATTTAAATGCAGTAATATGTAGTCGGAGAACTGTTATGAATTTTGGATAGGTATTTCAAACATTTTAAGAATTTGCATAATACGAGCAGTTGCTATTTTCAATACTACACAAATTGGAAGGAAAATCTGACTAGGAATTAAATCTCAAATAATTTTATAACATTTTTTTTTGTTTTTAATAATCTGATCTATAACATACAAAATTATTTATAAGTTAATATTTATTAAATTACCTATTAGAAGCCAGAGAATTGAGAACCATTAAAGAGTCTTCCAACATTGTAATAATATCAAGTGTCTCTTGTGGCTTAATGAGTAGTTCACCTCTATTCTTAAAGTGTGCAAATGTCAAATCTACTACTGCCCAGTCCGATACTACTTGCTTAAGTTTCGCTTCTATATCCTTTTCTTTTACCGCACTAATACAAATATCCTGAAAGTTAAAAAAATTACAAGCTCGTTACATATCTCTAAATACAGAAGACATTTCTAACATTTACGATCATGAATCATGTCCTTCTTACGCTTTAAAGATGATTGTTTTTTATAGAATAAGAGCACACAGTGTTCCTGCACATACAACTAGTATGTAAATCTTTCTTAACAGTTTAACATTCCCTTAAAAATTTGTCCGACAACATTAATTATAGGTAAAAGTTACATCCTATACAATAAGTACCACTGCTGGGCACAGACCTCCTCTAGTTTGTGAGAGGGTTTTAGGACAAGGAAATACCCGCCGCGCTACCCTACTGCGTGTCGGCGAACTATACGTCTTAGATTTCCTTATATATATAGATAATATATAAAACGAATAAATTAGTTATCAGAAACTAAATCAAATTATGTTGATGAATCATTAGTAATTATTGTTTTTGCTTTTACCTCAACGTCCTCTTTATACTTTAATAAGGGCGCTTCCATTACATTAGCTAAAGTGAAAGTATCAGATTCCACATCCAATACACAATCTGAAAAAAAATGCAAAAATAAATTAAGTAATGCCGCTGTATATCTGTGGTCATTATCACACTATAATTATTACTCACTCATTAGCTGTTCTAAACGTCTCCAATGTCTTTCTTTCATAGATTTATCAGCCATTAGCTCCAGTAGTGGACATGTTTGATTAAAGTCGTCGATTTTATTTTTCAAGTCAATATAAGCAGGCCAATCCTTCATACCTCGCGGCAATTTTCGGCATCTAAACATGAGGAAAAGTTGAGAGTTACCTTACTTAGTATCAACTCAACAATATACGTATTAAAATATCCATATAGTGATGTAATCCTGATATTCGAATACTGCCACGTTATGTACAAAATTATCTGGATTCAAGACTAGCAAGACTAGACAAGTACTATTGCACCATATAATTTACCATTTTATTAAAGTTGGAGTCCCCATTTAACGAGTGGGGAGCGGTTGCATCGGCGAGTTGTATAAATAGCAGCTGTTTTGGCTCGCCACTCACTTAGCGATCAGCCACCGCAGAGTGTATTACATCCGAGGATGCCTCGTGTAAAGGCGAAACACGTGTCGTATTATCGACGGTGTTGTGTATTTTCTAATGTAGTGGTAACGGGGATACTACACGTAATTGAGGGAGAGCGGGAGGTGCTCTTCAAATTAGTTAAGACACATCATTTTATTTTATTGAGCGGATATTTGGTAAGTAAATTTTTCCAACTTTAATATAATGGATTTTCGCAAAGTAACGCCTGATTCTATTAATTTACCATTTTAGTTTGTATGTTCATAGCCTATACTTGGAGGGGTAACTTAGATAAATTAGATTTAGGTCAAAATTAAAATATATTCTTAAATCGATGCTGCGCAATATTATATAATTGGACTAAGGACTAAAACTATATTTGTGTTTGTAACATCAATTAAATTTTTATTGAATTTTCTAATTATGTAAATGCTATTGTACTCTTCGCGTATATGCAATTTTTTTCGTCTTACTGGGAATTACGACTTAACGAGGTTCGAGTTATCGAGATTCCACTGTATGTATCCGACAAAATTTGGCAGGTGTATATATATAAAGTTGTGCTTTATTACCTTATATCAAACTCATTTAGCTGTGCAACAATTTGTTCAATGTCAATATCAACCCAAGGTGTTTCAAAATAGCCATCTATGGAATTCATCACCGCAAGATACAAACTATACCTGTTAGAGAACGAGAACGAATTTTAGTTAACAAATTTTTATAACTAATATTTTTTTATGAAAACTAAATCTAAAAATACTTCCAATATCTTACAATTTATTAAGCAAATTAAATTCTTTCTTTTTCTGATGAAGAATGGGATAATCTTTCACTTCCATTCCGAACAGTTTTTCGCCACTAGAATACATTTCAAATCGTCGCCACAGTTCGTCAAACCTTGACTGGAACATTATCACTCTGTAAACATAAAAGAAATATTATAATCCATTCTTACCAAAAGTTCACTGTTGTCGCCTCTTACTACGAGATGATTTGATGATGTGGATTATCATACGCTGCCACTATGACATATATGCGACATTACCACATAAAGACATATATGCGATATTAATATAGAATATGAATATCAACATTTTACCACCTTAGGTAGTAATTAATAATAAAACACGAAATATATAACTTAATAGGGCTTTCCAAGAGAGCGCTAGCAAGAACATTTTCTGGAAAAATACCAACTATCAGCAGAGCCTATCTATGTGTTTTGGATTTGGCATTTAAAGGCCTCGGTCAGCAGAGTTTCATCATTTCATCAACAAAATCTGCAAAGGCAGATCTAATAAATTTTACTATCGGTCAACCCTTTGACAAAGCTCAATAATTTTATTCTTCAATATTTACTTCTTACTTTTCAATAAAGTCTCAAAAGATAGGCACCGTAAGCAAAATAATCTCATGATGATATTTCATACCACAAAAATTGTAATGAACTATTTCTTGTATATTTTTTAACCTTAACAGAAAATATTATGCATGTGTAATATTTTATACACTACTTTTTCGAACCTCCACAGAAAAGAAACTAATTTTCGTACAAGTAACTTTAACGTTCTTTGGATAATTTGATGCAGGCGACGACTTCGCTGACACTAAGCAACACATTCGCCACAGTTACCTCTGGACCAAGTGTTACTTGTTTAAAGCGCTCTTACCAGCGACTCGACAAGATGTGATGGATTTCCTTATACCACTGCATCAGGACGTCCGCTCTATTCAAAACAGCCCATCAAATTCCACTGCTGAACATAGATCTCCTCATAGAATGCCTCATAACGGTGATATCTGGCATAGTTTCCATGCTTAGCATGCAACTGCAACTTCTTATTACTGGTTATTATTAGGGAAACGCTTAGGGGCAAACGAGCATGCGGCTCATCTGATGGTAAGTGACTACCGCCGCTCATGAACAACTGCAACACCAGGGGAACTACATGTGCGTTGCCAGCCTTTTAGAAAGCAGTAAGCTCTTTTCTTGAAGGTCTCTAAGTTTTATCGGTCCGGAATAATCGCCGGTGGTAAACGATTCCACAACGAGGTTGTACGAGGAAGAAAACTTCTAGTAAAACGCACAGTGGTGGACAGCCAAGCATTGATGCAATATCCCTTTGCAGCGGCAGTGAATCGAGCCAACCAGAAATAACTCGATTGTCGACGATTTGAGCCGCTCTGCGCTGGATGCGGTCAAATAGAAGGAGCTGGCACTGGGGAGCCCCGACCCAGAGATGAGAAAAGTATTCTGAGGACGAACTTGCGCCTAGTAAAGTTGCAAGCGGTGTGCTGGCATGAAATACTGTCCCGCTCTGCACGCCAAGTTTTTTAGAGGCCAATTTGGCCTTCCCTTCCCAGTGACCATGAAACTGCACATCATTCGATATGTCGAAGCTGAGGATTCCGATGTTAGCTCAGGCAGCAAGGGAAGTGCTTCGCCTCTTACGACCTCACGGGATGTTATGAGGTAGTAGATACTTTCTTACTGAACAGAACAGATTCTTGCACCGCCAAGACACGGTATTCACCCTATACCACATGAAAATTAACACATTAATTTGTTTTAACCTATCGCTGGCCTCTCTAGCAGACAATCCTGGAGTCATTGGTCCAAAAGCATCATAATCAGCGTCAAACTTCAGCACATCCTCAAGGAACGACGACACCCCTTCAGTAAGCTCCTTTTGTAATGGGCCTTGCATATCAACAATTTTTTGTTGAACTTGCTGGGACTGTAAGAAATTTATTAAAAGTATGTAATATTAATTAAAATTATTCAAGTTAATTACATTTATGCTAAAAATAGTTAACATTACATTTTGGAAGAGTGAAAAGCTATACGACTAAGAAACATAATCAACGTATTAGTGTAATGACTATTTATTCTAGTATCTCATCAACCGACTTCAAAAAGGAGGAGGTTTACAATTCGTCGGAATCTTTGTTGAAACATTATCAACGTATTAACGTTGTAGAGCCACGCGGCAGCTTTTGCTGTCGCACGGATGGGCCGGCTCGAACCGGGGTGGTACCACGACCTCACAGAAAACCAGCGTGAAGTAGAGGTTAACCTCTGCGTTTCGCTTGGTGAGTGCAGGTAGCCGGAGTCCCTTTTTACTGGAAATGAGGCATTCCATCTTAGTCCTCACGGGTGACAACGCATCTACATTTTGATTTGTAATAGAGGATAGATGTAGATGTCTATGGGCCGCAGCAACCACTTACCATCAGGTGGACTCTGTGCTCGTTTGTCACCCTTATCCTATAAAAAAAATGACTATTTATTCTAGTATCTCATCAACCGACTTCAAAAAGGAGGAGGTTTACAATTCGTCGGAATCTTTGCTTTTTTTTATGTATGTTCAACGATTATTGGAAGACCCCTGAACCGATTTAAAAATTCTTTTTTTTTTTTCAAAGGGTTACTTCCCATGGGGTCCCATTTAAATTTTATCGAAATTGGTCAAGCGGTTTTAAAAAAAAATCAAAAATATATTTATAACTTATATTTATAATGAAGTCGGTTGTACAAATTAATTTAATTTTTAATTTAATTAATTAAATATTTTATCACTTTTTTATTTAATCAACTATTCAGAACAAAATATATAGACTTACAGTTGTAAGCATATTTTGAAATGCATAACGTAGACCGTAAACTAAATCTGCATCTTCTTTTGGTATATCAATATTAAATTGGTTAAAGGTAGCATAACTTTCTTCAATTAAATCTAATTCCATATCCATTCTGAAAGAGTAAGTTATAGTTTACATGAGAGAAATACTTTTTTACTAAAAAGGACAATAATTTAAAAGCAGTAATAAAAGATTAAATCAGGTTACCTGAGTACATAAGTTATTTAAAAATAGAAATCAATAAAATAAGTGTGACTAATAGATGCATTGATATAGTGACGCGTCGATAGGTCCGCAACTAATGGTATAACACTGCGGAGCAGCGGGTTTTAATTCCGCACGGAACAAATGTTTACAAAGGTATGATTCCGAACTTCGCTGCACGCAGTAGTGCAACTGTGCAATCATACCTTAACGCCTACAAATGAATATTCCGGATCTGGGTGTTTGTATATTGTTCCTAGATTGTTTTTGTCTAGGCATTTCCAGGTAGTTGTTACCTTGAATTACTTCTCTTAATTATTACTTAATTCACAAAAATGCCTTGTGCTGTCAAAATTCAAACAAGTTGTTTGTAACAAAAAATGACAATAAAACAATGAAAACAACATTATAATTACAAATTTAATCTTTAGAAGGGCAATATCATTAAAAATTTTATTAAAAACACGTTCGAAATTGGTATCATTAGTCAAAAACCTAGCAAAAAAAATTACTAGGTACCAAGTTTGGTTTATCTGATTTATTTATTATACATATGCATCAAGCAATCAATGGACTTCGTCTGTTGCGGACAATTAAAGATTCATTAAGCAGTTTGTGGCACGTGACTCTAAATCTTTTGATGACTATGAAAACTAGGAGAGACAACATCGTCAACACTATGTGTATTGCCATGTGGTACCCAAGATACAGCGCGCGAAGTGCATATGGAATGCCATTGAGTCGACTTCCTTATTTTGCATATGACGTCCAAGATTCGGCCACGTATGTGTAGACAAGAGTATGCTGAGTCTGCACGCTTGGTAAATTCTAGATCAAGATATATGATGGCTGTTATCTCATACTCTTGTACGAAGATTTATATTATTTATTACTATTCTATATTATAACAGTTCACTTTTGTCGACCTACACCATAATATACTGACCTAACTGCCTCGTTGGTCTAGTGGTCGTCAATACGACTGCTAATCATGAGGTCTCGGGTTCGAATCCCGGATTTTTTCTGTCAAGAAATTCTCAATAGCTACTCGGAGTCTGGAAGTTAGCAGTGTTTCACTCCCGTTCCACGGAAAGCACGTAAAGCAGTTGGTGCTGCGCCTGATCTCTATCCTGTCGTGTCGGTTTACCATTCCATCGAACTTTGTGTGAATAAAAAGTGTACCTGTGCCTGCTCATAGACTCGGGCACTAAAATCTTGTCCTGCGCAGATGGATGCTGTCTGTCATGACCAAAATTCGATCTGAAGGACATTATTATTACTATTCTACTGACTTTTGATTATGACTTCACTACACGCAATCAATATATTATATATAAGTACATATTTATATATATACTGATTGTGATATTACAATGAGCTGCTATGAACGAAAAGATACCGAAAACCTGTAAGAAAATATATATGTATGTTACTATATGGCATAATTAGCTAATATATCTTGAAACATTAACGTTTCTACTTCTAAAATGTTATACTAATGAGTATTTAAATTTAAAAAAATACCCAATAAATTCATCTCGTATCAATTCGAGGCACATAATGGCAACTCTAACGTCATCCAAATCCTTAATTTTTTTACTCATTGTTTTCATCCGATCGTTAATGAACTGCATAAGTTTTGTTACGCGTTCCTTGTATGACTGGCTCAGTAATTTGCCCAAGATTCGTTTCCATTCAACCGATTCAACATGTAGAGCCAGTTTAAGTTTATCTTAAACGATATAAATAATAAGTGATGATACCTTTCTAATTTAAAAATAACCAATCATAAGATAATTAATAGAATCAGGCGTTACTTTACGTAAATCCATTATATGTATATTAAAGTTGGTAAAAAATGTACGCGAGGTAATTTTTACCAACTTTAACCAATCATAAGCTTTTACCGTGTATTGTCGATGTAAGAATAAGCACTAAGAGGAAAATAAACAGGAGATGAGCAGCAGCATGTTCCTGATAAAAACTCAAAATTACAAAAAACTGCGGCTGGCCTGCCAAGCGTGGCAGTTATAGCAAAAATCCCTATGAGGCAATATGTTTATATGTGTATGAGGCCTATGTTTAGCAATGAACTTTCATACGTGATAATGGAAGCTTGTAAATTTGGAATTAAAAGGTTTTCTTTAAAGATTTGTACTGATTTGGACCGATTTTGACCAATTGGATAGTTTTAGATCATGACTGATGTGAAAAATAGTTTCGCGATCTACTTAACGTTATACGACTAAACATTAGGTATGTCCACACTAGTGCGCTTTGAATTTTGATTTCATGTTCATTTTGCGTTTCAACTTTCAGTTCGTCTTGCGTCAAGCGCTGTGTCATAAGACGCATGCAGCTTATCGTCTACACCCGTGCGCTTGTCTGTGTTGTGTGTATTTTCATTTTCCTCGGCCAATCTTACAAGTTTTACACTGCCACTACGGTAAATCCTCAAAAACGTACTTGTTATCAAACTATAACTAAATCGTATTATTATTAAATCATAAATTATTTAAGGCAACTGAAATATACCCATATCTATTTGAATAGATCCAATAATATGTTTATCTGGTAAATTGACAACTTCTTCCGTCTGTGCTTCATACTTCTTTAACATATCTCTTATTATTACATTAAGAGGATTTGAATCTACGAATTCTTGTATTTGTTGAACTCTATCCTCGGCCCACAAATGAGCGAATCTATTATATCCCTAAAAATTATCTTGTTATAAACAAAGTCATAAGCAACTTAAGAGAAAAGTTTGAGGAATATAGAAGTGACAATAATAAAAATATGTTGAAGAATGAAACATGAACAATAATGAAATCACTTGTTGGTGAAGTACTAAATGATGAGAGATAAGTGGCATGCTACAAAATGGATGACAGTAATTTAGAGGTGATGGTGAGCGAAACTAAAAACTGGAAAAAATTTCGGGTCGCAGTAACACGTGTACCTCTTATACACGTGTTACTGCGACCCGAAGTAACGGCATTAGTTGGGTAGAATGGTAATAATTAATGACAAATTTACTTTTAATAATTTCTCAATATCCGGTTTATACATAAACATCATCCCTTGCAATGCCATAACCGAACGAACGATATCTTTATGTTCCGAGACCATCCTAAAATAACTTCTTATGCCTGTTATTGTCGAACCTGATCTTGATCCGGCTGCTAATAATTTTAAATATATTTTTTTTATTTTAAAACAAATTTTCTCAAAATATATATCACAATAAGGTGATTTTTTAATGTCTAAGCAAAGACTTACCGCTTACACTCATTGTGATAACCAACGAATCACCTTTCATCTTCTCCTTATTAATTTGTTCTTGTTGTCCCCACATGAAAACGTTACGATGGATATCCATTATGCAGTTTAGCACTACCTAAAATATATTCCTTGATAAATCAGACACAAACACAGGACAAATATGAGCACTTAAGCAACCCTTACTTGTGAAAATGCTGATTGAATTTCCTCCAAAGTAGGCTTGATAAGTATTCTTGGTATTTGTAAATACATCATCGTAAGCATAAGTGGATTCAACTTCTTTTGTTCTTCAACATCCGTAGTCATTGTTAAAAAACTAAAATCAAATGAAAACCAGAGAAAGAGTGGAGTTTAGAAAGTCATTAATATTAATATTTATAATTTTATAGTCACTGCAGGATGCCAGAGAAAATATGAATACTTTTTCCAAATGTCGACCTCACTTGCACACATTGCATCTTGCTATTTGACGATAGAGATAGAGGTTCTAAAGAATGACTAACGGCAAAAAAAAGCTATCCAAAGAACCAAACCCAAATGCGCAACGATACCAGTTGTAGGGTATTGACACATCACTTACTAAATCACCTTCGCAGCGTAATTAACGGTCAAGGCTCTAAATGCTAAAAAATGGCAAAAAAAAAACTAAACCCAAACAAAAATAGAATAAAAGCTAAACAGGAAGGTTTTTTTAAACCACCAACTGCATTCCTTAGAGTCCATTTGTGATACACATATTGAGATACACATATATCAAACAGTGAGTTCAAAAAGCAGAAAATAAAAGTTTACTAATTGAGTCTAATTATATTTACCATAAATTCATATAACCTTAGTTATAATTATAAAATCATACTCTTCAGAATAATTTACCTCGACACTGAAGCTCTTCGTCTTAATTCGTCTAGACTTTGTCTCGTGCACTTTATAAGAGCCTCAAGACATTTCGTAGCAAAATATGCGAATAACTCATTACATTCATTGATTGTGTGCGTCACATCAAATCGGTCTGGGTTTTCTATTTCCAAAAATGCTGCCCAAAAACATCAACTTCATTTAATAACATAGTCAAATATATGTTTGTGTGTGCGTGTATGCGTGTACAGTAAAAATACAAACCAGCATTATCAGGAAATACTCTCGTTGCTGACGTAACTGGTTTTAAAGCTTTTTCTGCGTCTAACCTGTGACACCAAGATAACATAACGTAATACTGAAAGTCTATACAAATATAAATTTTGCTTATAGATGCTATTTTGTTAACTTATGGCAAAGCTTTAAAATTATGTATTGTTTGGTTGATGTCATGATCAGGTCATGATTGCTCAAATTATATTACCAATTATCTTTCAGATCTTGAATCGGTTTCGAAGGTACACTTTCTAAAAACTTGTTTATAAGTTCAATCACAGCCAACTCGGCATTCCATGATTTTTGTTGTAAATCTTGTGCTGAAAAGAAAAATAAAGTCTCGGATATATATTTTATATATTTTTGCCTTCCACATAATTGCAGTTACTATTTATATTTTTGTGTTAAATAAAAACACATGTAAGAAGGACCCACCTATTTCATCACGCCTCACTAAATTATCTTCATAGAATATGTTAGGATCAACAGCATTTTCAGGCAAATAAACCAAGATAGTTTTTGCTATAGATTGCAATATTGAATCGATTCGAGCTTCTTTCATATCCATAACCTATAACGTAAAAAAGTGTATGATCAACAAAAGTCTTACATAACAAGCGTACAGGTAAATAATATATGTAAGGTACGTGAGGGTAATATAGTCACTATTAGCTTTGTCGCCCTATAAAATCAAAACTAGGAGGAGGACAGAGACAAAAACACAAAGTCGTATACTATGCCTAATATATTAAGAAAAAAATTGCAAACAAGCTTTTGCAATAATTAGGAATACTTCGAAAAATCAACTTGAAAAAAAAACTAACTACACTACAAAATACCAAAATCGACTCAGATATTTACTATAATGTCAACTGATAAAATGGCGTCGATAAAGCAACGCCCTTTTGACGCTTTATTATTTGATTAACTGATGAAAAGCTATCGTTTCACACAGCCTTCTAACAACAAGTTTGTAGGTTTTGAGTTATAAGAAAGTGACCAAATTAACTAAATGACCATATTACCCTCACGTACTATATTCCTAAAGATTTGACCTGTAAAATGCGGTAAAATCAATTATACTAAAGCTTTTTTTATTTAGCTATAAGATAAATAAATTATTTTTTAATATTACGACTGATTTACGACGACGAGATTTGTCGTATACTTGTAGCATTTGATATTAGAATTAGAACTTTATTAATTTATTAAGGTATACTTTGAGCTCCTATGGGTGAAAGTTAAATACTTAGTAATTCATTTAGTTCACCTCTTTTACAAATAATTCAACTTCGTCTAAGACTTCTTCAATCTTATCACAATATGCTGGTATCTCTAATGAAGTCCATGTTATAGTTGAAAGACCGGGTTGAAATGCTTTTTCCATTTTCACAAGTTGCGCCCGCAGTAAAGGTAAGTACAATTTAGGCATGACCCTATAGGAAAATTTTATTTTATTTAACAGACCTCAAGAACCAGAATGAATTGTTACTTACAACTTACCTTCTAATTTTATCATTTCTCTCCACTAAGCCCTTTATACGTTCATAATTTGAAAATATTCGTTCTTTACAATAAGCCACTATTTGGGCGGCATCTGGGACGTCTATTAAAATTAAATTAACAATTAATAGCCGTTTATTAAAAACTTCTACAAACTAAGAACTACGATAATTTTGACGAATAAACTTTGATCTTTATAATATATTAGTTTGTACCTATAATTATTTATTATAAAAACGATTTTGCCTAATCCAAAATCTATAAACCTGCTCTGTGCCAATAAATTTCTTAGAATTAGCAATATTATGAATTCTATCAATCCGGAGTCACCACTTTATTGCTTTACGTTACGTGTCATTCATATAAGGTACATTCTGTGTACAACTATGCGCTGTTATTCGGGAATGAAGTGAGCTACTAGGTTATTAGTGAAATAAGAATGTATCGTAACCAAGCATCCGTCAAACGTCTAACACGTTCTGACGCTCATTTTATTCTGATAACTACTTTTGTATTGAAATTATCAAATTATACTACCGTTATACTTTTAAACTAATTTAAAGGACGAAGAATGTTGTGAAATTAGAGTTGGTTATTATTCCCAGAGGGGTCCTATATTAATTTTAAACAGACCCAAGAAGTCGAATTAATTTTCTTCCAATATTCCAGTTACGTAATTTAAGGTTCTCTCACATCTACAAAGACTATATTATACTAAATTCCAAGACAGTACTTGTGAGCGATTTAACAATACTTACTTAATCCCAACTGCCACATATACTCGACTTCTCTAATGCATTCAGGTATGAATACGTTGAAATTTACCACATATAAATTCGTCGTTGGATGACGTATAAGTAGCGGAGCGATTAATCCCAACCTCACCTGTTAGCAAATTAATATATATATTTTTGTATGAATTATATTATTCATAGTATTAGTAAAATATTTGAGCTACTAATTACCTGTCCTACATTTTCCATCCATGCACTATGGTATATCAATTCAAATTCAGTGAAAACAATTCTCATAACATTATAAAGTTTTATACATCTTTGTGTATTCTGTAATATATAAAAGGATTCTGATTACAAGACATAGTAAATTGTATAGTATTAAATTATGAATAGAGTGCATAAGGGTAAGTGCGATGAGGTGTGAGCCTAATAGATTTTTTTTTTATAAACCTGTGCTAGATTAGTCAACTTATTATCTCAGTTTTAGAGCGGAACAATTTGTTATATTCTTTCTAAATATTACTGCGTTTTGAACCATAAAAAAGCCAAGGGGTTTACTGAGTTTGGACCTAAAGCCAAATATTTCATTTTCATATGATCTTACATCTCTATAAAAATATTTAAACCACTAACTTATTCCTAAAAAACGATAACCTATCGACCAAACAACAACTCATTCAATATCTGATCTGATAAAGATTATCGAGAAAAAGTTGTTAGGTTAACTCGGATCTCTAAAACGTTCTCTAAAATTTTGTGCCAAAATGATGTTTCGGAAAACTTTACAATGCCGAGTGCATCCATAAAAGCAAGAATTGAAACCCCTGAAATATGATAAGGTAGCCTCGTTAAATGTTGTCAAAATAGAAACATCTATATTGGGTATGTAGATGTTTCTAAAAGAGTGACTTTCAATAAGTATTATTTATAATCTATATTGAATAAAAAAGTTTCTGTTTCTGTTTCTGTTTCTGTTTCTATTTTGACAATACCTATACTTCAGAACTACCCCAAGACTTTCCAATTTTTATTACAATATTTAAGCAAATTTAGGGTTACCGTATGTGTTATGACTTCATGGTGTTTCTTAAACTCTTCCATTGGTAATTTTATATTTTTATTATAAAATCTTATCCACATAATTCGCCCTGCTACAGGAGGCATATTTCTAGGTAGTTCTGGATTTTCTCTTTCTTCATTGTACCTTTTAGAAAAACATTTATGACAATTTTACAATATAACTTGTCTTTAACGGTATCTTTCATCACTATATGGTAGAGCCATGCTGCAGCTATATTAGTAGTATAGTTGTAGCACGAATGGGTCGGCTCGACCGGGGAAGGACCACGCTCTCACAGAATACCAGCGTAAAATAGCAGCTTAACATTGCTGTGTTTCGTATGGTGAATGTAGAGAACCGGAGACCTTTTTTACTGGAAAAGAGGCATTCCATCTTAGTCCTCACGGGTGACGGGGATTCGCAAACGAGGATAGATGTAGATGTCTATAGGCCACAGCAACCACTTACCATCAGGTGGACTGTGTACTCGTTTGTCACCCTATCCTATAAAAAGGTATGGCATACTCTTTATAACTATAACTTGAAGAATATAAGTAATTTTATGTAAATTATTTACCTTACATTGTTATTTTAATTTATTTACTTTACCACCACTAGGATTTCCCTCTGTATATTTAAAGTAAGTACATAAATTATATATGGACAAACACCCAGACGCGGATCATTATTGGTAATTTTTTATACATAAGTGAAGTGACAAACAAACTCGCATTTCACCTGATTGTAAATGGCTACTGCAATAAATAGACACCTGCAATCGACTTTATACAAAGGAGACTACATATACGTTGTCACCTCTCAAGACTAAAATTAAATATCTCACAACCTGTAACTGTACTGACTATAACCTTCGGACTGGAACACGGCATTGCAATTACGGCTATTTAAGACGAACTCCTAGTCAGAAAAGGAGTCCTTCTTACAACCCAATAAAAACTCGTTTACTGCGGGAATCGAACTCGCAACCCTCAGCACCGCAAACAAACGCTTAGCCATTACGTTTTCGAGCTTTCGTACATTTTCTAATATAAAAAACTCTTGAAATTGACGTGTATAATATATATTATCTATCGCACTTATATTTTTACGTGCAAAACTTTTTATGTTCCGTTTGTAAATAAACATTTTTTTTTTATTTAAACCTTAAACCAAACATAGTTATTATTATATAATCTGCTATCATAATATTATACGCGTAATAAATATAAAATATTGAGTAATTAATCTATTTGACGGCTCCGTGGCGCAGTGGCTTAGCAATGAGTTGTTACGCTCGAGGCCGCGGGTTCGAATCCCGCACGGAACAAGTATTCGTATAGAAATAATTGTTCCGGGTCTGGATGTTTGTCCTCGTGCAATGTATGTTTGTAAACTGCCTCCACGACACAGGAGAAAATCCTAGTGTGGGGGTAACGGTTTTTAAAAATAAGAATAAGAATCTATGTACCTATCACGAATGTTTTCGATCTCGGCAGTAAAATTACCTATCAAATCGTAATACTGATCTTCAAGATACAAACAATCCAGTTTTAATTTTTCAAACCGTTTCAACAAATTCAACGCTATTTCGGTTGTAGGGCATTTATTCACACTCTGAAATGAAATACTTCTTTTAAACTATTTAAAAGATTACACATAATTCGAACTACAACTAAGAAGAGGAACGGAATGTAAAACGATTGGTAGCAGGAAGTAAAATTCATTACTACAAGCTCACTTCATATGAATCTTACATTACCCTCCTATAATTATAACGAAAACATCCGTTATATCATAATTATGAGAAAGTAAAGCCTACACACGTGCCACAGCTAGTGTACCTATAGATCTCCTCTCATTTCTGAGAGAGTAATGAAACATTTACTCTACATAAAAACGTCTTTTATAAAAACTATAAGAAATACCAATGTATGTATTAAACCATTACTTACAACGTTATCAACCTAAAGCAACATGTATCATACATTAAAGTTGGCAAAAAATTACATCGCGTACATCCGCTCGATAAAATAAAACGATGTGTCTTACCTAGTTTGAAGAGCACCTACCTCACTTAGCGGTCAGCCACCGCAGAGTCTAGATTACCTGAAGATGCCTCGTGTAGAGGCGAAACACGTGTCGTATTGTCGTCAGTGGTGTGTCTTTCCTAGGGTACTGGTGTTGGGAGTAGTGGTGCTGGGATTAGTGGTGACGATGCTAGTGCACGCAATTGAGATAGAGCGAGAGGTGCTCTTCTGAACTAGTAACTGTCTTACACACATCATTTTATTTTATCGAACGGATGTACGCGAAGTAATTTTTTGCCAACTTTAATATAATGGACTTCCGCAAAGTAACGTCTGGTTCTATTAATTATGTATCATAAAGCTAAATTACATTTTCAGCTATTTATGAATCAAAACATAAAAAATGGTTACATTAAGAATTTAAGTAGTTAATAAATTTAACAGCTAGAAAACTTTATTTTAATTAAAAAATCAAGCTTACATTTATCATAAAATTTTCTAATAAGAGCTCCTGATGAGCGACAGCATCTTTGTAAATCTTGTAATCCTTATCGAAATCGGGCCGCCTGTAAATATAAATTATTTTAAGTATTTCTTAAAATACTATAAATGCATAAGTTTACATTATTTTATCAATTTGAAAAAGAGTAAGATCACCTATGATCTAAAGCATCATATGTTTTTGTCGATATCGTTTTGAAAAGCTTGTTAAATGACGCTGCAAACTCTTCAATTCCTTCCAAAGTACTTTTATTCAAGACGTAATAAGTAATATAGGTTTGAAATAAATCTATTATCTGCAACAAGTTTACAAATAATTGTACTTACTTTATAAAAAGTAATGATTTTGTATTTGATGGTTCAGTAAAATTTATTATCAATTTGTAAACAGGAAATATTTTTTACTGATAACGCGACGTTCCATCTAAGTCCTCAAAGGAGACAAAACACCTAAATAATAATCCTTAATGGAAGATAAATCACCACAAGGTCTACATGCCATGCCGTCCAAATGCCGTCGGTTGAATTGTTTGTTACTTCTAAAAATATTGATTTTTAAATGAAAAAACTACCATTTAAAAATAATTATGACTTTTAACAAAAAGTAAAAACCGACTTCAAATTGCTGAAAAAGAAATTATTTATTATATACTATTATATCCAAATTTATATGGGATGGGAAGCATAACCTGAAAGTATAACCTATTTAATTAAAAAAAATCATTATAATCGGCTCTCAATCTGTGAAAATATCACATGAAATTCCTTAAACAATAGTCCAATATGAAACTTTTTCCCCTATTTCCCACCCTTGGGGGCGGAAATTTTTTCTTCAAAATTTAATGGGGCCACCTTTGAGGTAAATCCTATTTAATAAAAGAGAACATTAAAATCGATTCACAATTTACGAAGATATCGCGTAACATACATACATAAAAATATACAGTCGAATTGAAAACCTCCTCATTTTTGAAGTCGGTGAAAAATCATTCGCTGATACGGTCAAATATTACCTTTATGAAAAAGTTTTGATATGCTTAACTGCTTTAGTTCTTTGCTTACTTTCAGTAGCCGCTTTTGGAATGTTTCAAACTTTCCAAATATATACATTTCAGAGCAGTCGAAGGGACGCTCATCTGCTGCCTCAATCATTTCCTTTTGTGTCTCGTCATAGCATTCTCGATAAAAGCTGTAAAGGCTCAAACACAACTGAAAGTAAAATTTAGAAACATACGGTTAATAAATAAATTTATGCAACTTTATTATGTCGTAAACACATTAAATTAATATAATTGTTTAAATGGGGAAAATGTACAATATTTTTCCCCACTATAAATCTAGGTTGATTAACGGACATGACTTTTGTGACTCAAACCCAAATTTCAGAGAGAGATGATGTAAATACTTCCTGTATTACCATTGCAGGGGTAAAGGTACCGCACTAGCCACCCCGCTTACTTATCGTGATAGGTATAGACTTAAAGTAATGCTTGACAGCTGGCGCATTCTTCAAAAGACATATCTACTATTAGACGTAATATTAAAATAGCTGATGTTGGCAATAAAAAGTTACTCATGTTCCTTTAGTTAACACCTACAGTAAATATTGAAATTTTATTAGCAGAAATTTAAATTACCCTAGCTTTCTTTATGAAATTTTGCTTATCTTGATTCCAAATTGTCTTCTTGCCTTTATTTGTCAAATAGTCCATGCACATGTTAAGTATTTGACTGGTTACTTTTACGAGTAATGTAGAAATTTGTTTAGTTGTATTGTAATAACGCGATGTTGCAAATATCATCCGCACTGTGTAAAGCAAGCCCGGTATGTGTTGATGCATGGTGACAGGGTCGCATCTGTTATTAAAATTAAGGGTTTGAAAACTCTTCCTTATAAATTTAACCGCTATTAATAAAATATAAAATAATATATAATTAATTTAATTATTATTATATAAATAAAAAAGACATTATTTTTGTAACAATAACAATATTTTTTAATCAAACAAATTGTACGTGGTAGAGTCAAGCTGCAGCTATATTTAGGTTATAACATGAATGGGTCGACTCGACCGAGGAAGGACTACGCTCTTACAGAATACCTGCGTAAAATAGCAGCTTCACGCTGCTGTGTTTCGTATGGTGAGTGTAGAGAACTTTTGTGGTAGAGCCATGCTGCAGCTATATTATGGTTGTAGCACGAATGGGTCGGCTCGACCGGGGAAGGACCACGCTCTCACAGTATACCAGCGTAAAATAGCAGCTTAACGCTGCTGTGTTCCGTATGGTGAGTGTAGAGAACCGGAGACCCTTTTTACTGGAAACGAGGCATTCCATCTTAGTCCTCACGGCTGACAACGCATCTGCATTTTGATTCGTAATCGAAGATAGATGGAGATGTCTATAGGCCACAGCAGCCACTTACCATCAGGTGGACTGTGTGCTCGTTTGTCACCCTTATCCTATAAAAAAAAGAGAACCGGAGACCCTTTCTACTGGAAACGAGGCATTCCATCTTAGTCCTCAGGGTTGACAACGCATCTGAATTTTGATTCCTCATAGATGATAAATATGGATGTCTATAGGCAAAAGCATCCACTTACCATCAGGTGGACTATTTGCTCGTTTGTCACCTTTATTCTATAAAGAAATAATAAAGGTTTAAATGTTTTTTTTTTAATATAAAATACGGGTGACAAACGAGCACACAGCCCACCTGATGGTAAGTGGTTGCTGTGGCCCATAGACATCTACATCTATCCTCAATAAAGACTCAAGATGCAGATGCGTTGTCACCCGTGAGGACTAAGATGGACTGCCTCTTTTCCAGTAAAATGGGTCTCCGGTCCTCTACACTCACCATACGAAACACAGCAGCATTAAGCTGCTATTTTACGCTAGTATTCTGTGAGAGCGTGGTCCTTCCCCGGTCGAGCCGACCCAGTCGTGCTACAACTATAATATTATATATTATTATAGCTGCAGCATGGCTCTACCACGTAAAAAATGTGGTCACTTTATCGTGTAATACAATATTTACAATAGATGCCCATTGTGAAGAATTGTTTAACATTACAAAACCTGCAGTTAGAAACCATACGTCATCTTCCGTACTTGTCAGAGACCCTTTCATAATCAATTACATTTTTTTTTCGTTAGTTGGATAATTTCCAACACGGCAAAAATTGTGCTACGGACGGTAAATATAATCAGCCGATATACATTTAAAATTGTGTTTTTCGGTTTAGTAATACAAATATTATTCACGTTGTAGCATAATAACTGGAAAAATCTATATCTATATCTTAATATGCAGCAAAATTTACCTATATAAGGGTTCGCAATATTTCTCTAAAGCATACAAATACTTCACGTTATCAGAAGCTTCATTGTAATAATCCGTAACTTGATTATCCAACAGCCTCCATTTCTGTCGTAATCGAGAAACATTATAATGTTAAAATTTATCTTTATTATTTTATAAATATGAAAGAAATTTGTCACAAAAAATTAAAAGCTTACAGTTGACCGTTCTCTAGTTCTTTACTTTAGTCGATCCTTACGAGATATTATATTATCATATTGCTGAAAACTGTTCTAATTTTTATTTAGCTTTAGATATTTTTATCTCCAGTAATTTTCAATTTTAATCTATTTGAACGGATATGCAGAAAGACTACAATATTATGCCTATAGTATACAAAAGAATAGCACCAGCACACATGTAACGTATTAGTATTCGTTATGCTATTAATATTAAAAACGAATGTAAAATAACCTTTATAAGCTTCGATTTGGCTCGGATAAGTGTGTGTATATACATTTGGCATGGGTCACTTTTAATGTGCTCAATTATTGAGGTAAATGTTGTAAGTTGACGGCGCCAGTAATCCAGTTCTGCGAGAGGACCTATATTTGGCGGCTCGCGTCGCAGTTGCTGACTTTGTACTAACACCTAAAATATTTTTTACTTTTGAATTATAGTTTAATCTAACAATGCGTGTATTTTATTTTATTATTGATGTATTTTATAAACAAAAAACAGAAGCAGCCATACGGACTGTCGGCAGAAGTGAAAACTCAATAATATATGCGTATGCGTGTACACAGGCCTCAAGCGCTAAGCGTACGAGCATGTCGAGGTCATCGGTGACGTTAACCCATAAGTTTTCCTCTACCAAAAATCGCTCAGTACGGCTAAAAAAGTTTTTACTTCAAAAAATCTTAAATATCATAAGAATGTACGATATTGTACCATCGTTATCTGTTTCATCCATTGCTTAACAAAAGTACAAATTTCTTCCAGCACAGATGTTTTGGTGATCGCTACTTTCATTTTATCTTGATCTGATAATTCATCTTCGTACAATGTATAATTTATTTTAAATCTTGTACAGCAATCGAGGTCTATTTTTGTTTCTATTGGAAAAAAATATATTTAAACATTAATTCTGTCTCATTGTTATACTTTGTTTAAATAAATATTGTATTCGTAAAGGCTGCACTGACGATTCACAAATATAAATAGTTTTAACACTTATCATGATCTTAAGATTATCAGAATTATTCTGCTTAGAAGTGATCTCATCCAAACAAAACATCAAATTAACAGTATCAAATACAAACAAATCAACCACATGAACACAACATGCTTGCAGTACTTCATTATGTGGATCGGGTTTTTGGAAAGAAAAAAAAACACTAAAATACTTCGGTATTTCTACAAATATTATAGTAAAAGTAGGTCTTACTCTCAAGATAATCAATGAAAAGCATTATTTTTGAAATATAAGAAGCAATCATTTCTTGACTATTAGGATTAGGTGGATTTATATCACCCCACCCTTGGCAAACTTTAAGCGCAGGTACATAAACACGTATCATGGTTTTATAAATTCCTGATACCACATTTTCAGTATCTTGATTTATATCAAAAAATACTAAATAATAGTCCTGCAAGAATTGAAAACACATTAATAATTTAGACAATATTCTTTACACAAAATATTACATACAATAATGAGTCTAATCTCTAAAAGCTCTCTCAGCACCAGTTGTATTACAAAATAAATCTCTACATGATCTTCCGGCCAGTTCCGAAAGTAGCTCAACATTTTCATCGTGATAGTTTCTCTTTTGCCGCCTCTACTCGGTAATATCCCGAAATGACATCATCATCGTTACAGCCTTTCACAAGTCCACTGCTGAATATAGGCCTCCCCCCAAGGTATGCCACAAAGCACGGTCCTAAGCCAACTGCACGCCGACCTCCTGAAACTCTTACCAGGTCATCACTCCGTCTAGTGGGGAGACGCTCTACACTTCGCTTACACGCACGAGGGTGCCACTTGAGAACCTTTCTTCCCTATCGGCCATTCGTTCTTCAAACTATATAGCCGGCCCATTGCCACTTCATCTTAATCATCCGTTGGATATGTAAGCAATCAAATCAAGTTAAAATATGTGATTTTTTTAAATAAAATCGTCAGAAACGTTTATTACGTCAGCAACATTTTTCACATCAATAGCTTTGTTTTTAATCCGGTACATGGCCACGCAGCGACCTTGCACAGGCATTGTAGATGTATCAGATATATAAACTCTTTCCATCCATGATTTTTGATTTGGTACGAAACGACCAGAGTCTGTAAACGAAGCAAAAAATCAAAGTTAAAAAAGAATAAAAAGGTTGACGAAAAAACGACGAAAAAAACTCTGGTTTTACTTCGGGGAAATCAATTTTAGTAAAAATGAGAAAATTATATATCTAAGATTGGCATCAAAAATAAAATGATTCCTTACCCATTCAAAGAGTTTGCCATAGCAGAGTGTATTTCTGCTGATAATGCCCTGATCAGAGGCGAAACACGTGTCGTATTATCAACGGTGATGTGTTAGTCCTAGTATACACTATTTTAATTAATGCGTAGATCTTAGCTTATTAATTTTCACATCTTTAATTTCAACCTATATCACGTTTCGTTTCGTTACATTCAACGAGAATCAGTGTTATTTTCTGCCGACTTCCAAAAAGGAGACGATACTCAATTCGATTGTATTTTTTTTCGTTTTTTTTTTTATGTGTGTTACCTTATAACTTTTTACTGGGTGAACTGATTTCGATGATTCTTTTTTTATTTAAAAGCTGGTGCTTCTCATGTTGTTCCATATTTTGATCAAGGTTTGACCAATAGTTTTCGAGTTATTCTTAATAATTTATATTGAGGTCGGTTGTACAAACTTTTTAATTTCACCACTAGTGTTTTATGTTCTAAAAATTTTAACCTCAACATCGAGCTTCGTGGACTAACAGAGATATAGGTTGATAATGACGACTTGAAAGTTATATTGGAAGAGGATTCTTTGCAAACCATATCAGCGTTAGCAAAAACCTTCAACATAGGTGACAAAACGTTATCAATTCTTTGGCGCCAAACTGGGAAAGTAAAGAAGCCCCGAAATTAGATATCTTATGAACTTTCTTAACGGATAACAAACTTGCATTGAAGCATGCTCATGCAAATGACAGAATTCTAAATCGGTTATATATTATCGTACAAAGTTGGTTTTGTATTATAATGCAGTGGTTGATACACAAATCGGTTTAGAAAAAAGTTATAAAATAACAACACACATTTTAAAAAAATCCTTTTTGAATTCGGTAGAAATGCAATGAAACCGAAAACGTAAGTTACATCCTTCCACAAGGAAATCGTGCGAGGAAGAAAACATCTTCTAAATCGCACAGTGGTGGACCGCCAATCATCCAGATGGTGTGGATGGTATCGGGAGTTCTGCCGCGATGTGCGTTCGTGAAATTTGGCGGCTGGGATTAATCCGAACAATTCCTCAGAGCACTCCCCGTGGTAGATGCGAAAGAAAATGCAAAGGAATGCAACATCTCTTCGCAGTGCCAATGAATCGAGCCGATCGTAAAGGACTCGGTCGTCGACGATTCGAGCCGCTCTGCGCTGGATGCGGTCAAGTGAAAGGAGCTGGCACAGGGGAGCCCCTGGAACAGTATTGTGAGGCCGAACCTGCGCCTTGTAAAGTTGCAGGCGGTGTGCCGTCATGAAATACTGTCCCACTCTGCTGAGCACGCCGAGCTTTTTAGAGGCCAATTTGGCCTTCTCTTCCAAGTGACCATGAAACTGCACGTCACTCGATATTTCGACTCCAAGGATTCCGATACTGGCTGAGGCAAGAAGGGGAGGTGGCTTGAAACTGAGGAGATACGACAAAGGGAATCTTTTTAGCGGTAAACGCGCAAACTTGTGTTTTCTGAGGATTAAACTGGACTAGATTTTGTCGCCCCCAATTCGAGACTTTGTCCAGCAAAGACTCGACTTCAGACACAAGTTTGTTCCGGTACTCGGCGACGTTTTCCCGAGAAATATTGGCACGGCCGGTGTATAGAGCATCACCAGTGCTGTCATCCGCATAGCAATGAATGTTACCAGATTGCAACATATCATTGATATGCAGAAGAAACAGCGTTGGTGATAGCACACAGCCTTGTGGAACACCAGCGTTAATAGGCTTATATTCGGAGCATGCACCGTCTACAACGACCTTGATGCTCCGATCTGCAAGGAAGCTGGTGATCCAATTGCACAATTTCTCGGGAAGCCCATAGGAAGGGAGCTTCGAAAGAAGCGCTTTGCGCCAAACCCGTTCGAAGGCATTCGCAATGTCCAAACTAACGGCCAACGCCACCCCCTTGGACTCTACTGCCTCCGCCCATCTATGAGTCATATAGACCAGAAGATCACCAGCTGATCGACCCAGACGAAAACCGTATTGGCGGTCACTAATCAGCTGGTGATCTTCAAGGTACCGCATGAGCTGGCAGTTAATAATGGATACCATTATTTTGGAGAACAAGGAGGTGATGGCGATAGGCCTATAGTTGGACAGGTCTGAGCGGTGGCCTTTTTTAGGGATCGGGTGGACAAAAGCTATCTTCCATGAATTCGAGACTACGCCTTGGGAGTAGGAGTACCGGAAAAGACGCGTTAGGACCGGTGCCAACTCCGGAGCACACGTCCTCAGCACAATTGGGGGGATTCCGTCAGGCCCACTTGACTTCTGGATGTCAAGGGAGAGGAGTGCTTTACGAACCGAGCGCTGTGAGAGCAGCACATCCGGCATGGAGCACTCACACCGCTGGATGGTCTTCGGTGCTTTCCCCCCGTCATCAAGAGTCGAGTTGGACGCAAAAAGGGAGTCTAAAAGGTCGGCTTTGTCTTTTGCGGCATGGGCCAGTGAGTCGTCCTTCCTGTGCAGAGATGGTAGTGATGGCTTACAAAAATTCCCTTGGACAGCCTTGGCGAGAGACAGAACGCACAGGTTCCCGAAGGAAGGCGAACTAGTTTCTCGCCAATTCTGCCTATGTACTCTGACTTGCCTTAGCAATAACTCTTTTGAGGAACCTGGAGGCGAAGTTATACTTCTTTTTAAGTGTGCTGGTGTTTACATCCCGTTTCGCCGAAGGCGCAGCCCAGGCTTGATAATACTCCTGCTTACGGCGTAATGCAGTCTTACAGGAGCGACTAAACCAAGGCTGAGATCTGCCTCCGATGGGTACCACAGATGATGGAATAAATAGTTCCATTCCCTATAGCACCACATCAGTGACAGAGTCAGCAACAGCGCTGGGATCATCCGGCGAGAAGCAAACGATGGGTACCATGGGTACGATGCAAAGAAAGACCGCATTCCGTCCTAATCCGCCGACCTGTAATGCCAAACATGGCGGCAACCTGCAGAACGCAACCGCGAGGGGAGCGTGAGTGGCACCACACTCCGGATCAGACAATGGTCCGAAGAGCCGAGAGGGGCGTCGACGGAAACCTGATATCCGTCCAGATGAAAGGTCAGCAGAAGGTCCAACAGGGAAGGTGTATGATCCTACACATCTGGAATCCGCGTAGGCGAAGTAACCAGTTGTGTCAGACCATATGCCAAGGCAAAGTCATAAACAGATCTCCCCGCATGATCGGTTAGACGTGAACCGATGCGGATGGGACCTGTTGTAGCAAGGAATCTGTAGCCATTTGGACGTGGTCGATGAGCCGGTCTGTTTCGGCATTACCGCTATGGGACCTATAGAGGCACCCGCAGACGCGCGGATGGTCGTCGCTGTCTACGCGTAGCCAAAGGATGGACAGGTCCGAACCTTCAAGACTGCCGAGGCGTCGAGAACAGATGTCCTCTCTGACATTCACGCAAACTCCGGCCCAAGGCACAAAGGAGTGCTCCAGAGAGATACGAAGTATCAGCCGGAGAGGACACCTGTGTCTCGGTCAGAAAGAGCAAGGCCGGCTTCGCCGTGTCGAGATGGTAGTGGAGGGCGTTAAGGTTCGAGTGAAGTCCCCTGATGTTGCAGAAATTCACGGATAGTGCGGCAGGGGTCGCCTTGGTATTGTTGCTCAGTTTGCCCCGAGCAGTTATGTTTTTGAGCCCCCCCCCCCCCCCAGAATACGCGGGGCAGCCTGTGCACCCACGCTCAGAAGTGGAATAACATGGTCGTGGATGCTCAGCGAGGGATTCTCCAGGGGTGCTGGTACCCTCCTGGGGTACCAGCACCCCTGGAGACGTGCAACAGCAAAATCTGCCGCGTGGCTCTACCACCGTTAAAACTTTGAAATTAACTCGAAAATCGATGGTAATATCAAACGCTGAATTGCAAATTCACAAAAACAGCTTTTAATTGCTAATGCTACATTATTAATTTTACGCTAAGTCGAATGCAAACGTAAACATTTACAGATAAATCCTAATGTTCAATTAATTTCCATGGGGGCTATTAAATAATGAGGAACGCTTAGACTAGACGTTAGATTCTACTGTTTGTGTTGTAATTATTCCTTCGTCCGTCTTAAATACTATGGGTAAAAGGGTGATACCCACCTACAGAGATTTCAAGGCGGGAAAAAATCAATAGAAATTAGGCTTCATAGCAGACAAGTCACTGGTGTGAAAGAGATTCATTTTTAAGCATTATTTTTTTAAATTACCCATTTTTAACGGTGGCAACGTAGCATCACACACCACAATACAATTTCTACCACCTTCAGCAACAGCACTATCTAAAAGCTCAATGTGAATGTCAGCATCATACACGCCCTCCTGTAAATTATTTGAACGTTAATTTGCATGTCGAAACCTTAAATTGTTACGTATTAACAATTAACGCTACGACGAACTTTGGTGTAATAGCATGGGTTTCTCCCCCCCCCCCCGAATTTCACTTAAAAGGGTTAAAAAATTTGATAATTAACAAAAAGTAAAAGCCGACTTCAAAGAACTAAAAAGAATAAATATAAATAATAATAATAAATAATTTCCGCGCAATAGCTTCAGAAGGTTAGGCTTTAATACTTCTATATTCTATGTCCTAATAAACACTAGGATTTTCTCCTGTATCGTAGATACCTTCGATTTAGACACATTATATTATGTACATCCAGACCCGGAAACAATATTTGCGGTACCTACACTTGTGCAGTGCGGGATTGCCTGCTATTTTGGACGCCACTGTCCGTCATTTTCCACAATCGTCTCTTAGGACACCCATGGATCGAAATAGGGTGACTTTTACATGTCATTTTATTACGTCATATATATATTTACGCATTAACTATACATAGTTAGTGCGTAAATTACGTATTTTCATTATTTTTATACATATATATGTATCATAAAAACTTATTACATCTTTAAACTGAACAATGACTATATGATTTACCAGAACATATTCAGGAGATTTGTTTAAGATGACAGCTGCATTCTCAATTAAAAATCTATGTTGAGTTTTTAAGCCTCCAATACGATTGGTACGAGCTTCTTTAGCTTTTGCCTAAAAAAGAAATAAAAAGGTAAAACTCCCTAAGCTAGCGATAGAAATAAAACAGTAATTTCTAGTTAGCAAATTTATTTACTTGCTTGTCTTTATAAGATTCATGTCCTAACGCAAGGGTACTCATTGACATCCTACTTTTTTTCTGAATATCTTTAAGTCGAGAACTGACATCCAATATCGCTTCAAGAGCGGTGCGATCCACAACAACGCGCTCCTCATCTTCTTCGTCAGAACCAACTTGTGACTGCTTTCTTTCTTTAGGAATTTTTCGTACAATTTCATCAATCTTCACAGCTGTATCCTTGACATCAGCCGCTTGTTGTTCAATATCCCCTGATGCCGAAACCTTCGAGGCTTCGTCCGCCACATTTCTGTTATCCGTAACTTCTGATAAAGGTTTATCAATATCATCAGACATGACTAAAAAATAATTAATTTATATTGTGCTCTAACGATAAAAATTAATTATCTCAATTTTTGACAGTTATTTGCACAAATTTAAATTGATCTGTATTTTGATATATTCTAAATTTAAATTAGATTTATAAAATTTGTGATTTTGTTTTTAGACATTTTTGAAACATAATGATTGTATACTCTTTGTATTTTCATTTTCTTTCATTACAACATCGAAATCAGACAGATCGAACTTAGAAGTAATATTAGGGGTAGAGAGTAATTAACGATGACAGAACCATAGTGATCCAAACAGGGGCGTAGCTACCGCCGTATCAGCCGTATCAATGATACGGGGCCCCCGGGCTACAGGGGCCCCGAACGCGTGTAAGCAAAAATTCCAAGGACTTCTATGGGACAGGAAAGGCTATCACTATTGTCTATATAAGCAAAGAATTTAGTAAAACTGAAATAGTCTTCAGCTATGAATGCCGCCGAATCGTCTTCAGCTATGTTCGCCGAACAAAAGGCAAGAAAATTGTAATATATTTATTTTATGTGAATTGTTTGGCTAGCTTTCCGGACGTCAGTCTGAGTCCCGAATGTCAGTCTGAGCGAGATTAGAATGGCTCTCCAGCACCTTAAAAATGGCAAGGCCCCAGGCGAGGATGGAATTACAGCGGAGCTTCTGAAAGCGAGTTGAAAACCGGTACTTGAAGTCATTCAGAAGCTCTTTAATTCCGTCCTCCATGGTGGCATTACACCGGAGGCGTGGAGCAGAAATGCGATGTTCTTGTTCTTCAAGAAAGGTGACAACGCTCTCTTGAAGAACTACAGACCGATTTCCCTTCTGAGCCGCGTCTACGTGCTGTTTTCGAGAGTCATTACGAATCGTCTCGCGCGCAGACTTGACGACTTCCAGCCTCTCGAACAAGCCGGTTTCCGAAAAGGCTTTAGCACCATAGACCACACACATACCCTTCGGCAAATTGTACAGAAGTCTGAGGAGTACAATTTGCTACTATGTCTGGCGTATGTGGACTATGAGAAAGCCTTTGATTCCGTCGAAATTTAGGCGGTGCTTCAGTCCCTTCAGCGGTGCCAAGTTGACTGTCGGTATATCGAAGTGTTGAAGTGCTTGTACAGTAGGGCTACGATGGCTATCCGAGTACAGAACCAGAGTACGAAAACTATCCAATTGCAGAGAGGTGTAAGTTGTTGACGAGTATATTTACCTGGGACAAATAGTCCGACTAGGTAAGTCCAACTTCGACCGAGAGGTCAATTGACGGATTCAACTCGGTTGGGCAGCGTTCGGGAAATTGCGGCACATCTTCTCGTCAAGTATACCTCAAAACTTGAAAATGAGACTGTACAACCAGTGCGTGTTGCCAGTGATATGGAACTGAGACGTGGTTCTTCACTGCTGGCCGGATGAGGAAGCTCAAGGTCGCTCAGCGAGCTATGGAGAGGGCTATGCTCGGAGATTCTCTGCGTGATAAACTTAGAAATGACGGTTCTACGGCGGATATCCCACCGTAGAACCACAGTGACGAATATTGACATAGGATTAGTAAGCTGAAGTGGCAATGGGCCGGCCATATAGCTCGAAGAACCGACAACCGATGGGGAAAAATGGTTTTCGAATGGCGGCCTCATACCAGCAGACGAAGTGTAGGGCGTCTCCCCACTAGATGGAGTCACGACCTGGTAAGATATGCAGGAAGTCGATGGATGCAGGTGGCTCAGGACCATGCTTTGTGGCATTCCTTGGGGGAGGCCTATGTTCAGCAGTGGACTTGTGAAGAGCTGTAATGATGACGATGATGATGATGTTTGGCTAGCTTATAGTTCCTAGGAGTATTATTTGTAAGTAATAATTTAAAATCAATATATAATAATTTCAATTCAATGGAAGCGTTTTTGTTCCTTTTATGAAATCTTTACTCTTCATTGGGGCCCCCCAACATATTTTGATACAGGGCCCATCTAAGGCTCGCTACGCCACTGGATCCAAATCACATTTGCATATTTGTGAGAAAATAAGGGAAACGCGTTTAGACTTTTTGTAGGAAAACTAATGCATTGTTAAAGGTTAACCTTTAATAAAATGAACCCTAATGTATTGGAATTAAGTTAGAAACAAGGTTTATTTAACTTTTTGTATTAAATGTAGCAAAATGTTGGATTTACACAAAAAAATAACACTTAGATCACTCTAGCAGAAACAAAATCTCTCAAGTTAGCGGGAGCAGGATTTATTTTTTAATAGCATTCTTCTTTTTCTTTAACATTTTTTTCGTCATTCCGATTTTCGTGATAGTGAGTTTAATTAACTCAACTACTCAATGGCATGTAGCAAGAAGGGGTCACTGACAGGCAAGTGTGAATTTATTCCGCTCGATTACAGTCTTTTTCTCATAGTCTTTGTGCTTACTGTAACCGCTCGAACTTGAAGCTTCGTTCTTAACTCAGAAGATGTTAAGGACAGGTTTCTAAGCACGGTGGTAATAGACTTAACACGATAAACAAGACAGCCATGGCAAAAATTTAAACGCAAATATTTCAAAAGATGGCAAAATTTTCGCAGTATGAAAGAACGCAATAATTACATAAAAATAAATTAAATTCAAAAAAACAAACATTCCAAGACTTTTCTTTTTTTAATAGCATTTACTAATGTTTGTGGCTAGTAACAGTAACGATGGTAAACAATGGTAGAGCCACGCGGCAGCTTTTGCTGTCGCACGGATGGGCCGGTTCGAAACGGCGGTGGTACCACGACCTCACAGAATACCGGCGTGAGGTAGAAGTTTACTTCTACGTTTCGCTTGGTGAGTGCAGGTGACCGGAGGCCCAATCCCCCCTTCCCTTGTAACTTTTTCAGGGAATTTCAGGGGACTTCATTCGAACCTTAACTCCGTTCACTACCATCTGGAGACGGCGAAGCCTGCCTTACTCTTCCTAACCGAGACACAGGTGTCCCCTCCGGCTGATACTTCGTGTCTCTCTCCTATCCGGGGTAGGAATTAGAACACTCCTTTGTGCCTCCGGCTGGGGTTTACATATACGTCAGACAGGACATCTGTTTTCGACGCCTCGGCAGTCTTGAAGGTACGAATCTGCCCATCCTATGGCCGCACGTAGACAGTTACGATCATCCCCGCTTATACAGGTGCCTCTATAGGTCTCATAGCGGTCAACACAGACCAACTCATCGAACACGTCTGACCATTGTCTGATCCGGAGTACAGTGCCACTCAAGCTACCATCGCGGTTGCGATCTGCAGCTTGCCGCCGTGTTTGGCACGGCCGATTGGGACTGGATGCGGTCTCCCTTTGCATCCTACCTTTGGGGGGATCCCAACGCTTTTGTGGATTCTGATGCTCATGTAGTACTTCAGGGAAAGGAACTATCTGACTATTGGAGGCAAAACTCAGCCATAGTTTGGTCAATCCTGTAAAATCACATCACGCTATAAGCAGGAGTGCTACCGGGCCTGAGCTGTCGCATCAACGTCTCTGGATGCGAACACCAGCGCACTTAAAAAGAAGTATAATTCCGCCTCCAGGTCCTTTAAAAGTGTCATTGCCTAGGCAAAGTCAGAGCACATAGGCAGAATTGGCGAGAAACTAGTTCGACTTCCTACGGGAACACGTGCATTCTGGTCTCTCACCAAGGCTACCCAAAGGAACTTCTGTCAGTCATCTCTGGCATCTCTACACAGGGAGGATGATTCATTTTTTTCCATACTGCAAAGGAGAAAGCCAATCTGCTAGACTCTCTCTTTGCGTCCAACTCGACTCATAATGACGGGACAACACACCGCCGTCCACCACGCGGTGTGACTGCTTCATGTGTGTCATCAGGATGTGCTGTTTACACAGCGCTCGGTGCGCAAAGAACTCCTCTCCCTTGATATCAACAAGTCGAATGGGCCTAATGACGCCCCTCATATTGTGCTGAAGACGTGTGCTCTGGAGTTGGCACCGGTTTTAACGCGTCTTTTCTGGTACTCCTTGTCCCTCGGCGTAGTCTCGAACTCATGGAAGACAGCTTTGGTGCACCAATCCGCGACCGCTCAGATCCGTCCAACTACAGGCCTATCGCCATCACTTCCTTGTTCTCCAAAATAATGGAAACCATCATACACTGCTCATGGGGTAGCTTGAGGATCAGCAGCTGATAAGTGACAGCCACTACGGTTTCCGTCAGAGTCGCTCAGCTGGTGATCTTCTGGCTTATCTATCTCATAGATGTTCGGAGGTAGTAGAGTCTAAGGAGGAGGTCCTGGTCGTTAGCTTGGACATTGCGAAGGCCTTTGATCGGATTCAGCACAAAGCGCGTCTTTCGAAGCTTCTTTCCTTTGGGGTTCCCGAGAAATTGTGCAATTGGATCACCAGTGCATGCTCCGATTGCAAGCCTATTAATGCTCGTGTTCCATAAGGCTGCATATTGTCACCAACGCTATTTCTTTTGTATATCAATTCCAAACCGGTAACATTCATTGCTATGCAGACGACAGCACTGGTGATGCTTCATACACTGGCCGTGCCAATATTTCTCGGGAAAACGTCGCCGACTACCGAAACAAACTTGTGTCTGAAGTCGAGTTCTTAATTGAACAAAGTCTCGGATTGAGGGCGACTAAATCTAGTTCAGTACAATTTCCACAAGACACAAGTTTGCGCGTTTACAGCTAAAATAACCCCTTTGTCGTATCTCCTCAGTTTCAAGGCACTCGCCTTGTTGCCTCAGCCAGCATCGGTATAAACCGACATAGTGTGCAAGGAAGAAGAAAATTCCAAATTTCATGACTCTGTAACCGATTTTGACAACCAGCACTCAAGAAATAAGCTCCTAGATATTTTGTAATTTTTTAGAGAGTAATAGTGGTTATTTTTAGTAAGTAACTTTTTTCCATATTGGTTACTTGTTCTGTGAGTGAATGCGGTGTTAATCATACAAATAATCCTGATAATTGCATATTTCACAAGTAAATTCTCAAGACGTCGTCAACG